GACAGACCCGGCCCACCCTCCCATCAATTTTGTACATGACGAAATTAAAATTAGTATTTATTTATTATTATTTAGGGTTAGGCTCGGCCGCCTAGCCTGTCTTAACTGTAGCGCCCGGCCCCTAGCCTGTCCTAGCCGCGGCGCTCGGCCCCCTAGCCTGTCTTAGCTGAAGCACTCTTCCCCCTAGCCGTAGCGCTTGGTCCAGAAATTGTCCTCACCTAACCTAACCCTTAAATAATAAAAAATAAATAATAATAATTTTGCTGAAAATGAGCGATCATGTAAAAAATTGATATGAAGGGGGCGGGGATCTTCAAATTCTATAAGAGGATGGGCCCCTGATTCGTTTATATTTTTTATGTCTTTCCAGGTGAAAACGCTTTTTCGACATCCCCTTCACTGTTGTTTAAAGGTCTCAAGGTCTCAAGCAAAAATCGATACGAATGTTGCCAGTTACTTTTTCAAAACCAAAGCTAAAAACAAGTGCTCTAAAGTGCTCGAATGAAATTGTTAAGGGCTACAGAAAATCATTAGTGAGTTAAAGCGGGAAGATCAAAGCCCAAGGCGTTGTGACACTTCAAAGCCGACCCTGTATTAAAAACTGATGAGATTTTTTATAAGCTGGCTGAATCTTTGTGCCTTCCCCTCTCCTCATATTATTTTCGAGCAAGACAGCTTTCTTTTAACAAAAATATAAATTTTTATTTAGTACTGGTGGTAATTGTGGAAAATATTCAATAATAAATAAAAAATTCAATAATTAAAAAATAGAATAATTCGGCTCTAGGGAACATATATACGAATGTCTTTAGGTTTTATTTTATAGATTATTTCAGGGTTAGGTTAGGGTAAGACCGAGGGCTGCGGCTAGGACAGGCCAGGGGATGTAGTGTTGCAACTAGGACAGACTCGGTGCCGCGTGCTTCGACCATATGTACAATTTTGACCATGTGTAACATGAGCTCTTTGTACAAATTGATGGGGGGGGGGGGGGGGGGGGAAATAACTCTCTTTGAGAAATTACCGTAATGTATTTGAAAGGATGGAAAAACTTCTGGTTTTTCCTAGAGAAAGGCTTTTTTGGCCACTTCCTATCAATTTTCATAACCAATATTTTTTAACAAAATCCAAAAGCGTTCTCTTGGAAATTACCAAATAAACTTCTCGTTTTGATTTCCTATTCCCCCCCCCCGTAAATCTTTAAATTTTATACTCCTGATAAAATGAGAAACCTTTTCAGAAAATGTTTGGATAAAGGATAAAGATGGCGACAAGAAGGAGATCCTGTAGTCTCGAGAATGATCCTGAGGTCAGTGTAGAAAAAGTATTCGTGTAACATTGAAAACTCCGGTTTAAGTATCGGAACACTTTCATTTGAAATCTAAATTGGTCTGATGTAAATTAATGTGAACCTGAATGCGTTGGATGTATAAGCATTATGCACCAATTTGGATTATGAGTATAGGTTGTATCAATAATGAGTATTTAATGTAGTAGTACAATGTACAATAATGTAGAATTTAAATATAGGGTCAAGGAAATACGTTTCCCTGGGGGTGAATATTTTCCAGAAAATTCATTCAGGAACGTCATGAACCCCTGAAAAGACCTCCGGAGCCTTTTGATTCGCAGAGTGCCTTCCAAGCTCCACGAAACCGTCACCATGTCTCTCTCCATTTTATTATAATGAAACCCAAGAACAAAATTATTGTTTTTGTTATCATAGAAATAGTTTAATTATAGAAATAGTATATTTTTAGAAATCCCAGATTTAGGAAATGAATTGTTTTCATTATTTTGGAAAATATGTTTTTCGCTTAAACTTGATAAGATTCTAATTTTATCTTTTTAGAATGAGAAATATTTTTCCATCAAACATTAATTTCATATTTCATTTCAGAAGTTTCATAGTGAATTTCTAATTGATATTATTTTTTTAATGAATTAGTGCAAACTTTATCTAGAATCCCCCCTCCCTCCCAGCAAGACAAAGGACATTAAAAAAATATCAAATTGACATCTTTTTAGAGTGTAGTAACGTCAATTTGACATCACAAAAAGACGTCAAATTAATCTAAAAACGTTCCCATTTTAATGTCAATAGGACATTATTGTTTGACGTTAGATTGATGTATAATATCCTAAAATTATGTCAATTTTATGTTTGTTTGATGTCATTTCAAATGTTTTGAGTCATTATAATGACATTATTTGATGTTACAATACCAAAAATGAGATCCATATTTATGATACCTAACATCTCAATGACCTTCAAATAATGTCACTTAATATCTCAATGACATTCAAATAATGTCATTTAACATTTAAACGGAGTCAAATTATATCTATGAACATTTTAATGACGTTTCATTAATGTAGTTTTACTTTTAAATGGCGTCAAAATAATGTCAATTTTAACCTTATGAAACGTCCCTTGAACTAAATACAAATGACAAGAAGTTGTAAATGTATTATTCAAATAAGAAAAACAGTTTTTATGTAACAAATCTAAATATTTATCACAAACAAAGATTACATTGACTTCTTTTTTGACTTGGTGTTATTAGATTATCTTCAATGTTTCCATAGAATCTTCATAACTTTGCTGAAAATTTCATCCACACTACATTGCATTCCCATCCATGATCCCATAGTCTGTGCTTCAAATGTGAAATATATTCTCTCTCCAACTGAAATAGAAACAATCTTAATATCTAGTTGAAGGATAGAAGATTAAAAGACTGACTATTAGATCATCAGACTGTCGACTGTCAGACTATCAGACTGTCAGAAGAAGAGAAGAAGAGAAGAAGAGAAGAAGAGAAGAAGAGAAGAAGAGAAGAAGAGAAGAAGAGAAGAAGAGAAGAAGAGAAGAAGAGAAGAAGAGGCTGGAGAGCTGGAGAGCTGGAGAAAGATTAATCAAATTAATGAAAGATTAATGAAAGATTAAAGAAAGATTGATGGAATTAATGAAATATTGATGAAATGTATTAAAGATTGATGAAATGAATGAAAGATTGATGGAATTAATGAAAGATTGATGGAAAGGATGAGAGATCGATTGAATGAATGAAAGATTTTTTTTTTAAGATCTAAATATTTATTTTGTAGCAGAGATTAAGATATTACAAATGTATCACAAGTTTACAACTTTCATAAATGGAAAAACTACATTATTTATTTTCTATATAAATGATTCATATGATAGACACAGATTAGACTTTGAATGCCAGTGCAATATTTCGCAGCTGACTCCCTCGTCAACCATTGCTGAGAAACAACAGAACTTCCTGTAGTTATTAACCAACTGATATTTAATTTGGTTGTCTACTTTTTCATATGCTCTAATTGCGTTGTGTCTAATTGGGCAAACTGTACAATCTTTTTCTTCACAGAAAGTAAAAACTGGGTTTGCAATGTTCACAGGTGGTTTTAGTTCGATTTCAAGTTCAGTTTCAGATTCTGGACCAGCTTCAGTCTCAAGTTCAGGTTCAGGCGCAGACTCAGTCTCAGGTTCAGGTTCAGGCGCAGACTCAGAATCAGGTTCTGGTTCAGGCGCAGACTCAGTCTCAGGTTCAGGTTCAGGTTCAGGTTTAGGCGCAGACTCAGGATCAAGTTCAGGTTCAGGTGCTGACCCAGGATCAGATTCCTTAGTAACCTTAGGCCTGGAAAGAAGATTGGTGTTAGGTGTTGATGGTGTACATATCCCATCAAGCTGGGGAATAGGGGAGGAAGTGATGGATGGAGATCTAGCTCTTTTCATCTTGGCTTTCCTATCTTCTAGTAGAGGAGGTCTAGCTTCATTCACGTGGTTCCTTACAATCTTTCATGGGCACCCGATTTCCTGACATGGGGACTTTGACACATCCCGCAAGGGTTGTCTAGCTTCCTTCAGGGGGGACCGCACTTCCTTCAGGGGGGACCGAACTTCCTTAAGGGGGGACCGCACTTCCTTCAGGGGGGACCGCACTTCCTTCAGGGGGACCGCACTTCCTTCAGGGGGGACCGCACTTCCTTCAGGGGGGACCGCACTTCCTTCAGGGGGGACCGCACTTCCTTCAGGGGGGACCGCACTTCCTTCAGGGGGGACCGCACTTCCTTCAGGGGGGACCGCACTTCCTTAAGGGGGGACCGCACTTCCTTCAGGGGGGACCGCACTTCCTTAAGGGGGGACCGCACTTCCTTCAGAGGGGACCGCACTTCCTTAAGGGGGGACCGCACTTCCTTCAGAGGGGACCGCACTTCCTTCAGGGGGACCGCACTTCCTTCAGGGGGGACCACATTTCCTTCAGGGGTGACTGCACTTCCTTTAGAGGGGACCGCACTTCCTTCAGGGGAGACTGCACTTCTTGCTGGGGTAGTATCACTTCCTTCAGAGTTGACATCACACCTCTGTTTCTTCTCCTTCTCCTGTTGACGGGTCGAGAAACTCTAGAAAATGAGAAAAATTCTTCTCCATCTTTAGTCCACAGGTTAAGCTTGATATCCAGTCCTAGATCCACTCCTTCACTATACAACTCCAAGAGTTTATGTGTAATTCTCATTGTTTATGTTTTAAACTCCCCGCCATAGCAACAGCTAGCTGGGTCAGCTGGTATCAGACTAGGAGAGAGAGAGTCACAGAGATGTGTTGTTGCTAGCAGAGTTAGGGGGAGACTGAATGAATGAAAGATTGATGGAATGAATAAAAAAGATTGATGGAATGAATGAAAGATTGATGGAATGAATAAAAAAGATTGATGGAATGAATGAAAGATTTATGGAATGAATGAAAGATAGATGGAATGAATGAAAGGTTGGTGGAATGAATGAAAGATTGATGGAATAAATGAAAGATGGATTGGTTGAAGGTTTGATTGATTGAGTATGAATTAAGGTTGCGAAGAGAGATCTACCTGCCCGACGCACTAGGCCGGTTAGTCTGGTGAGAACCATGTCTGGGAATATTGACAACCAGCTGGCAGGTAGTAAACTAGTAGCACTCTTACAGGAACTGTGTTGTAATTTCATGGGACGTTTCATTTAAAGAGGAACATGCCTGATTCAGTCTTTTTTCCGTACTAGTAATGTCCCCCCTGAGAATATAAAATGCAAAGAAATTAGCTTTATGTAAAAGTTAACAAATTTAAAAATAACCAATAATATTTTAAAAATGTTAGTTCACAATATTATAGTGCAAAAAAATTCAGCTTTATGTACGAGTTAAACAATTAAATTTTTTTAGTTTACTATATTTTTTTTTTAAGTACAGGTTAAAGGAAAAAGGAAGAAAATTCAAGAGACGACTGTACGAAATTTTTACTGTGTTTCCGAATATTCATGCTTCCCTGCAACTGCAAACTTGTTTGTTTCTTAGCTAAATCACTTTAAAATATGATAAGATTTTCGGTCGTCTTTATAGTCTCATTCTTTGTGGGTAACCCTGTAGCTAAAATACTCAAAATTGGTTTAAATCTTACTGGATACTTTGATCATAACTTTATAGATCTTGTCAATATATGATCATTATTTTTTTCAAAACATATGTCATTCATCCTTCAATTGGATTAAAAAAAGTAAATGATTAATTAAAATTTCGTTAAATCTCCTAAATTTAGGACAAATATTTGATCATTTTTGCGGGGCCAGCACTCTCAAATCTATTCTCAGATCATTCAGGTTAGTATTCAACCAATGTCTTAGATTCTGAGACCGAATTAAATAAATTGGTGAGGTCGCTGAACTACCTACTTCCAGGTCAAAGGGTTCAGCTGGATGTGAGTTGGTAATTCAGCGCCCTCTCCAATTCATAAAATTCAGTCCCCTGGATCTGTAATATACACCATATTCATATTTATTTTAAATATTAGCTAAAGGTTGAATTCTGGGTGAAGCCATTGGTCTGGACTGGTCAGTAATAAGATTATAAGCAGCGCAGACACCTTATTTATGGTTAGGTTGGGAAAAGAAATTTAAAGACTGCTGTGGGGCAGTTAGGGGCAGACTAAGGGCCGAGCCCTGCAAATACTGAATAAGAACACAGTTTGGGACATTTTAACAGAAAGTTGATTTATTATTAATTTTAAATCATCAGGGATTTATATTTTCATGAAAAAGCATCCACCCCCCTCAAAAGTAACTATCCCTCTGGTGCAATAAAGAAATAATTTAGTTCGGAGCTCCAATCCAAATCTGAACCGGAGTTTTCTCTAAACTGGGAAAGATAAATTAATTTTAGAGTTAAATGTTGATGTCTAGATTTTATTTTTTATATTTCCCCCTTGTGTACTGTCTTAATGTAGGATTCGGAAAAAATACCTAAAACTGTTAATTAATCGTTAGTAGAAAAACACACCTAAGAAATTAAGAAAACACTAAGATGACCTAATTTTGTCCCCTACATCACAATGACGTTATCTATTACTTATCAGAGCTGAAATCTTGAGAACTGTTGATACCGAGATCAGTGCTAGATCTCCTCTTTTTCTTAATCTGCAGAAGGACAAAGGCTTTTTTTGAATTCATGAAAGTGTCTAAAATTCAACCAATCAAGAGTGTCGTTTTCATAGACCAAACAGCAAATCAGAAGCCAGGAAATTTTGCGCACAAACAATGTTGTGTCAACATAAGTTCAAGTTACCCCTAAGATTCATAACGTTAAAGATGCAAATGTTTTGTCTCGTCCGAGAAATTTCCTTTTTAGCATTCATGGGGAAACAATGAGTTTGGACAAAAGGGGTGAGAAAAATTTCTTTATGTTCCCCAATAAAAAATTGAGGCAAATCGGTCAAGGAGTTTATTAGTTTTGTCGGAAAAAAAACAAAAAACTGGTCATAGACAAACAGAAATTACAACTTTATATAAATAGATTGATTTTAATCTTCTATGTTTTATTAACCCTATTTCTACAGGAGGGAGCGGAGGGGGGGGGGTTATATATAATATACAAAGTAGTAATCTCAGTTTGTTCGTCTGTTTATTTTTATATTTATTTTATATTTATATAACTCATGAACCTCTTTACAAATTTGCTTGAAATTTGTTGTAACTTAGTATTACTACAGGCATGTTCTCTAGGCTTGGTTTAAAAGTTCTAAATTGAGTGAGTTGGTTTTTACAGAGAAAACTTAGTCATTTATAAAGAATCTGTTTCAATTTAGTTAATTTCACTCAGATTAGGCTCAAAATCGGGTTTTGCTGATGTCTTTTAAAGATATTTTTTTTTCGTTCGACTAGTGCAAAGGATCCAATTCATATTTGCGTGGATCCGGATTCTGGATCCGCCCTGAAAAAAAATGGATCCAGATCCAGGTCATTAACATTTCTTTAGGATTTACTGATATTTTTAACACTAGAAGAATTTTTAAGTTTTTCCTTTTTTTTCGTTTATTTTTATGCCAAAAGTGGATAAACCACTCATTCAGAGATCAGGAAATTTTCAATAATCTCTTTTAACAGCTGAGATTTAATATTTTTCCGTGGATCCGTATATTTTGCGTATCCGGATCTGGATCCGGATCCATGAAGCCTAAATGTTGCGGATATGGATCCTTAGCACTCGTTGCGACAAGTAACTAAAAAGTTACAAGCTTAGAAAACTAAAAATAATTCGCACAATGTATAAACTGTTATGAAATCCCAAAACTTCTTAACAAAGATGTATTTTTATTTGAAAAAAATATATTTTGTTTGAATATTTTAATTTTCTTTATTTTCTCACTTGAAGGTAGGGAATAGAGAAAATTATCAGATAAATGGGAAGCCATTACCTTCCAGTTCGGCCAAATTGCCAGAGTTAAAAACATTGTATTCAATTTTATGTTAAACAGTTTATTTCTTCTTCTTAATTTAATGGTATTTTGTATTTTCATAATGGTGCTTTTTCTTACATAGGATTTTTGAAGTGCTTTTGCTTCATACATGAGAAAAATATAGAGTTTTTTTTTGGCCGTTTAAGTTTGTTTTGTTTTATTTATTTATTTTGTAAACGTACACAATTTAAATAATTGGTACAATTAAACAGAAGAAAAAAGAACTATAAGAGTATATACCAAAAATGAATACAAATACAAGAAACAAAATCATACTGTAATTAGGTCGTGCATATAGATTTAATAATATCGTCAATCTCAGCTTGGTCAACTCCATTGATAACAATATTATTGTTTTTTTTTTGCAGAAATTAGTTCATTTAAAAATGGAATCCTTTACGAACGTTTAGGGATCAGTTATGATATTAAAGAGTTTAAAGGATTTGATTAATAGATAAGTGTTCAATTTCAAGCGAGACTCTAATCTCTATGCATATATTGTCATTTCCTTGTCTCCGTTGTTTTTTCTAGTTGAGTAATTTTACTAGCTATCACTTTCAAAAAGATTTATTTTTTGGTAATATTTTAATTAGTTAATAGTTAAAAATAAATGCAATGGATTGCTATCAAACTCTCCTATCATATGAATTCTGTTTTAAGCAACATGATGCGCAAAAAATCTTTGCGCGCAATTATGCAATCAAAAATGCCTTTGCGTGGAACCATACTTGAAGAAGTTTATGGAAGTTTTCTTTCTGTTGCTTATTTCTGAAAGTAGAATGAAATCTGTTAAAAGCTGAATTTGGTTCCGATTAAATGCAATATTTGAGTGGTTCTGTTTAATTCTAAATTTAGGTTTAAAGGGGTGGGGGATAATTTTGGAAATATTAACCCCTAAACTAAATTTAAATCTCTTTTGATAATTTTTGGCACTTTTAGAATATTATCATGATCACAGTCCCTTAATTCATATTTAAATTTAAATTCGGTGATGGTGATGGACCAAACCTCTGTAGAGTTAAAAAGTAGATGTTAGTTCCACATTTATTGAAAATATATTTCGGTCTGGGTTGACCCTCCTCAGTTCTAAGAATATAATAACCATCAAAATCGATAAAAAATTTTTTTGTTGTTAAATCACAAGAAAATAAACAAACGAAAAAGATTATTCTAAATAAAAATTTGGGTTGTCAAATGGACATAAGGGAAACGAACTCAGATTATGAGATGGAAAAAAGATAATTTGCAAATATTCACTTTTAAAAAAAAATGTTTAAAGACAATTATTATTCCTTGAGATTGTTTCTGTTACAAAGGTTAAAAACAAACTGTTAAGATGTATGTTTATAAAGTGGTGGTGGGGGTCGAACTAATTAACGAACTTTTGCGTATATCGGGGGAGGGGGGGACAGTGGCTTGTTTAAGGAGGGGTATTTAAACCTTTTAAAAAATTGGACATGAAGAACTCTTTTTTTAAGTAATAAATATAAAATATAAAAAAGTTTTGAAGTGATTAGTGTGAAAGGATTTAAAGTGATAAGACACACATTTAATTTGTCGTATAGCACTTTGCAGAAAGCTCTGAATTCATGAAATAATATTTGCAATTGAACCTAATAAGTTTCTTAATGAGCTTTATGGTCTTTGTTGCCATTTAATAGCTTTATCTGATAATTAAGAAAAATTGTGCCGCCAAAAATTTTGTTCAATAATAATTTTTTTCTTTTCTAGATATTTGTGTGATGTAATTCGGCTGAAACCTAACCAGCTTCCATACTTCTATCCTAAGCTTAAGGTTAGATTAATAAAAATGAAAAGAAGAATGTTTTTCTAAATTCTAAAATTATAAATTTGAATGGTGCAACAATAAATATTGAATATGGTGGATGTGATATTATTTCTTTAGGCAAACTTGTTGAGTTGGAAGGCTCAGGCGCTGTGGGCAAAACTGGATAAAAGAGCATCACAAAAATGCTACAATCGGTGAATATTTTCTGCTTTTGCTTTAGCTTATTTTGAAAAATCCGTTGGTTTCACTAATTGCGTCTAAAACTCCGAAAACTCCGACATCTTTTAATATAAAAGTAATATCGGAATAGAACGTTACTCTACAATTTTGTCGTTAAAATGAGATTAGAGTTTTTTTTAATGAACTCCAAATCCGCCGATTAAAACTAGAAAATCAATAAATTTCTTAATGCTATTGTTTCATAACGTAGAAATATTTTAATCAATTAAAGAGAACATTTCATTATTTTATTGATAATCTTGATAATAAATTGGATTAATGATTTATTTATAAACAGCTTTTATTTGATGGATTGATTGAGGGATTGATGGATTGATTGATGTATTGAAAGATGACTTAATGGATGACTATTTGGACTGATGGGCTGATGGATTGATGTGGATTGATGTGGATTGATGTGGATTGATGTGGATTCATATGTATTGATGTGGATTGATGTGGATTTATGTGGATTGATGTGGATTGATGTGGATTGATGTGGATTGATGTGGATTGATGTGGATTGATGTGGATTGATGTGGATTGATGTGGATTCATATGTATTGATGTGGATTGATGTGGATTTATGTGGATTGATGTGGATTGATGTGGATTGATGTGGATTGATGTGGATTGATGTGGATTGATGTGGATTGATGTTGATTGATGTTGATTGAGGAGGGGGGATTGTTTGATTGATTGATTAATAGGGGGATTTATTGAGTGATATGATTTGTTCTGATTGATCAAATGATGATTGATTGATTTGTATAGGGGTAAAGCCTGTGCTGGGACTAGAGTTCTTATAATAGGAGCTGGACCTTGTGGTCTCAGGTATAAATGAAAACCACCGGTATAGAAGTCAGGGGCGTGTACAGGAATATTTCCAGGGGGGCTTTTGGTCCCTTTTAGTGGAAATCATAGTTTTCATTTTTTCAAGGGGATGGTTAATATCATCATAAACATTGTTTTTTTTGTATAAACGTGTTCAAATATCAATTTTTAGTATCAATATTTAATGTTGTATCATATCTGTTCGGTTCCATAGTAGTAAACCTATCCTGCAAGAATTCCTCGAGATGATGAGGTGAAACCAAAATCAGAAAAAAGTTCATTTTATAAAAACTTATCATTGAAATACTAGTGTCACAAACTTTTAATGGAGTCTTAGCACTCCATAGCAATGAAAACAATCTTGCTACATAAATATTCATCCGTTCATGCCGATCTGATTTTTACAATCTGCTTTTCTCTCCTCTTTTTGGAAGATTTAGGGTCTAATATCCAGGAAATGATTTCTTTTGTAAATGAAAACACGATTTTGTTCAGTAGATTAAGACAACCCACTACTATACCTTCTCCCCATCTAAGAAATACTCAGGGCACATTCAGCATTCTGTATCTAAATGTAGTATCTCAACTTGAAAAAAAACAAGCAAAATCATTGTAATTGGTTAACAAACAAACTAAACTAAGGAAACAATCACACTAATGCATTAGTTTCAAATTAAGAATCAATATTTACTTATAAAGGTTTTTAGCATTTTAACATTAGAAAAATAAAAAACAGTGATAGTCAGAACTAGAGCATAAAACTTATTTGCAACCTTTCATAATGTGAATTGTTCCAACTTGAAATAGTCGGATTTCACCAGAATTATTTTTTAATATAATTTCTTGGGTATGTGCCCATGGAACCTCACAAATATGATGTAATAATAAGCTCATGGGGATTAAAATGTAAAAATAAAATTCTCATTTTTTTCCTTATAAGATTATCATATTATACCAATATTTTATTAGATTGTTTTTCTTTGCTAACTTTTAACTTTGTTGAACTTGATAAAAGTTGTCACTTATAAAAGATTTTCAGGTAGTCCAAAAATATGAAAAAAATATTATTTTTTAAAATATTGATAATACCAAGTGACCTTTTATTTCTGAATTTACATGTTCTGTTCACAACGGTTCGTATAATACCAAGCCTTACCTTGGAATACGAAGATGCTCTTATTTTCTCTATGTTACAGTATCAAAAATCACAGAAATCTGATAGGGTACTTTTGTGAATTTTCCATGCCTCTCTTCTACTAATGGAGGATCATCTAAAATTACCTCTACAGTTCCTCTTGATATAGATGAGATAATGCTAATTCAAATATTATTAACATTAATTTATAATAATAATACAGGACGGCAATAGAAGCACAGTTGCTGGGTGCCAAAGTGGTTGTAGTTGAGAAAAGAGACAGATATTCAAGGTTAGATTATTCAGATTTTTTTCCACTCTTTTTCAAGTATTTTGTTGTAGTTGTTGTTCATTTGTATTTTAGAGTTTTTCTGGGGGAATTTCTAAATGTTAAATAATTATACATATTTTAAATAGATGTTTTATGTAACTGTATTTATACTCAATATTAATGCATTTGTTTTATACAATTAAAAAAAACAATTATATCCTAGAAAAATATTCTCTTGTTACATTTTCTTTGTATCAATCTTTCATTTTGTTGAGCTAGCATCCAATGGCGGTCTTGGCTCTTAATTTATCTTATCTTATCTTATCTTATCTTATCTTATCTTATCTTATCTTAAAGCATAACTAGGATTTAGATTTGGATTAGCAATATTTTAGCACCTTGAATCCGGGTGTCCTTTTTTATATCTCCAACGCACATTTTCACCTTCCTGATTATTAAACTTTGAAATATGATTTCACGTAAAAAAAACCCGACTAAGATAATGCTTGATCCGGATCCGCGTCCAAAAAAAATGGATACTGAGAATTTTTAAACATACTAAAATAATATTGATAGTTTTATCGTTTCATTATTTGGTCATGCTTTGCCCATTCCCATCATTCCGAAAATCCAAGACGTTCTTTTCATTTTAATCTTATTTTGTTTCCTTTTCAAGTCATTACTGTTTTGAGGAGGGACGGGGGGGGGGGTTAGTTTCATAAATGTAATAAAGTAGAGTTTTCGAAATCTTGCAATTTAATTCCAAGTTGAGAGTTTGGGAAATCTTTTAGAGAAACATTTGCGAGGAAACAAGTTGCTGAAAACTTTTAAGTTTTGTCATTTTCTTTCAGCTTGAAGAATTAAACATAGATTATATAAATGTAAGAAAAGGTAAGAATTAAACATAGATTATATAAATGTAAGAAAAGGTACTGGTTGGTAATCAGCTACTGCAAATTAATATCGTCCTTTAAAAGATTCAGGAAAATACGACTTAGGTCGCCGTTGGGCCTTAGTTACGGCTTGGGCTTTCGGATTTAAGTTGCATCTAATTTTCACAGGGTTAAGTTCATAATATTGTGTTTGGTGGATTTTCATGGTTGGAATAGGCGCATTCCGGGTTTTTTATGAGAACAAGACTCAACATTGAGCATTATTTTCCATTAAAAGCGACCAAAGTCGGTTTTATTATAATTAGGCCTAACTCCGCAAGTCGAGCCTAAGATCTCGCAGCTGTCATTAGAGTCGGGTCTAAGATTGGGTCTTTAATCTGGGTTTAAGGAATTGCAACCAGAGCCAAAGCTTTTAAATCGTGGGCTCATTTATGTTTCCTAAATTAGCCAATAGCTCAGTTAAGTAACATATTATTCATGTTGGAATGGATATTAGAAATTTTTATTTGTTTCATAAAATAATTTTTTTGCTTCTCCCATGGGGGTTTTTCTTTTTTTAAAAAAAGTGGATAAAGAAAATTGAATGTATTAATCTGTAACTCTATATTAGCTTTTTAATACTTTTCTCATGAAAAAAATATTTATTTATAAAAATTTTGGTTTTAGAAAACATTTAAAATTTAGAGAAATTTATGATTTTTCAGGAATGAGTGGGGGGGGGCTTAGTGATTGTTTATTTATCTATAGTGAATACTGCTGTATAAATTTTTCTTATAAATATGTTTTTGTTTTTGTTTCAATTTCCTTAAGTGTCGTTTAAGTGTCTTTTTAGTGGAGTACTATATCTTTTTAAAACCAAATATTTTTATTTTCCGTTCTGTTTTTCATGTTAACATCTATATTACAAAATATATTGTATATCACTCCTATATCGATAGGAGTGATGCATTGCACTTTTTTCTTTTGTTTTATTTTTAAAATAATTACATGATTTTTATTGTACAATTTTTTTTGGGAACAACATACAACAAAGTTTTTTAGCTTTTTATAAAACTGTGGAATAGGATGACGACATTTATTTCAGTAATCAGTAATCTCCTTTGTATTTGATTACTTTATCAGTAGATTAAAAATTAACTTATAACGTTGAATGGGTTGTGTACACTGTACACTAAACAAGCGCTGGGTTTCATCATTTTCCAATCTCCAGGACCGGGGGGGGGGGGGGATTTTCATGAATTGGGGGAAGGAAAAAAATTAAAAATGGGACATCTTAAGGCAAGTTTTTTTTTATTTTTTATGATACTTTTTTCGCCTAAAAAATCCTTTAATTTTCCCTGAAAAATAATATATTTTCTCAAATTCTGCGAAAAACCCATTAATTTTTTTTAGGCGCCCCGAGCAACCATATGGAACTTTTTGGGAAAATAAATGATTTTAAGGGGGGGGAGTGTGATGATTTTTTAGGAACATATACACCCCAGCGGCAACCTCATAACTTTAGCTATCAATAGTCTTCGTATTTCAAAGTTTTATGTTCAAATCGAGTAACTCTTATTGTTTTTTTTTATAGGAATAATGTGCTGCATCTCTGGCCCTACAATATCCAGGATTTAAGAGCTCTTGGAGCAAAAAAGTTTTACGGAAAGTTCTGTGCTGGTTCCATTGATCATATCTCAATCAGGTAAAAAAATTGGTTCCATTGATCATATCTCAATCAGGTAAAACAATTGGTTCCATTGATCATATCTTCAATTAGGTGAACAAATTGGTTCCATTGATTGTATCTCAATCAGGTGAACAAATTGGTTCCATTGATCATATCTCAATTAGGAAAGCAAATTGGTGCCATTGATTGTATCTCAATTATGTGAACAATTAGTTCTGTGCTGGATCCATTGATCATCAGGTTAAACAAATTGGTTCCATTGATCATATCTTAATATGGTAAACAAATAGTATGCACAATTCATAGAGAGACATTTTATAGATTGCATAGATAGGTCATTGCATAGACAGGTCATTGCATAGACAGGTCATTGCATAGATAGGTCATTGCATACTGCATAGATAGGACATTGCAAAGATAGGTCATTGCATAGATAGGTCATTGCTTAGATAGGACATTGCATAGATAGGACATTGCATACTGCATAGATAGGACATTGCAAAGATAGGTCATTGCATAGATAGGTCATTGCTTAGACAGGACATTGCATAGCTAGGCCATTGCATAGATAGGTCATTGCATAGATAGGTCATTGTTTAGATAGGACATTGCGTAGATAGGACATTGCATAGATAGGACATTGCATAGAAAGGACATGGCCTAGATAGGTCATTGCATAGAAAGGTCATTGCATAGACAGGATATTGCATAGATAGGTAATTGCATAGATACGTAATTTCAAGACATTTCATAGATAGGACATTACAAAGAAAGGACATTGCATAGATAGGACATTGCATAGATAGGTCATTGCATAAATAGGTCATTACATAGATAGGTCATTGCATAGATAGGTCATTGCATAAATAGGTCATTACATAGATAGGTCATTGCATAGATAGGACATTGCGTAGATAGGACATTGCATAGATAGGACATTGCATAGATAGGACATTGCATAGATAGGTATTTTCAAAACATTTCATATACAGAGAAACATATTTCATTAACGTTTTTGTTATTAAGTACGATTTTCCAAATAATTAAACATTTCCATGAAACAGTTTTCTTTTTATAATGGTTTCAACAAATTTTACTATTTGTAAGAAATGTCTATTTAATGCTCTGGTCACGAAATGTTACGTCTACGAAGTTCAAATAGTTTATTTAAATGTGAAAATAAAGATTTTCAGGAACCATAATCAAGATATTGTGAGAAATGTTTTTTAAAAAGAACTCTCTAACTATTGTGGCTCTGTACATAAAAGGTTTTATCGTCCACATTTTATATCATTTCTTATCGATTTTATGATGGATTTTTAGAGGATAACTATTATCCACTGACTGACATTGAATCCTTATATTTAAGAGTTGACAAGTTTACTCTCTGATGCTTTACAAATTTTTGCCTTCTTGTAAGTCAGGTTTAAGTCTACTTTAAGCCTGTCCTTATGATGCGGATCCGTTGGATCTGCAACATTTTTACTTCCTGGGTCCGGATCCGGATCTGACAAAATATGTGGATCCACGGACCCGAATCCAAGGGCAAGATATCAACCAAATACTGCAAAAAATATGCAAATTTAAACTGTTGAAAAAAGAGAGATTATTAGAAATGTCCTTATATCCAGTTCATCAAGTTGTTTCATAAAAATAAGCGAAAGTAAGAAAACTAATTCGAAGTTTCTTCTTTTGTTAAAAAAAGTAAATCTTAAATAAGTGTTGACCTGGACCTGGATCCGGATCCGAATCCATTTTTTTCAATTGCGGATCCAGGATTTGGATTAGAATCTGCATAAAAATTAATTGTATCCTAAGCACTATTTTAATCCTCTTCATTTATTTTAGACAACTTCAGTGTATTTTACTCAAAGTATCACTTCTCCTTGGGGTTGAAGTGTTTGAAGGAGTTGGGTTCGAGTCCCTTGTAGAACCTACTGATCAGGTTAGCTAATAGTTGTAAGGATATAACTTACTAGAGTTTGTTTGTGTACAGTGTATTCTTTACATTTATTAATTTACGCGGATTTTTTGTCTCTGTAAAATACAAAATACTTTTAAAAAAATAATTTTTTCGCGGATTGTTATGTACCAAATATATTTTTGAATTCTGTTCACTAAATTATGATAGTATGAACCCTGTGAAATATTTAGTATTGTTGTGTTAACCTACGCTAATTCCATTTTTAAGCACCCTATATTATACATACACGGTATAGACATAGAGACATACACCTTTATATTTACAGTTTATAAAAGTAATGTATATAAAGATCCTAGTTCATAAACCATTATCCTGTGCGCTCCTATAATAAATTATTCCTATACCTTGCCTAGTGGATTCCAAGTAATAATAAACCCGTCCTGAGACAATATTACTGGACATTACTTTTTCTGAAAATTAAGATATTTAAAGATATAAAAGAGCAAAATAAAAGAGATAAAAGGAACGGAGACAAGGGACAAGGAAGGGACAAGGAAGGGACAATGAAGGGACAAGGAAGGGACAAGGAAGGGACAAGGAAGGGACAAGGAAGGGAGTCCGAATTTAATGTATTTGAGCCGCGTCTCAAATCCGCTAAAAACTGGTTTTAATAGAGCGCCGGCTTAAATCTTGAACATTAAACACAATTTTAAGTGGAAGTGTCTCAAATTTATGCCGCGGCTTAAATTCTTTAAATTCTGACTCAGACCTCACAAACCTTACCCTGAAATTATTTAGTATTTGGCTTTGTGTAGTTCTCTAATTAATCTTTCTTTCAAACTTTTCATTTATTTTGTTAGTTAGGTCTAACCATTCCAGTTTTCTTAAAGGGAGTGACCGGCTTTGTAAGGTAGTCTAACAGAGTATTCAGTGTTGTGGAAAACTTCTTTCGGATTCATTTGAGACATCTAAAACTTTTTAATGAACGTTGAATTTGCGCTCAAACTCGGGATTTACAGATCTTTAAAAAGTTTTATATGTCTCAAATGAATCCGAAAGAAGTTTTCCACAACACTGCATACTCAGTTCAACTATTTTACATAGCCGGTCACTCCCTTTAATACATAATAACGCTTCTTCTAAATTTACTAACAAAATGTTAAACAATATAAATTCTATTTTTTAAAAACTCATATATTGAATCGTTAGTTGAATATATGTCTGTACAAAACCTACAGATTAAGTACAAACACAGTCAATGAGAGTAATTAGTGGAACAAAATATCCATGTCACCTCCTCTTTTGATAAAATCCTTGACCAAAAAAACAGTGCATTCAAACTAAAAAAATCATATCTAAATATGTACTAAATGTATTCTATTTCTAACTATATAGTTAATGTACTTTAACCTGTTCTCAATGTACTCTAGGACACTGGATGGAGAGCTAGGGTTGACCCAGTTGAACATCCTGTCAGGAAATTTAATCACAAATATACATAAACCTTCTTTATATTAACAATCATAATTTTTTGGTCTTCAATCAGTACAAAACAATTTCATCCAATTTTTCGGAACATAACATTTAATATTCTATTTATTTTAATAATATTTTATCAATGAGGAATTTCCTTTTATTCTGAGCCGGCGATTTATAAAATTCAAGAAAATACGACTCAGGTCTAAGCTGTCCGGCCTTGAGCTTTCGAAATTCATGCTGCATCTTATTTTCCACCGAGTTGAGTGAAAAAACCGGTTTAATATTCTATATATATGTATATGAGAACAAGACTCAACATTGAGCCTTAAACTCTACTAAAACCAACCAAGGTCGGTTTTATTTTCATTGGGTGTAATTCTTTAAGTCGAGCCGAAGATCTTGCAGCTGGCAATCACGTGACACAAGCTGTCGTCAGAGTTGGGTCGAAGATTTAGTCTTAAAGTCGGATTTAAGTAATTACGGCTCGAGCCGAAGATTTTAAATCGTGGGCTCTGAAAGCATGAATCATTTGATCGGCCGATAGAAATTAAGAAGAAATTGCCTAGAAACAATTTAGATACCGCATATGATCAAAGTAAATCTTCAAATTTTCTAACTGTTGTGTTTACTTTCAAATGTTGCATGGAAGCATAATGAAGGGCTTGAACATGCAGGGTGTCCTAATAAAAAATAAACATGGTAATTAATTGACGACTTCTATATTGTCTTTGTTTCAAGCAAAATTATTTCGTAAATATAATTTTGTAGTATTTCAGTTGAAAAATTTGTAAATATGTCCAGATTCCAGTTAATTAAAATTTAACAAGACTGTTCAAATGTTTATTATCTCAGCCAATTTTAAAGATACAAAGAAGGTAGACGATATTTTGTAAAGCTCATTAGACGTGCAATCTTTTTTTTGATGCACTTTATGTCATTTATCAAATATCGGAAATCAAAGACGATATTCAAATAGTCTCTCAATTCCCATGTTTATTGGGACACCCTGTAGATCAGCAGGAGAAAGAGTAAATTATTAATAAAAATGGGTGGGAAGCATCCTCTAAGGCTTCTGGTAAATAAATGAATATTATAAATTTCTTATTTGTATTCCTAGAAATGGTCTTCCAGAGAAGATTGGAATTCCTGATTGTGCATTTCTCACCTAATTTTCAATTAGGTCTTCACGCCAAATGCCGGACGCAGGCTCAGTCATCATACCCATTTCTCACGCGCTTGTTTCTGTAAATATCCACAGTTCATTTATACTTTAGGAACGAGGAAAGCACGTCTTGTGGTGGAAACTGAAAAAATAAATCACTATTAATCAGTTCCATATAATTTAAAAGTTTTAAAGCAATACCATCAACTAATTATTATTTTACAATCAATCAATCACACGAATATATTAAATGAGTGCTTACATTTGGTGCATCGACTGAGTGGGTGGAGCACCGTCCACGTAGGTATATTTCTTGACGAGAATGTTTATTTAACCAGATCCCCTTATCTCCGAAGGTTCACTTCTTAAATAGTTTAGGTCTGGGAAACAACGTTCTCCAGATAATTTAGGAATCCGCTCAGGGCTGGGAAACAACGTTCTCCAGAGAGTTAAGGAATCCGCTCAGGGCTGGGAAACAACGTTCTCCAGAGAGTTAAGGAATCCGCTCAGGGCTGGGAAACAACGTTCTCCAGAGAGTTAAGGAATCCGCTCAGGGCTGGGAAACAACGTTCTCCAGATAGTTTAGGAATCCGCTCAGGGCTGGGAACAACGTTCTCCAGAGAGTTAAGGAATCCGCTCAGGGCTGGGAAACAACGTTCTCCAGAGAGTTAAGGAATCCGCTCAGGGCTGGGAAACAACGTTCTCCAGATAGTTTAGGAATCCGCTCAGGGCTTAGAAACAACGTTCTCCAGTCAATCTTTAGTGAAGTCTTCCGATCTCACAGAAACCAGTCAGCTGGGGTCAGGATACAACGATAATGTCCTCAGCGCCTTAACAGGGGTATATATTGTCGATGCACCGGGGAGGGATGAGATCAGGGTACAGCAACGTGTACACTGTTCCCATGTACAAGAAATACAGTACGTTAAAGAATGTACAGTATTATAATATTTCTCAAACCTTTTGTTTATATCGTGGAGAAATTATTCAGATTTGCATCCAAGAAAGACCATATTGTTTGGTCTGAAAAAGGCCTCTAATTTAATATTTTAATCAATGTTTTGGGAGTAAATAGGTTTACATACATGGTTACATTTTTAAGATTGATGGTATTGCACGTGCTTCCTTTTATATATATAAGTTTAAAATCTTTTCTTTTTGCTTCAATTCACATATAAAATTGCAAGTTATAGAATAAACAGAGTAAATATGCATTTAAAAGCAGGGTTGAATATAGGATCTAAATATTATGAAAGTTAATAAAAGTACTTCATATCTTCATATGGTTGATCTGGTGATTATGCTTGAATTCAGTTCAGTCTTGAGTTCTCGGTAGGTTTCCTACTTCAGCCTTCATTCTAGTTCTTTCCTAAACAGGGCTTAAATATAGGTTTTACACTAATTAATTAAACATTTCAGAGAATATTTGATAAGTTTGGTGGTATATTTTATTTATTTGTTAATAATAATATTTCATTGATATATTTTATTTTATTTGTAAAGTATCTTAGTAATGATTGTTATAAAACTCTTTATAAAATTTTTACAATCCAAGAACCTATGTTAGAATGGATTAAGCTTGAAGGGACTGTAGACGCAACAGATAGAAGTAAGATTTGTAGCGATCGAAAGCGATTATTTTTCGCCGTAAGCCTATACCCCCTTTCATTTTTCGCAAACACTCCATTATGCAGCTCACAGTTAATTCCTTTTAATCATTCTCTAATTGCTGATAAGATTACCCGTTCAAATCCTCTATTTAGTTACTAATGAGAGATTAGTTCTAAAGATGCGTGTCCGAATCACAGCGGTACCTTTAAAATATTTATCTAATCTCTAGCAAGAGTTGTCCATCGTTTTCTCTACTTTGATAAGTTTTAATCATGGTTATTCTAAATACTTAATTGCAAATCTCTGCTTCAAAGCTAGAAAATACAAAATTCATCTAAAAGATTTTCTTACAACAACAAAAATGGATAAACAATTGTAGCTAGTTTGGTTACCAAAACAGAGTTTCGATGGTTAGTTTATAATGGCGCAAAGACAGCGACTTTTAAAGATTCTTTCAAAAGTAGCTCCATAAATGGACGGGCAAAGGGAAGCAAGAAAAAAAGAAACTGTGGACGTGCAGTCGGAGAAAGTAGAAAAAAAATAACATTTGAAATTAACAACTATGCCTCGTACCATTTTATTTTACAAAAAATATAAAAAATATAAAAAAAACTTTCTAAACAGAATATTTGCTAATTAATATAATGTGATTGATACAGTCAGTATGAATTTGACGTTCTTATCGGAGCTGACGGGAAACGGAATACGCTTGCAGGTAATTTAGAAACTAAGGGAATTTTTCAAATTTTTTAAAAGGGGGATGAAATTTCGTAAAAAAATTCCACAAACTTTTCCTTTCCCTGCACCATTTTAAAGGCATATGAGTCAAGATATTTACGTACAAAATTTTCAAACAAAAATTTGATTTTACATTTTTGGTTTTGTATTATTTCTTTAATAAAGGCTTTTCAAATATTTAGCTTTGTTTGTAAACATTAACATCAAAGGAATCCCATTGCAGTGTAAACTTGATTAATAATTAACTTTTGAATTATTTTTCAGGATTTAAGCGCAAGGAGTTCAGAGGAAAGCTGGCTATTGCCATCACAGCTAATTTCATCAATAAACATTCAGAGGCTGAAGGCAGGGTCGAAGAAATATCAGGTTAGCCTTCTAACATGTTGTTATTTTTGTAGCGTATATAAACATGTTGATTGGGTTCTTAAACTCTCCGCTTAACTCCACTCTTTCTTTGGTCAGTCTACTGAGGGTCACTGTAGTACGCACCGAAGATTAGTTAAGGGTGCCTATGATTACTAACTTAATGGTGCATCAGAGAAAGTTGTTTTAACTCTCACAAAGGATGAGAGTTTAAAGATGACTGTACGAAAAGCTTTCAGTCTATTTTCAGGATTCATGGTTCTACTAAGATTAATTCTTACTTATTTTCTTTCAAAATTATTAAAATATTTCTGATTTAACTTTTCAACGTAGTAGGAAGGTGTTACAGGTTGTCTCAATTAAGTCACAGCCTCTATAGGTAACCCGTATCTAAATGTTAGCTATTTTTTCTAGAGTGAATCCATGATTATTATGCAATCATATTTTAAGTCTGTCTTTTGAATGGCAGGCTTTTTTCACCCTGAAAACCCCCACCCCTCCATTTTTTGAGGGTTTTCATCGCTAATACAAACTTTTTAGGGATCATAAATTAATATTTGAGGAAACTTGATTTCACTTCTAATGCAAAAAATGGTTATGTCACACTTTTTTCCAAATCTTCTAAAATGAACCCCGCCCCTTCATTAATTAACGCTTTTTAATCGCTAAATGCTAATGGGGGGGGGGGGGTGGATAAGGAACAATTTTGAGAAAAAATATATTTACTTAAACTGATATTCCACCATCAAGATCTATCCCACCGCTGCCACCACGTAAGTGTGGTAGCACTGACCTGTCACAGTCCAAAGCCGGACTTCCAGATCTGAAACATCAGATCGTTGAACTCATGGTACATGATGTATTGAAACATTGAAAGGCCATCACATAAACTCCTGGGGGAAAGTAGGGAGAGGTCAGGATGTGTGACGATGCCAGGAAAGTAGAGAGGGTAGGACAAGGTAGGTTCAGGTAGAAGAGAAGTAGAGAACCCTATTCTTATCTCCTAAAGAATGGAGAATATATTCAGGTAAACGCACCTTTTCTGATATCTTTGAAAATCAGAAAGGTATTCTTGTATTGTTACTTTTGTTATTGATCATTGTTATAAAAACTGATATATATTAAAACAGATATCAGCGCAAGTTTGATCTGCTTAATCAAAACCAAATTGATGAGTTTATCAGATCGATTGCTTAAGAAACTAATTGATCAAATCAATAATTGATTTATTGTAGGAGTTGCGTTTATCTTCAACCAGAAGTTCTTCAATGATCTGAACGCTGCATGCGGAATTAGCTTAGAGAATATTGTCTACTACAAAGGAAAGATTGGAAATAATCAAACTTTGGAAATAAAATTTTGAAAATTTTGGTCCGGATCGCGGTCCAAGGAAGATATTGAAAGATTAGTGATCTCTTAAAGGGAGAGACTGGCTAGACATGAGAGTTGAACTGAGAGTGCAGTATTGTAGAGAAATTAACACCGTAAAAACGTCTTGACATTTTTTTATAATTCTGCACACGAAACTCAACTACCATGTCTGGCCGGTCACTCCCTTTAATGGTCATTCAAAAATCAGCGAAAATTAAGTTTATGAAATTTTATTTTTAATTTTCTTAATATTTTTTTTTGCATAGACGTATTTTTTTGTTGGAGGCTCAAATTGAAGAAAAGTTGTTCAACTTTGGTTATGCGATTTAACTGCTTAATTCTATTAATAAATATGGAGAAAAATTGTTTAAAAGACAGTTAAAAAAAATATTGATAAAAGTTTTAAAATGATTTAATTTCCAACCTATGATGTTTGTTCAGATGAGACACACTATTTTGTTATGACTGCTAAGAAGCAATCTCTACTTGCTAAGGAATGGTTCAGCTAAATCAGCAAAATCAAGAATTAATATTAATAAAAAATATTGATAAATAATGAGTAAAGGTCAAAGGGGAGAGGGGGGGGGGGTACTGGTAATATCTTTTATTTTATTATTTTTTTTTTGAAGTTTTTTGTTTTCTTAAATCGCAATTTTTTTGGAAACATTTTTGTTGAAAAATGATTTATTTTGATAAACCCCAGGCGCAATAAACCTAAAAAACTAAAATGTAAATGTTAAGATTTAAAATCATGAAATTTTAGGTTTTGACAATTTTGTCATATTTTTCTCAGAACATTGAGAACATTGAAGCTTGAGATGTATTTTGATGTTGAATTGGAGATTTGAGAGATCTAATTTACGAACTCAATCAAACACAAATGGATTTTATCCTTAAAGAGACTGTATGCTTTATTTTAGCGACCCTTCATACAAAGCTGGCAATATCCAATTCACAATGGTAGTACAGCGATATGTGTGTGCAAACTTATCGAAACCCACTTGTATCGTATTCAGCTGCGTAAAGTGTACACTGCGTGCAGTCTGAACTCATTTAAGCACACACAGGAATTTTCGATTGAAAACAAGTGGTCCTCAATAAATTTACACACTCAAATATCTGTACTCTACGAACACAATGGTTTTAAGGGTATCGTTGTAAATCTGGCATTGCCCTTTTTGCATTAAGGGTCATTTGAAATTTCTCTTACAGTCACTTTCACCCATTTTATTTTTGGTAAAACTAGTTCAGTACATCTTCTTTATTTTTAATTTTTTCCCTCTGGATTTCTTAGTTTCAGAAACTTGTGTTTTCCCAGAATGCATTCCAGTTTCTCCACTCTCCAGTCAACACCTTTTCTTATGATTTCCCTGACTATTGTTCTTTAACTCCTCACGGCTAGGGTTGTTAATTGTTTTGGTTCGATTAATAAAACTGGTGAAGTTTAACAAATTACAAAATTGTTTATTCTAAATTTTCGCCATGGGTCTGAAAGGAAGAAATTTAAAATAAAAAACTAATCTGAAAGTGATTGCTTTAAAACGATTGGCCTTTTTTCTATGGATTGATAAAAGTAAAACTTTAATAAAAAAAACCGGTTTTAAAATGCTGAAAAATTTATTGCAAGTTTTAAAAGCCGAACCGAAATGATTTACAACCCTATCGTACATGCGGCCAGGAACAGCCTCAGATGTTAGAACATGACATTAAGTTTGTCTTTGAATTAAGATAGTATTTATAGTAACGAGGTTGGTCAAAAAAGGAAAGAAATATCTATAAAGACTTTATTGAAAAAAAATATCTAAGAAAAACTCTAATTTAATAGATGACAAACCTCTATTCTTAAAAAATAATAAAACAGTAGATAAACTTGATGCAACCTGTTCTATGTCTGAGAGTGGTCCAGTTGTCTTACTAAAAGTAAGATGGCGGGGTGGAGGACTTTATTCAAGAAGAAACTCAACATCTTTTGGCGTACTAACTTTTTTGAAAGGAAATTAAGGTTTTAAGGAGGCAAAAAAAGTCGCACCCAATTTATTAAGATTCCCCTCTTTTTTGTAACTACCCCCCCCCCCCATTTCTTTCATCTAGTCTTCTCGCCCCCCCCTATAATGATGAACTACTGTGAAGGGAGTACTAGTGGCCAACCATGCTGACCCCTCTGCCCTTTTAGCTCAAAACAATATCTGCCAGGTAGTAAATTTATGTTTACGAGTTTTCTTTGCTTCTTATTTCTTATATTAAAAAAATTCAAAACATTGGAACCAAATTTTTTGTTGGACCTCACTTGGCATTTTATTTATGAATGCCAAAATGAAAAACAATCAACTGCAATTAAAACTCTGAGTTTTTCAAAATTATTGAAGTCCACAGATGAAAATAGTAAAATCTACGAATTTTTATTTTGGTATCGTAAATGTTTCCAGTATTAAAAATAGAAGTAGTTTATAGTGCAGTACATTATTTGTTTGTTTAGGAAGCATTGTTCCAATATGCTAGAGAAGCAGCAGATTTTGCTACTAAGGGACAGTTACCTCATCTAGGTAGAATTTTAGTTTTATTTTCCATACAAAGCTTTCCTTTTCAAATTTTTTTTAATATCTCCGATGCTCTGCAAACACTATTGATTGTTATTCGCATAGATTAAAAATAATATAATAAGAACACCAGATGTCGTCATTTCAAGATTTAGAGGGTTTCGTTGACAATAACCCTGAGGTAGAAGCCCAAAGGAGTTACGCGCATTCTTACTCTCTTGTAATTCAACGCGGCGGTCTCTATGTGTGATCATGTTTTGTGCCAAAGATGAAAATTTATTCTTACAAAGTTGTCATCATTATTATAAGATAATTATTTCAATATGGTGGTGGGTTTTGGTTGGTGCTTAGGATTCATTTAATTTTAACGGATTTTTTAATATTTTAAATTTTTAAATTTTTAACAAAGCAGAATTTTCAAATTTTTGTCTTTATTTTTTTTCGTTGATTTTTATGCTAAAACTTGATGAACCATTCGGAAATCAGGAAAGTTTTATAATCTCTTTTTCAAAAGTTTAGATTTGGGGCTTGAGAGTTGATATTTTGCCCCTTGTATACGGATCTATGGATCCGCATACTTTTTCGGATCCGGGTCCAGGAAGCCAAAATTATGCAGGTCCAACGGATCCGGATCCGGATCCTAAGCACAGGTTTTTTATTTACACAATGCCAAATCTTGACCCTAACAGAAAAATATGCAACAAAAAACCCCAAAAACGATCCTAAAACCCTAAAATCCTAAATATAGTTTAACTAAAACAGTTTTACACAAGTAAAAGCGTCAGAGTGGGTTGCTGTAGCTCAAATAAGGATCAGTTCAGTCTCATTTATCTAGTTTAAATATAAAAATTAATCTATATTAAATATAAATATTAATTTATCTAGACTTTGCCGTGAACCATTACGGGAAACCGGATGTTGCCATGTTTGACTTTACATCAATGTATGCTGCAGATCATTCAGCCAGGTAAATATTTTTAAAATAATATTTTATGCAAAGCATCATTTGCTTACAGCTTAGTTGGATTTGGTCAAAATAGAAAATGGTTTTTGCCCTGTGTGGATATCCCCTAACTTAGATCTAAATTCTTATTATATAATAGAGGTTCATATAATTCCATTTCTGATCTCAAATGATGTCGGGGTTAAAAGTACGGTTAGGGGCTTGGAAAAAAAACAATTTCATAAAATTTAGAGAAATTTTGGGCGTACGTGTACTATACTTCATAAATGTAAACTGCATTTTGGGCGTTGAAAAATTTGAATATCAAGCTATATAATAAAACAAGATATTCGTATATATATTCCTTTAGCCGACCAAACGGCTGGACTGAATGGGCTGAATGACACTCATGGGTAGGCGGGGAGTGTCGTTTGGCCGACTAAAGCATATATACGAAGTCTTTTTTTTTCAAAAATAAATTTCTTTCAAATTATAAATTTTATTCTCAACATTTTCCACGGCAACGCTGGGCCCTCCAGCTAGTAAAGGGGGGGGGGCCACAAAACGTATTACTCTCCGGAAAATTTAAACAGTGGTTAAACATAACTTAGAATTGTCGTAGGAGGCTGATTTTTTGCATGCAAACTCAGAATTATGTATATTACGTGCATTTTTTGGTTTTGAAGGAATCTGAGCAAAAGTGCGCGCGCGCGCGCGCTTTTTGTGAAAAAATGCGACTTTTTTGACAGTAAATCAATGTTAACTTCATTAATTGCACTTGAAAATTTTTCCTGACACTCTTGAAACAAATATGGGCTAAAAAGATTCAACCCCAAAGGCTTAAATGCGCAATAAAAGAAAATATCTTTGAATACTTATGGGCTAAGTTTGGCCCAAGTTAGAATAACAGTTGCATGTGATACATCAAACTATAGCAAAATTGGGACAAGGAATTCATTTCCGAGGTCAAAATAAATATTAGAGCATTCTGACCGGCTCGCTAGTAGCCAACCATTACATTATGGGTCATCTTCCCACATATTTACATGTTGTATGTCGATTTAAAGGTAATTGGGCACGACGAATTCATTTCTGAGGTCAAAATAAATATTAGAGCATTCTGACCGGCTCGCTAGTAGCCAACCATTACATTATGGGTCATCTTCCCACATATTTACATGTTGTATGTCGATTTAAAGGTAATTTGGCAAGAGGAATTCATTTCTGAGGTCAAAATAAATATTAGAGCATTCTGACCGCCGCGCCAGTAGCCGGTAGTTACATTATGGGTCATCCTGTCATATGTTTTGCATGTAGTATGTCGATTCTGGGGTACTAGAAACAAGGATTCTCTTTCTTAGGTAAGAAAAATTAAGTTTCAGAACTCTGATCGGCGCGCTGCTGGCCATAGGGTAATTATGGGGTCCACCTATCATAGTTTTTCTAAAGTTTGTTCAGGTTGTATATCAGGGTTTAGGTATTAGACCACAGGAATGAAGAATCCATCTAGGTGGAGTAAATCACAAGCAGAGCATTCTGACCTACTACTATGTGGTTTATCCTACCAAATTCGAGGACATACCGGAAAATATCTTCAAATTGGTCAAATCTAGAAGTATTTTTTCACAAAAAGCGCGCGCGCGCGCACTTTTGCTCAGATTCCTTCAAAACCAAAAAATGCATGTAATATACATAATTCTGAGTTTGCATGCAAAAAATCAGCCTCCTACGACAATTCTAAGTTATGTTTAACCACTGTTTAAATTTTCCGGAGAGTAATACGTTTTGTGGCCCCCCCCCCCCCTTATGATATACAGAAAAATAAACAATCTCTTGCAGTAAACATTCTGCATTATGGATTTTTTCTACAACTTGAAATCATTCTTCCAATTGTTTACAACAACAACAACATGGTTAATTGCTGGCACTAATATCAATTAATCAACATTTGGGATCGTATTAGATGGAATTATATCGACCCCTGACTTAATCTTTCTTCCCTGTTTTTTACTTCACATTTTAAATAGAATTTAAAGTAATTTTAGTTGAATAATTCTATTAAACTCTGAATCCATGTAATAAAAACTCTGAATCCATCTTATACAAACTCTGAATCCATCTAATAAAAACTCTGAATCCATCTAATACAAACTCTGAATCCATCTAATACAAACTCTGAATCCATCTAATAAAAAATAAGAACACTTTAAGTTTGACGTCAGCTAAACTTAATCCTTATTTTTCTCTCCGACACCGCACATTTGGACAAACGTAGAGCTCCTTTTCTTTTCTTTTAATATTTTATTTTTTCTACAATGTAGAATTATGATTAATATATCGAGATAATATAAGAAATATTACATAAAGAAAACAAGAAAGGTAGTAATTTAGTTCTGCATGAAAACAAAAGTTACATGTCTGTTACCCTTTAAAGCTTTGTCTGATCGAGAATGAATAATATCAAATTGATTTTCCTGTACAAAAATTGTTATTCTTAATTGTAGTTATTTTAGAATGATTTTTTCCAATAAAAACAAATGGGGGACATTGTGAGGAAATTAAAATTATAGCCCCTACAAGGAGCACTAAAAAATTAGAGGTTAAATGCTCGCAGGGTATGATCACCATTGGATATCGAAGAGGATTTAAATTAATCCCTAGGTCTGCATAAGATGGAGATCAATGCTTGATCCCAATATTCACAAAACAAAATTACTGACTTTTGTTGGACGTTGTAATTAGGTTAAAAGAAAAAAATTCATCAGTTTCTGAATTAAAATTCAACAAAATCAAATTTTAACAAATTTTTAAACTAAGACATTTATCTGCTGTTATATAAAAATATCCCAAAAAAGTTATATAATTTAAACTTATAGGAATATAATTTTGAAGAATTATTTGTCAAAAGTGGGAAAAATTTGAAGATTGGACATACATTGGCAATTTCCTCCCCTTTTTGATACTTGAACCAGAAATAATTTGTGTTTCAAAACTCGGAAAAAAACCGTTCCTTCACTGTTGAAACAATGTTTTTGTTTTGAATAGGGGGTAGGGCTGGGCAATGTTACGGAAATTATATACCTCTGGAAATTCGATTATCTTGAGTAAAAGTACAGGACTTTTTTCGGAGCATAAAAAACAAAAGAGGGGATTAGGGGCTTAATTTTGAATTCTACAAAAAAGAAGCCATAAAATTCTTCACGAGAGTTAATATTCTCATAAATTCATTTTTTTGTCCCAAAAAGGCGGGCCTTCGTTCTCTTTTTAGAATTAATATTTACTCTCCGGGCTTATTTAAGAGTATTTACTAACAAGGTTTTAATGTAAAGAGTGATAATCCTTTACTTATCATATATGCGGGGAACTACACCAATGGCTTGCAGTCTTAAGCAACATAAATATTGTTGTTAAAACTAGGTCAAAAAGTGTTTCATTCTTAATTAGTAATAAAAATAGGACTTAAAGCATATATTTATAATATTGTATTTTTGTAGCAAAAATAATAGTCAAAATAATGCATAGGTAAAAGTATCTATGTATTAGACTTATTTGATCTAATTAAGGATATGTGTTTGACTTAATGGTTCTTCTTGAAGTATTTCTCTGGTTGATCAAAGTGCACATCGGGATAACGGGACTTTTCTATGTTTACTTTTACTCAATAAAAACAAATAGAACCATTACATACAGGGTGAGTCAAAAAAGTGTGATTTTTTGAAAATTTGTAACTTTTTTGGTACTCCAATCGCCTAAAATAAAATCTGCGAACCTTTTTTTCTCTCAAAATTAAAAGTTCAGAAAAGCAAAATTTATATATAAATTATTTCTATCGAAATCTAAAATTTTGTAAAGATTGTATCACAGAATCACAGAAATTCGCAATATTGTAAGAAGAAAATTCGCAATTCTTATTTGTAGTCTAATTTTTAAGAAAAAGTTTTTAAAATTCTCTAGTTCCTTTCTTCTTAGTATATTCTGAAGTATTAAATATACGCTGTTCAGTTGAAACCTTAAGAACCATTGAAAAACAATATTTCCGTAAAAAATATACCATAACTGAAAATTGCGAATTTTCTTATTACAATTTTGCAAATTTTCTGTGATTTAATCTGTTTAAAATTTTAGATTTTGATAGAAATAATTTATATACACATTTTTGCTTCTCTGAACTTCTGATTTTGAGAGAAAAAAGGTTCGCAGATTTTTTGGGGGGCCATTGGAGTACCAAAAAAAATTAAAAATCTTCAAAAAATATGTGAAAACGCCATTTAGGTGAGTTGCACGAAAAAGAGTAAAATTTTGCCGCTAATCACACTTTTCTTTGACTCACCCTGTATATTTGGCAATCCTCCTTTAAACTCACGCATGCTTTTGTGCCTCCCCCCCTCCCCAAGTTTTGGATTAGGACCAATATGAGGTCAACATTTTCGGGTGAAATAACACTTATCTACGGTGCTTGAATATCCAAACTGTTAAATAGCGAGTTACAGACGATTTCAATTATACCCAGAATATATAATTTTAACCTTGTTAGTTTAAGGCTTTTTTATTCTAGAGTTACTGAGAGGCATGGACACAGACTTCTTCAATGTTTAGTTGGTGACTCTCTTCTTGAACCTTTTTGGCCTACAGGTATATATATAAACATTGCCTTTATAATATACAAAATGGTATAAAATATATGTATGTCTGTGTACGATGTTAGGTTGCCGAATTATCCTAATGATGAACTTTTTGTTATATACCACAGGCAACATACAAACCTATTTAAACAATATAAAAAGGCCAGACTGGAAAACCCAATGTTCAGTGAGGACTCCAATTTTAAACTTGAAAGCTGTTGGCAAATTCCCACATTTTTTCTTTTCTTTTATTTGATACCAGCTGGAGTGCCCGGCGTTTCCTAGCTTATTATGTTGATTCATGGTAGTTACTGCAGCCATTTACCCGTGTTTGATAAAAAATATTGATTTTAGCTGAAGTGCTCGGAGTTACCCGTGGAATTATAAAAATTTAAGTTTTTAAAGTTAATTTCATCCCAGTGGAAGTCATCCCCTAACAAGTCTTTAGAATAACGGTTTATATAGACAATATGGATTTCTGTCAAGTGATGGACGATTTTGCAAGGCGAATGGTGGTACTTCTTCGGCTAGTAGTTTCATTTGAAAATTGGTCATTACTTTATGCTATACATCACAGAGGTCATGCAAAGTACCACCCCGGAATATGTTTATTTTGTACTCCTGCTATAATTACCTCAAATTCTAGGTACTGGCTGTCCCCGAGGTTTCTTCAGTGCTATGGATGCAATGTGGTTGATGAAACAAATGGACTCTGGTAAAATGTCCATTCTGGAATGTCTTGCTGAGAGGGAGTCCATCAACAGGTATCGTCAGATGTTGAGAAAATTTTCTCAATTAAAGGGACTGTTAACATAAATTTAAGTGACCCTCCATGCAAAGATGGTATTGTCCGATTCATAACGGCACCCTTACAAACTTTCTCTGATCATTTATAAATTAGATAAAAATTTTAATTACTTTAAAAACTGATTCATTTCAACACTGGTGACTTCAGCATTTTCATTGCAGGAAAATATATTGAAATTATCAGAATTACATTCTTTTAAATCAGAAGAACGACAATATCTTCCACATTATTTATCAGATAAACTTAGTATGGAGGGTAATAAAGGGTCACTTGAAATCACCCTTTTATCTATGTTTGGAGATGTTACCATTTCAAAGTCTTCTCTAAGAAGTACTGGGTCTGAATTTACATTTAAGTTTACATTGATGACACAAATACAGTTCTGAAACTCAAATTTTCTGAATTATCTTGATATGTTTTCTCATTAATTTCTTCATTTCAAAAAATACGTAATTCATGTTATATTTTACTAAAAATTCATCCCTTGACCCACTTCTTTCCAAGTCATTTATTAAATTCAGTTTAAGAATGTGGGCACAATATCTTTTAGGGTCTCCACTCTTCACTGAAATGGGGAAATAAAAAATATTTTTAATTAAAAATATCTTTTGCGGGACCTTCGTAATTTTTGGTGACCCCTCCATTTCAAAAGGGACATTCTCGATTCAAAATTAGATTTCGGATATATTTCATTTCTCACAATCAGAAAAACCAAAGAGCTTTGCAATATAAAGAGTAGGCATTGGGATTTATACGCAAAACCAGACGCCTCAATTGGGTCCCATAAGAAGCTAAAGAATGTCGTCTTTTCTATAATTTAAAAAGATTTTAGGACTTTTAAGCATTTCCATCACCAAAAACTTGCGTTTTTTACATAATTTGCCGTTCGAAATGTATAACTTTATTATCTTTTTACATAAACTTTAAATTTTAAAACAGACTGCAATGTAATTGGTTTAAAAAATTTGGCTACTTAAAACCAAGGTTTTTTCGGGCTTTGCTCACGTTACTGGCATACAATTCTGCTTTAGACTATAACAAAACTATACTTAATGACATTCTAACAAATTTTGTTTTAAAATATGTGGTATTTTTCATACTAATGAGATGCGTAAAAAAAAATCACAATTCTAGCTTTATTTTAGCAGGAGAGCATCCAATCCTATCACTGATTAAAACAAATTTAGAAGTTTATAACCGTGTCGTTATTTTCCCACCATATTTAGCACCTACAATGATTAATTTATTTGATAACTAGAGTTTTAAAGTTGATTGTTTGAATTTAAAACCAATACTGCAGCCAATGACGTCATATTAAAGTGTACAGAGCGTACATACTATTCGGATACATTTTTAATGCCCTATCTTCTACTATTCTACCGTCTTTGAGAAAAACTAATTTTTATGAAGATAAAACCATTGCTCTTAATTTCTTTTGTGGTTTTTGTGAGCTAGTGTTAATATGATTGATTTGATTAATAGATTTACTGTTCATTTTTCCATATTTTTTTAAGGGATCAGGGGTCCATTAGTTAAATTTCTCAAATTGCAAAAAGAGGTTTAGCATTCAAAGTATTCATTAACATGCAGTTTATAGCACTAAACTTGACTTCCTTTATTGAATGAATTGACGAGAGGAAAAATTGACTTTTCCGTAATTTCTTGATAGGTTAGTTGTAATTTTGAAACAATTAATTTTTTGTTCTGGCCAATCTACTTGTAACGAATTTCCTGCTTGATTCCCCTAAAAGTGTTATTTTTTTGCAACCAAATGTTTCTCATCTAAGATTGGCTAAAATTGAAATTTCTTCGTACTGAAAGGAAAATTTTGAAATAAATTGAATGGATGACAAGATTGAATTTGTTCTCTTTGAACCTTAGAAAAAGGATTTTCCATTTTAAATTTCATTCAGGATTAAAGTAACTTCATTATGAAATATTAACTAAAAAAAAGAAGTTATAAACCAGGGAGGGGAGGAAGGCAAACCACACCAATTTCTAGTCTGAGCCACAATGTTATACTTTTCTCGTCCGAGCCACCTCAAAACCCTCGCCTTTCTGAAATAAATTTTTTCCTTCAAGATATAATTATCTAAATAAATCTTGACAAGGATTTAGAGGCGGCTCGGACGAGAATTTGAGGAGAATGTGGCTCGGACAAAAAATTGTAGTGACTGGCCTTCCTCCCCTCATACATGCAGATACTTGTGTCAGTTTACACAGTAACTTTTCTTGGTCTGCTGCAATATTAGGTTTCAACTTATCCGCAACAACTTTAACCTAGTCTATATCAACTTTGACTTTGTCTATGCGACAACTTTATATTGGTCCATACTGCAACTTTATATTAGTCTAGTTGGCAAATTTGTTTTAGTCTATGTAGCAGCTAAAATTAGTCAAAGCAGCGACTTTATCCAAGTCTACGCAGCAACTTTGTTTTAGTCCATACCGTAACTTTATCTATGTCTATGCAGCAACTTTATCTTAATCCATACTGCAACTTTATCTAAGTTTACGAAGCAACTTAATATTAGTCTATGTGGCAACTTTATCTTAGTCAATACTGCAACTTTGTCAAAGCATACATGATACGCAGCAGCTTTAACTAAGTCTACGCTTCAGCTTTAAATAAGTATACTCAGCAGCTTTATCTTAGTAAACGCAGCAGTTTTATCTTATTCCGTACTGCAAATATATCTGAGTTTACTCAGCAACTTTATCTTCTTTATCTTAGTAAACGCAGCAGTTTTATCTTATTCCGTACTGCAAATATATCTGAGTTTACTCAGCAACTTTATCTTGTTCCATACTGAAACTTTATCTTGGTCAATGCTGCAATTGTATCCGAGTCTACGCAGCAACTTTTTTAGTAGTCTATGTGGCAACCTTATCTTAGTCTATGTGGCAATCTTAGCATAGTCTATGTTGCAACTTCATTTTAGTCTATGCGGCAACTTCATCTTAATCTATGTGACAATTTTTTCTTGGTCTATGTGGTAACTTTATTTTAGTCTAGTTAGCAACTTTATCTTGGTCATTACTGCAGCTTTATCATGTTCTATGTGGCAACTTCATCTTAGTCTATGTGGTAACTTAATCTTGGTCTATGTTTCTACAGTATCTTAGTCTATGTGGTAACTTCATCTTAGTCTATGTGGTAACTTCATCTTAGTCTATGTGGTAACTTCATCTTAGTCTATGTGGTAACTTCATCTTAGTTTATGTGGTAACTTCATCTTAGACAAAAATGAAGTTACCACATAGACTTTGTGTCAATAGTATCTTAGTCTATGTGGCAACCTTATCAAAGTCTATGTGGCAACTTCATCTTAGTCGATACTGCAACTTTATCAAAGTCCATGCAACAACTTTATCTTTGTCTACGCAGCAACTTTATACGCGACACAATGCTTAGTTTTTGCGTTTTTTAAAGACTGAGTCTGCGCAACTACTCTGAAATAGTTTTCTTGAGATAAAACTCTTTTGGAATATTTGATATTTTTCGATTTAAAGGTTTTTCAAAGTTTTGATTAGATTTATTGAACCTTCATTCACTTTAAATTGAAAACTGAACAGTTTCAACAATTTGTTTTTGGAAAAATTTTATAAGAAATTACTCAGACTTGTATTTTTCGAACCAGAAATATATGTGAGTGTCGTGTGTATGTCTTACGGAAGAACCCTTGTGATTTATTTTTTTCTGAGAACCTATTATTGTTTAAAATCATTGTAAAATCATCAAACAACTAAGGATGTTCAATTACCCCCCCCCCCCCCCCCCCNGGGGGGGAGGGTATTTCTGAAAATACATATTAAGGTATTAAATGTTGTTAGGAACATTTTTTTAAAATAAGTGGTAGGAGACATAATTATTATTTATTCTATAGAAAAAATAGAAAGACTCTTTATGAAACTGTTGTTACTTCATAGTGAATTATGTTACTGACGCGCAGTAAAGAATCATCGTGCTACGAAGTTAAATTAGCTGTATATTTTAGCACTGTGCTATAAAGTAATCATCATGCTATAATGCAGAATTAGCTGATTATAATAACACCTTGCTTTAAAGTTTCCATTGGTTCCCGGATTTTCTCCAAAAATTTTGGGGATATTTTTATGATATTTTTTTTCAATTTGAATGAAAATTTGTTAGAAAATTATTATCTATTATATCTAAAATAACCATTGCATCATGATAAGAACACAAACAGTTCATATAATTACCTGTAACATTACTGTTTTGGCACGTTTTGTTAAATTTTTTTACTTAAATTTTCTCTGTATCTTGAAAGTTATCGCCAAAGAGAAAATTTCTATCCTAAAACTATAAAGCACTGCGAAACAAAATAAAAGTGATGTAGATAGTTGTTATGTTAGAACCGCAACATTTTTTATTTTTTATTTTTTTTAAGGATTCTCAGTCAAACAACACCAGAGAATACTTGTAAGAACTTCAACCTCGTTTCTATTGATCCTTCAACACGATATCCAACCCTTAACCTTAAACTGGTTCTTCCCTTTCAGGTATACTTATCCATAGTTCTTCCTTTCCAGGTATACTTTTCCATAGTTCTTCCCTTCCAGGTATACTTATCCATAGTTCTTCCCTTTCAGGTATACTTATCCATAGTTCTTCCCTTCCAGGTATACTTGTCCATAGTTCTTCCCTTTCAGATATACTTATCCATAGTTCTTTCCTTTCAGATATACTTATCCAAAGTTCTTACCTTTCAGATATACTTATCCATTGTTCTTTCCTTCCAGGTATACTTATCTATAATTCTTCCCTTTCAGGTATACTAATCCATAGTTCTTCCCTGAGATTCTATTTATGATCTTATGATCTAATAATCTATTGATCTATTGATCTATTGATTTTTAATCAACAGAAAGGTTTCATGTATCAAACATTGATTTATTTAATATTTAAGGTGACCCATCTGGTGGATACGGATAATCCCAGTCATCTCCAACCCCAGAATGTATTGCAGGATTCAGCGCCAAGGTAAAAAATCCGTAACATTTTAAAGGGACTTTGAGCATAATTTCAAGTGGCCCTCCATGCATAGAAGGCAATGCCCGATTTACAATGGTGCCCTTTAAATATTTGTTTTCAAGTATGAAATATATATATCCACGTTTTTGTTGCTTTAAACTGTTAATTTTAATTTGCGGTTTCTCTGCGATAGTAATTTGCGCATTTTTTGCTTATTAAGAGCAATGGAGAATTTGATCTGATTAAGGTTTCAAGGTTATCGTTGTAAATCGGGCATTGTCATTTTTGCATGGAGGGTCACTTGAAATTAATGATTACAGTCCTTTATATTTCAAATTCTATTATGCAATACAGTATTTCCGACTCACGAACCTGTAGGACTAATCACTAGATTGGCAAAAAGCTAAGACTGGTAATCTGGCAGAAAGTTGGATGTTCATGTGATAGGGTTTAATAAGGTAGCTCAACCCCAAATGTATAGTGTAGTTTCAACTCAAATTTAGAATATGTCAAGGTCAAGGTCAATTTAGGAGTCATCTTGATGTAAAATGTGGTTAATAGGACGTCCCTAATATTCTGGTTTGATATGAATTTACATAAAAATAAGCTGCATTTTCTGGGATAATTGTTAACAATTTAAAAAAATTATTTATATCCCTCCCAGAAACTGCAGTACACTTTTTGTTAACTTTTTCAAAGAACGTTTATTTCTCAAAGAATTTTCCATTTAGTTTCTTAAGAATTTTGATAGACATGGAAAAAAAACCCCGAAAAGTTCAAAAATTCCATATCGTTTACAATAATTATATATTCTGGGAGTTATATTAAGATACACAATACTAATAAGGTTCTATAAAGTTCAGTAGATTTTTATAAACAAAGACGTTTCTAATGTTTCCTCCTTTAATCACATTTATTTTACATTTTCCAGGGAATCTGCCAAATAAATCCAAGAATTCCTAAAACTTTAATACACGTAGTCAGTACACAGTACAAACTGTTTGTATATTTTTATAGATTATCCCCTTCCCCCAGTTCCCTCCCCCCCCCCAATAGCATTCTGGGCAAAAATGAGAGGGGGACAGTGCGTTAAAATATTTCAGAAAGAAATATTCACTCCGTGTTGTAATATTTCAGCATATTCAATATCGTTGTTATTTCAACTTCAGTTTGAAAAGAAAATAAAGGTTTCTAAAGTTGAATTAAATTTTGTTTTTCTTTAATTCGTATTAAAATTTCTCCAATTTTCCTGAATATATTTGTTCTCAGTTTCTGAAATATTATTTTGAATTTATTGCCCAGATATGCATCATGCATTTCAATTATGCTTTAATTCAGCTTTTTAATTACAAACTAACATTATTTACTTTATTTAGATTTTAAAGCAAAAAGATAATAAATTAAATAGAACTTTTCATGAGTTGTTAATCGCAATCTCAATTAATTTGAAATCTCAATTAATTTGAGAGACATTTTAACTTCTAAAAAAAATTTAGTCAATTTTCATACACTTCAGATAAAAATGTAAATAGAACTTGGTGATTTTATCCTGAAAAGCTCTCTTTGATCTTTGTGATGTTTCTCTCTAAGGTTGATGTTAACTATAAACAGATATTTTGGATGTTCTAAGGATAAGAGGATTTACACAGAGTACATATAAAGTATTCAGGGATATGTATATTTTACTAAAGTACTGTTTTCACTGATTAGTGAATAGCAGGACATAGTTGGCATAAACATAGCTGAACCACTTCTCTTGTACGCCAGGTCAAGCTGATAAGAAGTAGTTATACATATTCTACTCAGTTCAACAATGTTTTATGTTCATAAATTTGGTCTCTTGACTCATGAAAACTAAGGAAAACTTTAGATTAAGACCAAGTCAAAATAAACAACATCTGTCAACGGAGTGAAATAAAGTCAGAATATTAGGTGAAAGTTAAAAAGAAAACAAGAATTCCACAAATCAGTCCAAATTAAATAAAAACATATATTCATAAATAAAATCAGCCGAAAACAAGAAAATGATTGAATTACCATGCAGATGAAATTAAATAAATGAATGGAAATAGAAAACAGGGCTTAAAAAGAAATGTAACAACAGAAGAAACAAGAATCGATACAACATAATTTAAATAGTTAAAACAAAGTAAAAAAGAAACTGGTATGGAAAAGTAATTTGTGGGAAATTAACAAAAATTAACTTTAATTGAAGCAATGTGATCAAGTTAAAAAATAATTAAAAAAGAACAAATCATTTTAATTCCAAACAAGTCATTTAGATGTTACAAACAATAGTCATCGATAACTTTTTGACATACTTGTATATATTTGATATTTCATATTATTTTTTCATTTTTCATGATCTGACAGTTACTTATGAAAACTTCCTGGAATGTTCGAAAATCCAGCGCTAGAGAAATATTATTTTAAAGAAACAAAATCAGAAATATTTTGAAATATTAACTATATACAAATGCATCAAGAAATAATAGATAACTATTTTTTGTAATATCTGAATAATTTGTTTGGAATTAAATTGATTATTTTACAAACTGAGTTGAATGTTGCAACTTTCCAAATTTGTACGGGTGCTACGTTCTTCGGTATGAGTCGTGGTTAATAATTTTCTCCTGATAGACGCAACTGATGGAAGTATGATTGGTAGCAATCAAAAACGCTTATTTTTCGCCATGAGCCTATACCCCCTTTCATTATTTGCGAACATCCAGTAATGAACAGCTAACATAGCAGAGACTCTAGGAGCATCTCCAGTAATGAACAGCTAACATAGCAGAGACTCTAGGAGCAGCTCCAGTAATGCATAGCTAACATAGCAGAGGCTCTAGGAGCACCTCTTGACAATGAACAGCTAACATAGCAGAGACTCTATGAGCAGCTCCGGTAAGGAACAGCTAACATAGCAGAGACTCTAGGAGCAGCTCTGGTAATGAACGGCTTACATAGCAGAGACTCCAGGTGCAGCTCTGGTAATGAACAGTAACATAGCAGCTCAGATTGCAGGGTAAAAGATACTGAACTGGAGCAGCTAAACAAGATATTGAGAATGAGGAAGCTGCTCAGACATTGTACTGGAACAGCTCCAAACTCATGATCTTTTATGGTTTGCCATGCTTCCGCTGGATTTCTGGAAACCACAGGCTGGATTGGCGGAAACCTAAGAAGAGCTAAATATATGAATCTTATAGGCGGACTGGAAGCTAACATAATTCAACAAGCAGAAGTGTGGGCCTCTATAAAAAGATAAGAAACTGATTCAACAAGAAAAAACAGATGTATTTAGAGCATTAAATAAAAAAGCTGATAAATCACATTCACTCATACTGTGCGAGATATATCTAAACATATAGAGAGAGAGCATTAATGGGATTTAAGAATCGAAGTACTGGGACCTAGAGAAAGACATTTCTACACGCCCTTTCTTTGAGGGAGCAAATGATTGATCTCGAAAACCCAAAGATTTATGTCTGTTATTGTAATGGTAATCGTTAGAGCAGCAATAATCATTCACAATAAAATTCCTTGTTCGGCAGTCATCCAAATTTCGCTGCTGAGTAAGCAACTTTTTTTTTTTTGATTTGTAATTTAGAGTGTAAAAACAAATGTTTTATCAGAATTGTTTTTCAATGTGATAAGAAACGATGAATGAAAAGGGTAAATGAAGGAAGAAAGATAGAGCAAGATGGAAAAGAATAGAGGCTATTTGTGTAACATCAATTAATGCAATTTCTTTTTTCTAAGTTTAGTTATGCAACTTTGATTTCTTTTTGTTTGAGAAAAGATTAGGACATTTTTCTTTGGTCAGAATCTTGCATAATATGATCCGTGCACTTGAATTCGATCTATAACCCTTTTGATCTAAAGGGAATCTGATCTATGTGGAATCTGATCAAAAAAAAAAAAAATCAAATATCAACTTAATTTTTGAATAAAAATGTTTTCTGGCAATACATTTTAATGAATATGTTTCCAACAAGTGTTCAATTAGATCGAAAATGAGAAAAATTAGATTTTAATATGTGGAATTAGATTGAAAATGTGTTGAAATTGATCTAAAATGACATCTTTAAACAGTAGGGTTCAGGTGGACTATGGAAAAGGTTAGGTCTGAGGTTAGATGTAAGTAGGTTAGAGTAGAAATCTTTTCAACTCGGACTGTTAGGGAGCCCTATGACCACATTAACATTCTTGAAATGACTTTACTGATTCTGAAATATTTAAATAACGGAAACAGAACGCACCTGTTTCTGTCCAGAGCCAGAAATTCTTTGGCAAGAGTGGGAGATGACCAATAAATTTTAATCTGAACACAGAGGCTGTTTATGATATTTACCAGGGGGAGTGGGGGGAATTATGCTCGGGAAGCCCATAGAAATTTTGTTCCCCACTAGCAAAAAAATTTCCCTCCCCCATGGATTTTTTTATTGTGAAGTTGGTCTTTTTTATTTCCAAACCATGAGAAGCTTCGGGGGGTGAAAGGTGTTTGGAAGATTAGATTTTTAAAAAAAAATCTTGAATTTGAGAATACAAAGTGCCGCCGCTGGGAAAATTTATTTTAAATCTATTCTTTAAAAACCAAAATGAAAGGTGCTTCTCTCTCTTATTGCGCTTCTAAATTTTTCCTCGGGGAAGGGGGGGGGGAGACATCCCTTAGTTTTCTGGGGAAGGTGATTTCCCCCAAATTTTCTAGGGGGTTAGGTCCTTCCCCCCCCCCCTCATAAGCCACCTCTTTCTGAACAAGAAAACCAGAATAGATATTGAGAAGAGAAGAAACATAAAAAGTGTCGCAAAAATGATCTTTATAAATCCCAATAAAGTCAAAATGAAAGAAATGAAATAAATATTTGTTTTTTGCTATAAACGGCATATTATAACTAGCCACTAGCCTAGGAAGTAGGAACCGTGCTTTGTCTGAAATTGTGTTGACATTGGTTACACATTTTCCTTGGTTTTACAGAGTTCCACAATACAAAATTTTAGGCAATTCAATCGATGGATATGAATAAAAAAAGTTGAGATCACTACTACACTAAATTGAGAGCACCATCTTTTTTATTTAACTGAGAAAAAGGAATAAAAAATAATTTTGTTTTCTTTTCAGGAAGAAACGGAGGAAGGATTCTCATGTTTCTCCAACTAATCTGCTATCCTGGATACAAAAACAAGTTGAACCCTACAATATCCAGGTATAAACAACTAATCTGCTATCCTGGATACAAAAACAAGTTGAACCCTATGATATCCAGGTATAAACAACTAATCTACTATCCTGGATACAAAAACAAGTTGAACCCTATGATATCCAGGTATAAACAACTAATCTGCTATCCTGGTTACAAAAACAAGTTGAACCCTACAATATCCAGGTATAAACAACTAATCTACTATCCTGGATACAAAAACAAGTTGAACCCTACAATACCCAGGTATAAACAACTAATCTGCTATCCTGGATACAAAAACAAGTTGAACCCTACAATATCCAGGTATAAACAACTAATCTACTATCCTGGATACAAAAACAAGTTGATCCCTACAATATCCATGTTTAAACAACTAATCTACTTAAAAATGAAATGGATGCTTAGCATGGCAGTGTTATCATATATCCTTAATACTACTGATATAATAATTATATAACAAAAATACTCGGTGATACTGAAAACTCTGTTATCCTTAATCCTTTGTGCTACTGAAAACTCTCTTATCCTATAGGTCCTTTGTGATGCTGAAAACTCTGTTATCCTATATATATCCTTTGTGATGCTGAAAACTCTGTTATCCTATATATCCTTTGTGATGCTGAAAACTCCGTTATCCTATATATCCTTTGTGATGCTGAAAACTCTGCTATCCTATATATCCTTTGTGATGCTGAAAACTCTGCTATCCTATATATCCTTTGTTATGCTGAAAACTCCGTTATCCTATATATCCATAATGCTGAAAAATCTGTTATCCTATATATCCTTTGTGATGCTAAAAACTTTGTTATCCTTTATACTTTTTCTAATTGTTAGAAATGTATTTAATTTTTAAAAATCCACCACTGTAACTCTGTTATCCTTTATTCTATCTGTTTCAATATATCAGAACCAAGAGGGTGACACAGGAATCAAATATTTCCTGCCGGTATTGTAAATATCTGTCATTTCCTGTAATGCTCAGACAACCGTTGTATTCTATTTTCTTTATTGCCCGGCTTTATTTTATTTCCCTGTCATACAGTTTTAAAATATTGGGATTTTCCTAGGGGTTGAAATTTACATAAAAATAAATAATCTTGAAAAATAATTAAAAAAATAATATTAAAAAAAATAATTTTTAAGGTTCAAAAATCACCCTTGGAAGTTAATATGGATGGGGTGGGTCGGGGCAGGGGGGTGGGTGTTCTACTTCTATTTGATAAAATTGATACTTTCCAACCAAATGAGCACAAGATTTTACATAAAGGAAGAAATTTGACAGTTTGGACAAAGCAGTCAAGATGAAAATATAAAACAGTATTTCTTATGTATGAACATGAATTTTTCCAATTTTTTAATTGAAATTCTATTTTTATTGTTTAAGCTAGAATGTAATGTTTTTCATGAGTATTTTTCTAGTTTTCGGGATAAATATGAATGTACAAAGTTCATGGATTAAGAATTAATCAATAAAATAATTTTATTTTATTTCATTTCATTTTCTTTAACATTATTATAGTGTATTAAATTATATTTTATTTCTTTTCACTTCATTTGATTTTATTAGATTTTGTTTGATTTTATTTCATTTCTATTGATTTCCTTTGATTGAGTTTGATTTCTATTGATTTGGTAATTTCTGACTGAAGGGGTTAAGTTGTGGTAAAGCCCTAGCTTAAATTTTGCCCCGAAACCTCGGGTGATTAAAAAATAATATTTTTTTAAATCATGATACTTCGACCTTCCCTGAAGAAGAGGCCTTATTCATTTGTGTATATAACAGGGGAAGATTTGGGGAACAAAGACTAATCCTCAAGTAATGATCTTGAGAGTTCTGATAATTTTAGCAAGCTTCAATCTCGAACCCCTAGCCACGGTGCTCGGCCCAGATATAATCACAAACTAACCTAACCCACGATGTTAAAAACATGAGCAGATTGTAATTGTATAGCTGATAGCAGTTAAATGTGAACAAAATGTGGAAATTTTATTGATTTTATTGATTTTATTGATTTTATTGATTTTATTGATTTTATTGATTTTATTGATTTTATTGATTTTATTGATTTTATTGATTTTATTGATTTTATTGATTTTATTGATTTTATTTGATTTTAGGTTCTTGAGATGAACACGTGCTTCAGAAATGATCTAGTTCTTTGTGCAATTATAAACAGGTCAGTTCATTGATTATTTTGTTAAATTTTTTTCATGTTTTTGATTGATTGATGGAACTGCCAATCATGTAACATTGGTTTATAAACTCAGACTTAACGATTCTTTCTGTTCGCTATAATGGAATTTACCGTAAATTTTCTAAACTTCCGTCAAGAAAACTCTGCCCAGCTGTTCATATATCATCGGTCATTGGTAATGTTTATTTGCTTTTCAAAGTACACTTGTATTAGAATATATTTTCTAAAACTTTATAATTCTAAAAAGTTAATGGCGCTTGTTAAATATATTTGGAAGCAAAATGCGTAAAAAAATGCTTAGAAATATTTAAAAAATATTCGACCTTTTCAAATTATATTCTCTTATTTTAAATATTTTATTTTATTATATAATCGACTGGACCAGACACAATTGATCAAAAAATCATGATAAAAATAATTAACAGTCCTTAATTTAAATTAGCTATAATATTTATGTTTGAAGGCATTATATGAAAGAGATTGATCAAAAAATTCTTTTTATTAAAATTAATTATTAGTTAAGATGGTTTTATGTGAGAATTTGAAGAAAGTTGGCTTCCAGCATTATCTGACAGGGGGTGTACATTGTACACTGTACACTGTACATTGTACATACATTGTACATTGTACACTGTACTCGTGATGCGTAGTGACTCTCAATGCGTTTTTGCATTGCCTGACTTTAAACTGTACCCTTGTAGTCTTAATCTGAACAAACATGTAAAAGATATCGTCGTTTTCATGACTCAATATGTTTGATTCAGATTTGTACATCGCTTCTCATAAGCAAGAAAATTCGTAAGTTACTTTTGCAAAGAAACCGCAAATGAAAATAACAGTTTTAAGAAACAAAAACCTCGATATTTAATTCATACTTAGATATTGCTATCTTTGCATAGAAGGTTACTTGAAATTACGAGTACATTCCCTTTAACCCCAAATAGGATGGGGAGGGGCATTTTTGCCTCAGAATTTTGAGACTTTAACTTTGGATGTTTGACTTTTCAGGAAAGTAATTTTAAGGATTTTTTCAACATTTTTTTAAAAATATATAGTTTACTTGAGCATAAATAAAACACAATACCTCAATAGCTCAAATGAGCCTTAAGATATTTTAAATGGGCCTTAAGATTGTTCAAATGAACATCAAAATAGTTTAAATGAACAAAAATATTAGTTAAAATTATTAAAAAATAATTGAAATGAAGAAAAAAAAGTTAAAGTGAACAAAAAAAATGGTTTAAATTAACAAATAAATAGCTCTAATTAACATAAAAATAGTTATCATGAAATTGCTTAAATGAACATAAAAATAGTTCAAACTGTTTTATGTTCATTTAACCGATTTTTATGTTCATTTTAACTATTTTTTTTGTTCGTTTGAATATGTTTTGTGTTCATTTTAACTATTTTAATTTAACTAGTTTTATGTTCGTTTGAATTATTTTATAAATGAACTATTTTTATGTTCTTTTGAAATATCTTTGATGCTCGTTTGATATCCTATTCTTGATGATCCATCCGATCTAAAAATTATAAAACTGCTGATGATCAAAGAGCAAATAGTGGTTAATTTGAACAACAGATTATGACGTCATTTCAGTAGTTCAAATGACCAATAGTTCTCACGACCACTAGTTCAAACAAATATCCACCTAAATTCCTTCTGATATTCATGACAACATAAACACTGTAAAAAAATGTTGCCATACTTAAACGATTTTTTGTTGTTACATACAATTTTGAATTTGTAGTAATGCGCTTTTTGCGAATGGTACCCTACTCCCTTTCCAATATTGAGAAAAATTTTAATTTCTTATCACAGGGCCTTGTCGTGGTGTTGGATATAGCTTCTCCTCTTTTTAACAATTACATTTTTTGTTGTAAGCCTTTTAGGAGGCCAACAAAATTTTTTTTCATAATCACATTCTGTAAAACAGTTTTCTTTCATTTTGCTGCAAAATATATACGTCTAAGCGATGTGTGTTGCTTTGTACCAGCTTATATTTTACTAGCTCAGGAACCCAGCTTTGCCTGGAATTAAGGTGTCCTTTTAAAGGTCAACTTATTCAATTGAGATCTTCAAAACCTAGCTAAAAACATTCCTATGGTTTTGTTTTACCGATTGAGGTCAAAGGGTTCATAAGCTTTAATCATATCCATCCAAAGAAACGAAAAATATTCAAAATTTTATTATAATCGTAGCAGACTAAAAGTTGGCATTTATAAGTAATATTTTCACACATTTATTTTAAAACTTTATCGCCGATATAAGGTAATTTTCATGGTTTTGTTGAAAAATTATTATTGTATTGGAAACGAATACTAGAAATAGTCTGTTTGGCAATACGCATGGTGGAAGGAGCTAGTCCGGAATCATGGTCGTGATACCCGACGTTAGGCCTAAACTATGTCAGGCTGAAAAGCCTTGATCTAGGCGGGATCGTGATGGCGTACCCCATTTAGATCGTGGAGCCCACGGGACCTCCCTAGCTTCTTGAATTTAATTGAATTGAATTGGAAGCGAATAATTTAATTTGGCATGATATATTTAAGATTGAGCATATAAAAATTGATTATTCTGATTATTTTGCGTTAACATGATAAAATAATCAAAAAAAAAATCTATCAAAAAAATCTTCTTTAAAAAACTACAATATTGTTTTTAAAAATGGAAAAAAACATTAAATTTTTCTGAAAAGAATTCTGAATTAAGTTAGAATTATTACAAGTGCTTTTTAAATTAGATTATTTATTTTCAAAATTCTTTTTGTGACACGAAATATGATATTTCTTGAATTAATCTTATTTAACAAAATATTTACATTGTACCGGGTGTCTCTACAAACTGCTTTTGGTTGGCATAATGTCAATCAATACAGGGGGGGGGGGGTAGTTGATGAAATACTTCGCTTCTAAATGCTGTTCAAACGTTAGAATGTTAAACGTTAAAAAGCCGTTTTAACCATCAAAATGTACGCGAACTGTATTCCGTCCTTTTTCCTAGGGTTTGAAAAAAGCAAACATCTTTTTATGACATTTTCTTTAATCTGCAATTCTATCATTGAAACTGTGCAAATTATTCTATTCTGTTGTAGAATAAAACACGTGAAAAAAGATAATATTTGAACATTAAAAAAAAATCTTTGGAAAGAGACTGACCACATATTCGAATACCAGGTTAAAACGGTATTAAAGAGTCCAATGTCTAATTGAATTTTAACAGGAATAATTTTTAGTACAGGGTGAATAAGTCCTAATACATAATTTTCAGATAGCCCACCCAGTACTTGAAAAGTTTAGTTCTTGAAAATGCGATTTTTTTGCCAAGAAGATCAGTTCCTAATTTTTTTTTCAATTTTCCAAACAGAATAAGATAAAGAGTTGTTAAAAAATCATTTGGTCACGACTTAAATATAATTTAAATATACATATACAGATTAATATTATAGATAATAAGCAATTTAGTAATTCAGAATCAGATTTTGAATAATAAACTCTAAACTTTTTATTGAAGAAACTATCTGGTTACTAAATCAGGAAGATATGTTAATGAAGGGGGAGTGGGGGAGTCCATTTCGACACCAGATTTCGCACTGGCTGCGTTTGGTCTTAAAAATTGAGTTAAAGACTGAAACTTTGCTTGCAGTCTATAATTGTGGTCTTTTACAAAGATCAAGAAGAAAGTTTTAAATCATAGGTCATTGACCTCCATTTTGACATCCATGAACTCGTATATCTGACCTCCACTTTGACCTCCTCTCGATAATGACCTCTAAAAGGTCAAAATATTAAATCAATTAAATTGGCTTTTGCAAGGTATCAATTCCGATTTCAGTTTGAGACTCTTTATTTGACCTAATATGATAATTTTTTAACCTCTGGAAGTCAAAATAAAAAAACGATGAATATAAGTCATGTGAGGTATTAAATCTTATGTTTTTGGTGTTTCGATTCTTTCAACGATCATTTTCATTAATTTTAATTCATTTTATACATTTTTTGAACATACATAAATAATTCATTAAGTGCAAAATGGAATTTTTGTTTATGCAAAAATTTTAAAATATTTCATAAGTTTTCTTATGTAAACCCATACAATAGCTGTGTGGCAAAGAATGTGAAATATCGTGATACATCTCGTTAACTTATTACAAGTTTTAGATGAGCTGCACCCGATAAACCTCCTCAGCACTTTTAACATCTCTTTTATACTAGGAAATATGCATGTTCATGGAAGTTTTAGGGGGGGGGGGGTCACACATGGCGAAAGGGGGCATAGCTGCTCTCATACGCCGAAAAAAACACCTATTTTTAATTTGATCTTACGGAGGCACATTTCCCATCCCCCCCTCTCAAATTCTATTTTATACAGGGTGAGAAACATCGTAAAGGATTGAAAATTCTTCCAAAACGAGATTTTTTGGTGAAAATTGTACTGTGGAATGATCCACCCTGTATTTAAATAGTCACTTTTCCACAAATTTTTCTCATTCCCCCAACTTGGGTTAGACTGCCCTTGTAAATTCATATTTGAATTGAAATTTATCTTCCTAGAATTGTTATTGTTTTCTTCTGCTGAAGGCTGCAAGGTTATTTGCTGGACTAGATAAATTAGAATTAAATTATAAAAATAAATTGAAAATGCTACTGTGCAATTTAATTTTAAAGATTAATGATCTGTTTTTATAATGAATCCTAGGTAAAACTACTGAGCTTTAATTTTTTCTCAACATTTAATTGATTGGAGGGCAGGGGGGGGGATAAAATAAATTTTGGATAAATTATATACACCACTTATCTATCTATCTATCCTTCTCTTTATCTATCTATTTATCAATTTATCTATCTATCCTTCTTTCTGTCCATATATATTTCTATTTATCTATCTTCTATCTACCTATCTATTTAAATATATATTTATTTATCTATCCTTCTTTCTGTCTATCTATCTTTCTATCTACCTACCTATCTATCTATTATCTGTCTATCTATCTATCTGTTAATCTTTGGTCGAGTCAAAGTAATAATATGCCCTGTAGAATGTTAAATAAACCGATTTGTCCAAAAGAGTTTTTGTTTCGCGGATCTGAGAGTGTTAGATTTAGAAGAATTGTATCTATATCTTCCTATAAATCTATTCTTCTCTATTTTCTTGTATTTTTTCTATTTATCTACCCATCCTTCTTTCTATCTATCTATTTTACTATCTATATATCTTTGTTTATATCTATTTTTTTTATCCATCATATTTATTTATCTATATCTATCCATCTATCTATGACTATTGTCTATCTAGATACCGGCCTGACCTGCTCCCCTGGGAGTCCCTGGACCCTGAGTGTGCAGAGGACAACCTCCAGCTAGGTTTTGATATTCTTGAGGCTGAGCTCGGCCTCCAACCTGTTATAACGGCTAGTGAGGTAATCCTCTAAACCATTGACTAATATTCGATGCGTAGCACGTCTTAAACTAACCCTGTACAGAAAAGGATTTTGATCGGTCTATTCTACTTCTACAAAAGAAAATTTTACCAAATTTTTTTTTGATTTCACAAATTTTTTTCAGTAGAAGGTATTAATTTTGTGTACTTTCCCATTTTTCCTTTCATAGTCTGGCTGTATACTGTATACCTTACAAGGTCGCTACGGTACTTTAAATGTACCGGAATTTACAGTGCAAGAAGTCTCAAAAAAATAAAATTTTAAGGACAAAAACTGTTTTTGTTTGGCTATTTTTGTTAGTACTAAGCACTGCTTAAACTCATTGTTATCTTTAGTTTGCAAGCTCTCAAGCAAAAATTGATGACAATTTTGCCAACTACTTCTTAAATACCAAAGTTTACAACAAGTGCTTTATAATGCTAAAATGTACAATGCACATGTAAAGGGCTACAGAAAAGCACAAGTGTGTTAGATCAATAAATTTAAAGCCCAAGGCGTTGCAACACTTTAAAGTCGACCCTCTTAAAAATTAATGAAACTTTTTATAAGCAGACTGAATCTATTTTTACTAAGTCAAAACGCTAAATATACATTTTCCAACGGGGGAAAAAAATGAATGTCCTTGACAGTTTTTTAAAAATATAATTCAATGTTACAATCACAAGTTTTTAACGCCCTGGATTTTAAAATTTTTAAGTGCTAAAGCAATATCAAATGATTCTTGAAAACAAATAAAACCGTGTTTGTTTTATATTTTATGAATAACTATCTGAAGGGCCAGGCGTTGACCGGGCCCTGGGGGAAAAAAATGTTGTCTTTGTCACCGCCAGGTTATTCTTAAGTGTCCACAAAAAAAATCAGCTCATTCGGTTCAGCTGTTTGGCCAGGCAGAGGGAACATATATATTAAAGTCTTGTTTAATTATGTAGATTATTGACATTGACATAAAACTTATAATTGAATAGAAACTTTATCTCATCCAGAATTATTTTTTTTCTACATTTTTGATCAGTGATACTAATGAAAGTAAATTTTGAAGTTTGGAATTTGATTAGATGCAAATCTTCATGTTTTCAATTATAACTACGCTTTTTGAAGACCTAAAAAAAAGAATAAATATGTTTTAAATCTCTTGTGCGAGACCAAATAAATTTGATTTTCTCATACTGCGTAAAAAGGTGCTATTTGTGGCAGATTTTATGGACTAAAATACTATTTATGGCAGATTTAATGGTGTCAATTACAATTTGTTGCAGATTTATGATCTTTGATACAATTTGTGGGCTGTAGCAGATTTTATGGTCTTTGACTTAAATGCTACTACTAATTGTGGCACGGAGTTTAATTTATATTAGTTTTATTTATTTATAGTTTTAAAGCGTTTTAGTGCGTCAATAAAGCCTCAATCCTTATCATCAAAAATTAACCGATTCAATCATTTTTATCTCAAATTTTATTTTGAAATATTTTAGATAATGGAAAATAGTGGCACTCTGGATCCATTAGCAGTAATCTCTTATCTAACAGGAGTTTACGAACTGTTTAGGTAACTAATCAGGAATTTGAAAATGTAATTTCCCCATAGGTCTCGAGCATATTTTCCCCCAATAATAATAGGAATTATGTAAGGATTTTATAACTAAATTGGGGGATGATTAATGTTGCCAAAAGAAGTGAAAAATTGAGGCTTAATTTTTCATCTTAACTCCAAAATCTTCGAAAATCATTCCCCCCTTTTCAATGGGGGGGGTGTAATTCTGAAGAACAATTTTAATGATGATTTTGCTCACATGAATTGTAAAAGATGAAACTTCGTATTAAGATTTTATACCATTCGTATTTAAAATATTGTAGGAAAAGTAGGGAAAAATACCAAAAACACGCGTGTAATGGATGGGAGGGGGTGCAGGGCCTCCTTGAGCCACGCGAAATGGTCTCCAAGCCTCTAGATTTGCATATGAGCATTTAAAGTGACCTGGCGCTACCCCTATCATTTTGAAATGTTATTTGTAAAATAATGAATAAAAGTTTTTTTTAAATATTTAATATTTTAATAGCTATGCCATGTTTTTGGATATTCAAGAAAATACTGCATAGCTATTAAAGATAAAGTATTTTCTTTAAAAAAATGTTATTTAATATTTCTATTGATATCTAAGTAGCGCCAGGTCATTTTTAATACTCATATGCGAATATGAAGGCTCATTGCGGCTCTGCACCCTCTCCCTCGAACAGGATGATAGTCATTAATAAGTATGATTGTAAATTGTAACGATGAATTTATCCTTATATATTTCTAACTTATTTTTAGACGAGAAATCCCGCACACCCAGCAAACTGGAGGGGTTCAACTTGATGATCTAGATGATAGTGTTTATTGTCATAATCACAGGTATTGATGACTTAATAAATTTAATTTTTTAACTTTATGTATATTAAGTATATTAATCCAATTTTTAATTGATGGGAATAGTATATTAAAGCAATTTTCTTAGTTGGTGAGAACAGTATATTAATGCAATTTTTGGAATATTTTGGAGGATATCGGGTCAACTTATCCATATCCATTATATGTTTATTTGTTTATTAGTTTGTTTGATTGTATGCAATAAATTACAAAATGCGTGAACTTTCAGGTCAAAATAATTCCAGACCTGGAGCGAGCCGGTCAAAATTTAAAAAATTTCCAAGAAAAAATGTCTTTGATTTTTGGAAGTCTAATAATGTAAACAGAAAAATCTGCGAAAGTTGTTGTGATGCCAGAAATAAATGGCGGATCGAAAAACAATTTGTTAAAGTTTAAAATCGTGACTGGAATAAGAAATTTTGGTTCAGGGAGAGGGTTGGACGTGAGGAAAGAAGAAGGTTACCAGAAGAAAGCATCACAATCGGTCAGCTGGTGGCTAACGATGCAAGAAGGTAGGGTTTACAAAGTTATTATTAAAATTAATCCATTTATTTTAAATAAAGAAACTTGGTTGTGACGTAAAGAAATCCTATATATTCTTAAAATACTAATATCATACTAGATTCAAAACAGTAAGCGATTCATTAAACGAATGTACTCAACTTTTTTAGGTTTGCAATTATTACGAATTCCAAAATTGGATAGAAACAATGGAACTTCTACATAATACAGACTATTTAAAACTTGGTCTAACAGAATTTATAGTTTGAACTATCTAAGGCTTACGACATCAGATTACAAAGATGGTTAAAAAAATTTGAATTTGTTTTTAGTGTTCAGATTCTTGACTTGATTCTTAATTCTTAAGTGTCGTCCCGAGTTTCTATTCTTGATTATTTACAATCAGGAGTAAGCGAGGCAGCTTGGAGGAATTGGATGATGAGGAGGGAAAGGGATTGAAAGGAGACGTGAGAAGAGTGTCGAACAAAAAAAGATTAGCTAAGCTGATGGAACGATCAGCTGTGCAGGTAAACAGTGGATGGAACGATTAGCTGGTAAAAGCATAACAGCTGATTGAACGTTCAAATGTTTAGACATAACAACTGATGGATTAATCAGCTGTTCAGGTTAATAGTTGATGGAACGATCAGCTGTTTGGATATAAAAGCTGATGGATTAATCAGCTGGTTATATTTGACAGCTGATGGAACCATTAGCTGTTTAGGTAAACAGTTGATTGAATAATCAGCTGGTTAAATATAACAGCTGTTTGGATGACTTTATATTATTAAATCTTGGTATTATGACATAATACCGAAAACTAAGTTTAAACCAGGTTACTTTCTAGCGACTAAGCCTTCCTCTGCAATCGCTCATAAACACTTTTAATTTATAAGAGATATAGGCAATTAAAAGAAAGTTAACATCTCTTTTATAAATGGGTAAAGGGATTAAATCCTATTCATAAATGTGTAAGGGCTTGAATCCTATTAATTAATGTGAGAAGGGGCTTGAATTCCATTGGTAAATGTGAGTGGGAACTTGAACGAGGGGAGGAAGGCTAACCACAACAATTTCTCGGCCGAGCCACATTTTCCTCATATTCTCTTCCGAGTCACCTCCTAAATACTCGTCCTTCCAATATCAATTTAAGTGTCTAGTCTTCCCAGATAAATTTGTTTTGAAGAATCGGGCCACGGTTAGGCATAAATGACATATTGAAATTTTGTAAATCGGAAAAAATGTTTCAATTGAATTAAAGTTTTTAGTTTAATGTTCTTAAAAATATTCACATTTTTTACGCGTATTTTCAGATATTTCTGGTTTAGAATGCCGCAAATGAATCCGAGCTTATAGAACTTCAATCTTTTTTGTCAATTATAAAGAAAACATTTTTCCAGGTGGTTCCAAGTGGAAAATTATAGGCAGAGGTATGCCAAAAAGTTTCTATTTACTTAAGATCGCGAAGGTTTGCCATTAAGGAGGCAGACGAGATTCAAGTTTTACCTAAATAAAGTTTGACATCATTTTCATGGGTTTGAAGATTGTAACTTGATGTAATCATTGAAATATTTTATGCTCTAACCTGGCCAGATAAAAAAATAGTTAAATCTTCGAGAATTGAAAACTTTAAAACACATAATAGTGTAAGAACTAGGATTCTGAGGTGGATCGGACGTGAAATTATTGTGGCTGGCCTTCCTCCCCTCCTTGAACCCCTTACATAAATGCGAGTGTGGGCTTAAAACGTTTAAACAATGTAAGATGGGGATGGGGGGGGGGGGGCTGGAATCTCTAGAAATTCTGTTAAAAGACTAATAGAAGACAAACTGAAAATTACTAAATCTGTTAATGCTCCTTAATACCCTAAATCCGAGGAATCCCACTTCAATATCTCACCGCAACTACTTCATAAATTCGAAGACAACAAAATCTTTGTCTGGAGTTTCGTTAATCTTGAACGATCTTGATATCCAATGTGTGTGCACTTTAAATTCCCTTCATTTTCAAGCATCTCTTCAGGAGACAATACCTCTGGATATTAAATAGGAATTAAGTTGATCCATCAAACCATTTTTATAGTTTATGTTCACAACTCAAAAGTTCTGACTGTGGATCTCGTTTTTAACGAATTTATTTTTTATAATACGTTTTGCTTTTTTTCACTGAACAACATTTTTCGAACTTTTTTTAATGTTGGTAGTAGTTATGCTGCAAATATAGGATTTGTTGAAAATTTATTTGTTTTTATAATAATCTCTCTTTTTTTCAATTTTTTTATTCATTAGGAAAGGAAACGAAACGATGAGATGAAAAAACTAGAGCCTTCTGACATTAGGAACTTTAAACATATATGATTTTATTTTATGAAATGAAAAGTTTAAACAATTATTTTATTTTCCAGTACGATTCATAAAACTGTGGAATAAATGTCGATTTTATTTTTCTTCTATTTACACCATTGTTCATTATCATAAAATATTAAAAAGATGACAAGCTCGGCACTGAACCATAAATAGTTATAAACTTGACAATAGTAATGTTATCAAATTAATCAAAATAATAATCAAATTATAATCAAATTATAATCAATTATAATCAAATTACAGTTAAGTAACAGTAATGTTTCTTGAAATTTAAATTGCCAATTTTGCAAAACTTGATTCATTTAATTACAAGCATCAAGTTTTAAATTAAGATCTTAAATATGTTGAATGTGTAGGCGAGAAGAGAATTTTAGAAAAATCCAGGAAATGATGGCAGGGGAACGACGAAGGGAAGAGGGGAAACAAAGGTAAATTTACAAGAAAATTAAACAACATAAATTGATAATGCCACTCTTCGCCTGCAGTATGATTTTTCATTGAATTTCAAGAGATTTTTATCTCATCAGTGTTTAAATCTTTGAAAAGTACATTTTTTTGAGAAAAAGTGTCATCTATATCTTATTTAGAGACAAGAAACCTATGTGACATCTATATCTTATTTAGAGACAAGAAACCTATGTGACATCTATATCTTATTTAGAGACAAGAAACCTATGTGACATCTATATCTTATTTAGAGACAAGAAACCTATGGATCTGGGTCGGGCAATTGGACGCTTAGATAGTGAGGATTGGGCCATCAAGCAGGTCGGGCAATTGGACGCTTAGATAGTGAGGATTGGGCCATCAAGCAGATAGAGGTATATCTCCAATCTGATAGGTTAAGGACTTCTAGACCACAATATATAGAGGTATGTTTCCAATCTGATAGGTTATGGACTTCTAGACTACAATATATAGAGGTATGTCTCCAATCTGATAGGTTAAGGACTTCTAGACCACAATATATAGAGATATGTTTCCAATCTGATAGGTTATGGACTTCTAGACTACAATATATAGAGGTATATCTCCAATCTGATAGGTTATGGACTTCTAGACATATATAGAGGTATATCTCCAATCTGATAGGTTATGGACTTCTAGACCATAATATATAGAGGTATATCTCCAATCTGATAGGTTATGGACTTCTAGACCATAATATATAGAGGTATGTCTCCAATCTGATAGGTTATGGACTTTTAGACTACAATAAATAGAGGTATGTTTCCAATCTGATAGGTTATGGACTTCTAGACTACAATATTTAGAGGTATGTCTCCAATCTGATAGGTTAAGGGCTTCTAGACTACAATATATAGAGGTATGTTTCCAATCTGATAAGTTATGGACTTCTAGACCACAATATATAGAGGTAGGTTTTCAAGCTAACAGGTTATGGACTTCTAGACTACAATATATAGAGGTATATCTCCAATCTGATAGGTTAGACTTCTAGACCATAATATATAGAGGTATATCTCCAATCTGATAGGTTATGGACTTCTAGACCATAATATATAGAGGTATATCTCCAATCTGATAGGTTATGGACTTCTAGACCATAATATATAGAGGTATGTCTCCAATCTGATGGTTAAGGACTACTAGACCATAATATATAGAGGTATGTTTCCAATCTGATAGGTTAAGGACTTCTAGACCATAATATATAGAGGTATATCTCCAATCTGATAGGTTAAGGACTTCTAGACTACAATATATAGAGGTATATCTCCAATCGGATAGGTTATGGACTTCTAGACTACAATATATAGAGGTATATCTCCAATCTGATAGGTTCTGGACTTCTAGACTACAATATAGAGGTATATCTCCAATCTGATAGGTTAAGGACTTCTAGACTACAATATATAGAGGTATATCTCTAATCTGATAGGTTAAGGACTTCTAGACTACAATATATAGAGGTATGTTTCCAATCTGATAGGTTATGGACTTCTAGACCATAATATATAGAGGTATGTCTCCAATCTGATACGTTATGGACTTCTAGACTACAATATATAGAGGTATGTCTCCAATCTGACAGGTTATGGACTTCTAGACCACAATATATAGAGGTATGTTTCCAATCTGATAGGTTATGGACTTCTAGACTACAATATATAGAGGTATGTCTCCAATCTGACAGGTTATGGACTTCTAGACCACAATATATAGAGGTATGTTTCCAATCTGATAGGTTAAGGACTTCTAGACCATAATATATAGAGGTATATCTCCAATCTGATAGGTTATGGACTTCTAGACCACAATATATAGAGGTAGGTCTTCAAGAAGACAGGTTAAGGACTTCTAGACCACAATATATAGAGGTATGTCTCCAATCTGATAGGTTAAGGACTTCTAGACCACAATAGAGAGAGCTATCTATATACAGCTAGTTATCTATATATATAAAGTTGTAATCTCTGTTTGTTTGTCTTTTTGTTTGTCCGATCAGAAATTTTTGACCGATTTGTCTCAAACTTTGATGGCAGGAGAAAATTTGTGTAATCTTGGCAGCGCTGGGTCCCAATCTAGTTTGATATAAAATAAATTTGAACAATATCAAAATGGATTTACATAAAAGTAATGACAAAACACATACTGAAATAGTATGGTAAAGAATTATGAAGACATGTTTGATCGTTTTTAAGCAAAAGATTTAAAAGTTCCTGTAACATAAAATAAATTTTAAACTTTTTTAATTGATGTATTAAAAAGTAATGCAAAAAGCTGATATGTTTCCAAAAATCTTCTTTAGATATTAAGCTTGTAAAGTTCAAATTCCAGATTTTTTTACATTTTGGGTTGAACTAAGAAGGATTTATATTAAAGAATGTACATTGTTCACTTGAAATGTTTTCAAGTGTTTTTTTGCAAAGTGTTTTCAAAATTGCAACCTGGAGGGGTGTATCTTTACACAAACATGTATTGCAATTTTTGTACGTCTATTGCTTTTAAAGAATTTTGTAAAAAATTCCAATGAAAAAGTATTGAATGAAGGTATGAGTATATGATATGATATAATAGGTTTGCAGGTTAAATTGTTTGAATTCCTTAAACGATGTAAGCTATTTTTTTTGAAGTTCCCAATTCCCATCTCGGCAATTTCCCAAGCAGCAACTTCCAAAGTCTGTTCTAGCTGCAGCACTCGGCCCCCAGCATGCTTTAGCTGTGGTGCTCGGCCCCCTGGCCCATCTTAGGCACAGCACTCGCCCCAGCATGTTTTAGCTGTGGTGCTTGGCCCCCTAGCCCATCTTATTCACAGCGCTCGCCCCAGCATGTTTTAACTGTGGTGCTCGGCCCCCTAGCCCATCCTAGGCACAGCGCTCGCCCCCATTGCAGCCTGCGGCGCCTCAGAGGGCCTAATCTAATTTGAGAAGTTGCCACTTGGGAAATTGTCTCTCCAGAAATTGTCTCTTGGGAAAGTCGCCCATTAGGAAATTGCCTTTGGGAAATTATCGTTAGGAAAATAACTAACACCATATTATTAAATAAAAAATCAGGTAAAATCCTGACTCAGGTAAAATCAATTGTTTCTCTCTCATTATTAGTACTACCTTTTTAATTTAGCTAAATGTTTGAATGATATCTTTAATTAATCATCTAGTAGTATCTAATTAATCGTGGAAAGGACAGAAAAATTGCAACAAAACATTTTCCTGAAGTCTGCCTCTTTGCGCTTTTCAATCCATTGTAGAAGACGGGAAAATACCAAATTAAAGGGGCTGTTGGCGAAATTTTAAGTAATCCTTCATGCAAAGTTGGAATCACAATTTAGTAACTCTGTAACAATAATATGTTAAAAAAAATGTATAGATAATTTTGTTTCCTGGCTCAAAAAGTGTTTCTCATGATAAGACAAAGCTTTTAAGGGTACCTTAGTGAATCGGGCATCTCCATCTTTAAATGGAGGTTCACTTGAAATTACACTTACAGCCCCTTTAAACGGTAGTTTTCTCTTACATCCACCAGATACTGAGGCTGTAGCCTTTTAGGGGTAGTGTTATGCAGAATATTTTTGTTTTATGTAAATGCTTTCAATATTATTGGGGAAGCTAAGTTATGGTGGAACTAATCTTCTAATAATATCTGGATTTTGATATTTGCTAAATATTTCAAGTTTTCAAGAATTTGGAAAAATGTAAAGTCGAAGGATATTATTGAAGATTTACAGATAAGAAATGAAAAATATTCTACATGTTTTCCTGTTCTTCTAAATGAAATACAAGAATGACTCAATGAATCTGAAATAAATTTAAATTTTCTTCTTGGATTTGTTTAATTAAGATATATATATATATTTAACAAATTTGGTGGAAAACTGAAATATCGTAAGGATTTTTTTTTAATTTTAAGAGCACGTTACAATGAATAAATGTGAATTGGGGTTGTAGATCTGTAGAAAAGAATTGAGTCTGTGCCACACACTCGGATTTTAAATCCAAATTTCTTTAAAACCAAATGTCTTAGACCGTAGATATTTCAAACTATGAATAATGGTGGATCAAACAATGTAAGTTTGAAATATGACAGGTATGCATCATCTGGTTGTTCTGTGTCAATAATTTTAAAGAAAAATGTTGAAATAGTGTTTTCTTTGATAATAAGAAATTTGAATATTTTTTTTAATCTTAGAAACATAGCACACTGAATTTTTGTCTATTCTTTTAAGAAACTACTAAATACATTTTTATCTTAGAGAACCTGTGTCAGCTTCCGTTATTTTCTCCAAAATTGTTTACTAAAGTTGAGGGGTGTGATTCCTACATTTCTAAAAATAGTCAGCACAGACCATCTCCCATTTTTAACTTTAATGTACTACCCTTTTTTATGCATCGCCATCATATTAAAAGGTTTATTGATTGATTGATTGATGAATTGCAATATTGAAAATTAATTCAAAGGGGAGAGTGGGTTTAATAGTTGGTAGAGCTTAAATTCATTAAAATTACTAGTTTACATATTTGATTTTCTTGTCATTTTTATTGGAAGGAAAATTTAGCTCTTTTCTTTTTTAACTCGAAGACCACAAATGTTGCAGTCTGAAAACTGTTTTTAAGTTGCCCCTCATATTTTTTAAATCCCCTTTTTATAAAGATTTCTTGGATAATTTCATTAAGAAGTTTTAATTTTTTCTCTCCCCACCTACATTATATGCTATGATCAAGTTTTAAAAACTTTTTAATTGAAAAGTTTTTAAGTAAAGTTTGATCCTTCTTATTATGAACCATCCATTAACAAAAATAATAGGTTTCTAATGAACTTCCGTGAAAAAAATGTTCCAGTATTTTTCAACATGAATTCGTATGTAATTTATATTAAAGAATGAGAATTACAGTTTAGAGTTTCTCAAGTGTTTTCTCCTGTTGGAGAAATTACTTATCTCAAGGTTTAATAACATTCAGTTGTTTTCTTCTTTACAGAATTGTCATCAAAGGAAGCAAATCAAAATTAATTAATCATTGACAAAAAAAGTTTAAGAAATTTAAAACAAAAATGTCCATTATTCTTGAAATGAAAATGGAAAAACTTTTCATTTTTCCCCCTGAAGAGTAGACTCAAATTACAATGGGACACATTATCTTCAAGAGTTTTTAAAACAATATTTGTTATGTTTCTCAGGAGTCCCACTGTCATCTTTACAGTAAAAAGAACACACACTGGGCAAATCATGTGTATGTGATTAATTTTCTTCTTTCATTTAATTATGTAAAGAAATGAAAAATAATAATCGGTGTTTTTTTTCCAAATTATAAATAATTGATAATTTATCTGGTTCGTACATCAATGCTATGCAGTATGCATAGTTATTCAAAACAAGTGCTGGGTTTTCAACATATTTTGTGTTTAAAGAAGACTTATATACAAAAATATTTTCAACCCGAAGAGGAAAATATATTTTTAAACTTAATTTCTTAAATTCCAAATTTCTCCAATTCTTGAGGCAGTCAAAACAGTTTCAACCCAAAAGGGAAAATAAACTTTTTTTAATCCTCAATTTCTCTTAAAGTTTTAGGAAAAGGGAAAAAATTAGTTGATGCCAATACCATATAGGTTACGTTCGTATAATTTATTTTTTACCTAAGTTAGTCAGTTACTTGTAAACAAGAAAAAATGAAGAGAACATATTATCCTGTATAAAAGCATCTGGGGCGGGGGGGNCCAACAAGGTTTTAATGTAAGGAGAATTAATGTATCCTTAACGACTGTTTAGACCATGAAATACGCATAGAGCCCTGGACCATATTGCATATTTGATTATTATAACGTAGTTTAGACCAAAATCTCCTTCTGTCATTTGTTAGTTAACGATTTCCAAGTTAATGACCTAAAAGAAGTTTAAAGAAAATTTAGTAGAAAACTTAAATTACTTACATTAAAGGTGTACTTTATACTTTTCCGTAGCTTTTAGACTCATAACCCAACCCACACCCCAACCCCAACCCCCACCCACACCCACACCCTTAGGTTTTAAACACCTACTCTCTCCCCTCCCCAACAGCCATCTATCATCTAATTGTTCAGCGTGGAAAATATGGACTTGACCCATGTTTTATCCCGTTGCATATTTTTAGTTCAATTCTTGAAAATCTTGACCTATTATGTTTTTTCAAATTTTAAGGGTATATATTGCAGAATTAGGGCAATTGATAAGAATCAAAAACTTGTCAAGTTGAAGTCCAATTTAACATATGTTTTCTCTAATTTTCTAAAATCTCCTTTAACTTCCCAGGAGGAGAGGGATCATTATAAATAAGTACTCCTGTTTTCATCTTTAACATGTTTGCCAATGTAATCTCTTAACAAGCATGATTTGGTGCCCTTTTATTCTGTTGATAACTTAACCATTTCCCTATAAAGGCTGCGATCGCAGCTGGGGGGTGGGGCTGTGAAAGGGGGGGGGGGGGGAAAAAATTTTTGCCCCCCCCCCCCCCCTAAATTAATTCATGGATGACCAAGAAATGCATCTAAATTTTAAAAAATACCCAAACTCTCCAGAAGAAATTCTGTGGCAGTACTTTTTTTGGAATGTAAAGCATGAACAAAATGCACATTCATAATGATAATTATACTTAGGAGAAGATGAAGGAGACCAAGAGGAAGGAGAAGGAGGGACGGAAGGAGAAGGTTCCGAAGTGGAGCAAAGAAGCATTCAATGATAAACTGAAGAAGGTTAAATGCACACTGGAGAACGGAACAGATTTAAGGAAAAAATATGATAAAGGTGAGTTTAAAAAAGATTGATGCTGACTTAATTTTAAGTGACACTTGGTTTTTTTGAATTGGCATGTCAGATTCACATAGTTGCCCCTCATCAAACCTTTGTCTGATGATGAAAATATCTGTCTGAAAATTGGGAGCCAGGAAACTTCAGTGTACAGTGAACTCTGTACATCATACACTCCGTGCAAATTGTGTTACATGGTTCCCGTAGATACTCTATTTTTAGATAGAAAAGTAAGGATACTTCTGTCGTCTATGATTAGTTAAAGGTATAACTTGATTAGTTAAAGGTATAACTTAATAGGTAAAGATATAACTTGACTAGTTAAAGGTATAACTTGACTAATTAAAGGTATAACTTGACTAGTTAATGGTATAACTTGACTAATTAAAGGTATAACTTGATTGGTTAAAGGTATAACTTGATTAGTTAAAGTTATGACTTGACTAGTTAAAGGTATAACTTGGTTAGGTAAAGGTATAACTTGACTAGTTAAAGGTATAACTCTTAAGTTAAAGGTATAACTTGTCTAGTTAAAGGTATAACTTGATTAGTTAAAGGTATAACTTGATTAGTTAAAGGTATAATTTGATTAGTTAAAGGTATAACTTGATTAGTTAAAGGTATAATTTGATTAGTTAAAGGTATAACTCTTAAGTTAAAGGTATAACTTGTCTAGTTACTTGATTAGTTAAAGGTATAACTTGATTAGTTTAAGGTATAACTTGATTAGTTTAAGGTATAACTTGATTAGTTTTAAGGTATAACTTGACTAGTTAAAGGTATAACTTGATTAGTTTAAGGTATAACTTGACTAGTTAAAGGTATAGCTTGATTAGTTTACGGTATTTTTTGAATGGACGGTGACGATTGTTTAAATTGGTTTATGTATTGTTAAAATGGACTAGTTTATTAACCTTCCAACTCTTTCAACGAGATTAAAAGACCTAAGATCAGAGATTTCCTTGTGTTTCTATCTTATAATTTGATAATTTTTTATTACAATTTCTCTTTTAAATTGACTTGCAGATTTATGCAGCATAGACAAAGCAAGAAATTTACAGCATTTTTCTCTTTTTGTGATTTAATAACGACAATACCTTCATCTAATTCATTTACTTAATTAACGGATTAAGTGTATTTTTTTGCGGGATGTGATTATCGGACGGTTGAAATTACGTAGACCGTCCCTTTAAAAGCCTTCCTTAGTTGGAACCTTTACCACGAAAGCAGGTCCTTGAAGGGAATATTCAGGGTGGCCAAAATGTACGGATTGTACGGATTGATTTTTTTAACCCTAAAATTGTACGGATTGTACGGATTGTACGGATTTGTTTTCAAATTGTACGGATAATGTAAGGAGAATTAATGTATCCTTAACGACTGTTTAGACCATGAAATACGCATAGAGCCCTGGACCATATTNTTTCGAAAATTGTACGGATTGTACGGATTTCTTCTGAAAATGTACGGATTTTTGTACGGATGGGTTCAAAAAAGTTTTGGCCACCCTGAATATTTAATTATTTTATTTAACGAAGTAAGTATGTAATATTAATTATACTAATTACACTAAGACAGTCTTAATTAAGAAAAAGATTCGGATTTAGAATAAAAGAAAACTATAAACAATTTGTTAAGTCAGAAATATGGTTTCCAGCGAAAAGGGGAAATTTTTTCACATTTTTCGCGAAAAAAAAATTTCGCGGAAAGTTCCGCATTTCGTTAGCTTGTGAAAATTTTCACTTTTTTCGCTTAAATATGTTGCATGAAAAATGCGAAATTTTCGCGAGAAAAATTTCGAAAATTTTAAGAAAAAATTCTCTTTATCAAAATTGATTAAAGTAAAGTAAAAGAAATTATTTATAATGTTCGCATTTTTTCGCTTAATTCATTTTCGCGAAAAAAATGCCAAGTTTGGCAAAAAAAAGTTAACAAAATACGAACGAAACGAACCCTTGTCAGAAATCTTAACATTTATTTTAAAGAATTTCATTAGGAAAAAAAATGTATTAGTTTTCAGTTATTTTGAATAGTCTGTTTTAACTTTTTATCTCAATTATGGAAGCCCGAATATTTTCGGTTAATAATTGTAATCGTTAAATTTTTTTAAATATAGTTTTTCTGGTTAATGTCATGTGAGCGAAAATAAATTAGTTCTAATTAAGTTCTGTGAAAAAAATATTATCTACATACAAATTAAACACATTAATTCTATTTCTATCTGATTCGAAAAAAAAATCGACAAACTTTTCTTTTTTCATGCAAAAAAACTTTTTTTAGAATCTAGTTTATCCCGCCTGAAGCGAACCTTAAAGGAGGGTTCCAATTTAGAAACAGGAGAGAGAGGTTCAAATAAGGTGAGTTATGAACAGTAGTTCCCCCCCCCCCCCTCCCCAGTACGTCAAGGTGTTTACCATGGTTTACTACTTACTACTAACTCAGACCTCCGCTGTCATGTGAAATATTATGTATTTTGTATTCATTCTGGGATCTGAGCTCCGTTGGAATATTTGAAAAATTAATTGAATTGAGTGAGTTAGGTCCCACAATGCATCCAAAATCCATAGGAATATCTATAACTTCAGGAGCGATTAAATCCTGAATTTTTAGAGATATTGAGACAAAAATTAAAAGTGCTCGCAGTACATATTGTTCACGGTACAATGGAAAAAATAAGGTCATACGTCAGGGGCGAATGAAACCATTATTTTAGCGGGGGGCCAATAATTTCGGCCCCCCCTAAAAATTAACAAAAAGCAGTAAATTTATATTTCTTATTAGTTCAAAAAATATAAGTTTACAAATTCATGTTCTCCCACTTTCTATCTGTAAACTCTAGTTCTTCTTCTTTCTTTCTGTACACTCCAGTTCTTCCTACTTTCTATCTGTAAACTATTATAGTTTTTCTACTTTCTTTCTGTAAACTCCAGTTCTCCTACTTTCTATCTGTAAACTCCAGTTCTCCCACTTTCTGTCTGTAAACTCCAGTTCTCCCACTTTCTATCTGTAAACTCCAGTTCGCCTACTTTCTCTCTTAAACCTCTAATTCTACTTACTTACTGTAAACTCTAGTTCTCCTACTTTCTATCTGTAAACTCCAGTTCTCCCACTTTCTATCTGTATACTCCAGTTCTCAGCTTTATATCTGTAAACTCCAGTTCTCTTGTCTTTCTATCTGTAAACTCCAGTTCTTCTACTTTCTTTCTGTAAACTCCAGTTCTCCACCTCTGTCATCCGTGGACAAGCTATATACCATAAATAGCGTAAATATCACTTATGGCCTGAGCACACAGCACAATTGCTTTGTTTTCTCTTCCATTATTAAAAATAACTTGATTTTAAAAGTCGTCTTCCTTTTCCACGCACGTACGAACGCAACTTTCATTTTCAACATGAACCATTAAAAATCTCCTAATTTGAATGGTCTTGCGGTCTTATAATTGCATAACCACCAAGACCATAATTAATAAGCAGTATTTTTGGATACATTTACAATAAAATTTGGGGTTTAAGGGTTTTGACAAGTAGTGTTACAAGGTTTCCAACAGTTGAAAATTTCAACATTTTTAATTGCCCTACTTATTCTTTTAATTTTGATATTTTTATTTTAGGGATAAATAAGTGTAAAAAATTGTACATATTTAATTCAGCTGAAGAAAGGCAACGTATGGTATACCATATATATGGTATAAAGGTATATATACCATATATACCAATAATTTGAGTTTTGTGGGAAAGATTAAAAGTGAGCAACTTTTTCTCAAATATTTTTTCTTGAAGTAAGTTATTTGAGAACAAGGCAATTAGGGCTAGAATTTGAAGATAATTAAATTTGAATCAAATTATTTTAGCTAAAAGTTCATTCACCGCGGGATAGACCTTTTGAACCTCGTTATTCTAGGATTTAAATCCCTTATTATCTGAGACTAACCTTAATCTGATTGTTAAAATACCAGGATGAGGGTTTTGATTTGCTTCGTTAGTGTTCAAGTCACATCACAAGGCATGTATGTAGGCCTGCATCTGTTGGATATCTTGGCAGCAAACTAGCTGAACCATTTCAAGATTTAATTTTTGGATTTTAAACAATTCTCTTTTACATATCATTAAGTAAAGTAGTAAAAAATTATTTATTTATGAAATACAACAAAAACATACAAAATAAAGTGTTTCAGGAGAAAATATTTAAAAACCTCTAAGAGTAGAGGTTGTGGGAATATTTCCCCCCAATTCTAAAAAAAATATAAAACTAGAAATAAAAGGAAAAGGAAAGGAAAGTATAAGGAAAGTTACATATTTATTGTTTATACTATATTTAAATTAGTGGTGGATTGTTAGTATTTTTCGACGATGAACTAACAACTTTTAAAAATAAAAATTAAATATTTATTTGTAATGTTAAAAGAAAAAGTAAAAAAAAGCTTTATGGAGTGTGAAAAAGATATAGGTTCTATGAAAAACGGGCATTTTTAAGCATCTTTTTAATTCGCGCTGATTTTTGACATCCTTTATGTTTGATTATATTTTTTACTCTTATTAATCTTTTTATTCTTTTCTTTGTAAAATTGTCTTTGGTTTCTTCGATTCTTTTGCAAACATAGCATGTGTTAGAATTAAAACATTTGTTCTGCTGATAAAAATCTTCTATTAAACTCTGTTTAAAATTCGAAATAAGACTGATATTTGAAAGCTTAGAACTGTGTCGTTTATTTTCATACCATATTTTAGGGAAATTGTGAGGGGGGAGCAGTCCAATTTTAATAGATTTTATTCTAGGAATATAAAAATCGTTTCTGTTTCTAAGATTTGCGTTTTTGATATTTTTTGATAATATAAAATCTTTTTTAAATGTTGGGGGTAATTGGTCTCCTTTTAATTGAAATAAAAATTTTATTACATTAAAAATTCCTAATTTTCTTAAGGGGAGTATGTTTAAAGCCCAAAAAGCTTCCGCTGTGTGACTTATTCTAGGTAACCCCATCAAAAGACGGATAGCTTTCTTTTGCAATGATTCTATCTTATCAATATTTTTGTTTGAAGTTAGCATTAGGAATGTTGAACTAAATTCTAGATGGGAGTGGAAAAAGGAGTAATGGAGCAATTTCATGGTTTCAAAGCTTAAAAAGTTTTTCATTTTTTTCATAGCATAAAGTGAAAAAGTTAACCGCTTGTAAATCTTTTTAAAATAGTCATTAAAGTTCAATTTTGTGTCCAGCCATATTCCCAAGAATCTCACTGAATCTGTTTCTTTTATTCGTTCAATTTTTCGTGCAGATTCTCCTAATTTAAAGAAAACATCAGGACAGTCGTTTTGTGCATTTAGAGAATTTGAAAATAAAATTGCATTAGTTTTCTCAAAGTTAATAGTAAGTTTATTAGACATGTACCAACAAGTTATTTTTTCTAATTCTTTATTTATTGTGTCTGCTAGAGTATTCAAGTTTTTACATTTTGATGCCACATTTGTGTCGTCGACAAAGGCTACACTGAAAAGTGTGTTAGATTGAAAGAAGTCATTTACATATATAATGAACAGTAAACAGCTTAGACTTGATCCTTGAACAAGACCCATCTCTAATATTTCGACTAAGCCGTTATGACATTTTTTTGGGGTACAGACAGACAGATGATTAAAGTATAACTTAGGATTACATTTATTTGTTAAACTTGCTATCTATGGTATTACTGTGATCATTTATTAAATAGGTTATTCTTTTCTAAATATTTGTAAGCCTAAGTTTAAAATCATTAAAAATCTTTTCCTAAAATTACAAAAATATGGTCAAACTTTTCATTTCAAACTTTCGTAGGATCATAGGATTTGTGTTGATATTATTCTCATATGAAACCAAATTTTACATTTTGAGATTTTATATATTTTGTTGGATTAACGTAAAATCTTAAAAAAAATATCTAGTTCATTTCTTAACATATGTATCAGATTGTGCTGATACTTATCTTCGAGCAGCTTTACATTTTTGTTTGAAAGCATAGTCCGTTCCCTTTTTCGTGCGGATTAACTTACATTGTTTCGTAAATCCTTGTTTTTTTACTTAACAACAGCTTTATTTTTAATATCTATAACTGAGCTGCAGTAGTGAATGGTTTTAAGAATGAACTTCCCTATGGAGGAGGGGGATTATTTTTTAAGGTTGTGGGGGAAAAAAGTAAAAATTTGAAAAAGTTTTTCTTTTTTTCAAACTTTATACGCAAAAATTTATTTATTTTCCCCAATTCCGCAAAATAAAATCTAAAAAATGTTTTCGGTTAGTGCAAACATGTATTCGAGGGAATATTAATATTTTCAAAAGAAAGGCGAGGTGGGAAGGCATATTAAGGTAAAGAAAATATCCACCACTATTGAGTTACCTTGATTATTGGTAGTAATAAATCTTGTAAGAACATCTCAACTTTGAGAACTAATTTAACTTGTTTCAAAGTTGTGTGACATGTTTAAATAAAAATATATATATATTTACAAATACAATCCATTTTTCTTCTAGAATTCGTCTATATTTCAAAACCGTTAAAAATTTAGAACAAAATAATGATCTGTGTAAATCTTAGTTCTTGAAGATAATTTGTCTTGCGAATTATGGGTTTAAATAATGTTTAAATAATTTCTGTAAAAAAGCAAATAGAGTAAATTTTCTAAGAGATGCTTAAAGAAAAATAAAATAAAAATTTACAAGAATCCAAAATTGCCGAATTGTACTTGCTGACTTTTATCTTGTTCTATTCCTTATCTGAAATTTGAAATTCAGAATTCTTGAAAATAATAAAATGTCGATCTATAACAATCTAATTCTTGGAGAAATATACGTCCTGGGATTTTTGGAAAAATTCATTTTTTGTTTGTTCGCAACATAGAACTAATCGATAGCATTAAGAACAGGGGTGAATATTTTTAAGAATTACCCAACCCATCTACCCCCAGCCCTGGGTGGGGGGGAGGAATGTTTTTTTAAGTTGTGGTGGTGGGGGATGGGAAGGCAATTTTTTTCCCAAATTCAGTAAAAAAAAATCCCAAAAAAATGCTTCGAATATTCTGATCTAAATTTTGAAAAGGTGTACATTGATTAGAAATCCTTTTCAAACAAAATTATTGGTTTTTTATAAGTGTTATTAAATCCTTTTTATTTTATCATCTCTCTGTAACTTTTTGAAAAAGGTAGTTTGTCCACCATTGTACTTGCAATTATTCACATTTTCATTCAGTTCCTTTGAAATAACGTTGGTTTGGTTGACGTTTTATGAGAATAATCCAGGCAAGGCCGGGTTCCCTTAGCTAGTTGAGTGTTGAATATTAAAGAGTTTCATTGACATGACATCATTTACACTACAAAATAAGCAAGATATCGTAAATGTTTCTGCTTTCAATGGTGTATCTCAGAGAAAAAATATTTCTTATATAATATTTTGTTATTACGAATATTATAAATAAATTATTGTGTATCCAAAGAAAGAAAGGTACACTTGAAATAGCATCCGTCCCTTTATCAGTGGAATTTTACTTTTATCAATATATTTGCCAAGGAATGTTCTGGATTTAAAAGGTTTAGATCAGAGACCAAACTTTTGAAATAAAAATATGGAACAATCTTCGATAAATCTTGTAAGATCTTTTTAACCTGATTCATCAATCCTTTAATTGTATAAAAATGAAAACTTTATCCTGGATTATTTGAAAAGTTTATAGGAAACCTATATCTTGCAATTTACACTTTCAGAATTTATTGTGGGGTAATAGATACCAACTCAGCATTTAACAAATATAAAACGAAGGATTTGGCACTTTTAAATACTGTTAGAAAATATTCAAGGAAAAGTTAAAATTCTGGGTTTTTCCTTTAAGGGACTTCAGACTTAGTTTTAATTTTATCTTGTGAAAAACTTGTCTTTGTCGTTTAAATCCGCAAGTTACTTTTATACAGATGTGAAAGATAAAAAAGAAAATTCTTATGAAAAGTGCTCAGACTAAGGATTAATGGATACCTTTTTGTTTGTAACTTAATAGAAGAGTCCTTTTAATTAAATTTTCATTCCATTCTATGTTTTTATTTTTTTAAATTATATTTTTAGTTTTAAAAGATATTAAAAAGTTTTTAAAGCATTGATGGAATTTTTTTTGAAAATTAAGAATGGTAAAAATGAATCTCATTAAAATCCATATACAGTAAATTTAATTTAATATACTTTCAATGATGACTAACGGGACGTTTCCTGAAAAAAATTGGGACAAAGCAGAACAGAAATTTTGGACAGAACAGAACTAGCGCCTTTCATTCGATTTTGGATTATATAAATTTTACCTGTAGCGCCAAATCAATCCTAAATTTGTCTAGATATTGTTAACATCACCCCCCAGCCGTTTCAGGGCTATGACTTAATTATCTTAAATACTTGAAGATACTTGAAAATTGAAAGGAATTTTTTTTGGGCCAGAAGAAGACCTAAAAAATTTTGTGCGCGCAATTTTTTATAATTTTCCACTGATCCGATTCCATTAATAATAATGAGACTTAAAGGGAGTGACCGGGTTTGTAAGGTAGTTGAACTGAGTATGCAGTGTTGTTGAAAGCTTCTTTCGGATTCATTTGAGACATATTAAACTTTTTAATTTTAAAGATCTGTAAATCTAGAGTTTAAGCGCAAATTCGACGTTCAAAACTCCTACTTTGGGGGTGGATACGTTTTCAGAATCGGGTTTTTTTTAAATTACAAAATAACGACGACGAAAAATAAAGTAAAAATCATACAGTAATCTAATTAGATGGTTGGGAACATATTTCTCAAAAGAAATTTGTCAATAAATTAATGCTAGAATTAATTATTTCGTTTTCATCATTATATTGAATTTCTAATTTTCTTCGAATTTATTCGCAGATTTCTTAAAATTCTTCAAATGTCGTCTTTTCAGTAATAATTCAAGAAAACCCGCATAAAATGTTTGTGAATAATGAGAACTAGAATAATAAGGAAATAGAAACTAATAATTGAACGAGATTACTTATTTTCGATGATAAGATTAAATTTAATTTTCTCAACCGGTTCCGAAACAACTAATTAGTTTACTGTAGAGTTTTGCTTACATTTTTTGTCGTCGTTATTTAATAATCGAAAAAAACTAATTCTGAAAACGTATCCACCCCCAAAGTAGGAGATTTGAACGTCGAATTTGCGCTCAAACTCAGGATTTACAGATCTTTAAAAAGTTAAATATGTCGCAAATAAATCCGAAAGAAGTTCAACTACCTTACATAGCCGGTCACTCCCTTTAAAATACTCCCTTCTCTATTTTTAAATATTTTTAAGGTGTCTGCCCTAGTAGGAGAGCTAGCCAGTAAACTAGACAATAATAAGGAGCGTCCGGAGCTAAAACGGGAACCAAGTAACGTATGGCAACCTCCAAAGAATAAGGTAACTTATGTTTGTTTGTTTTATATTGATGCTGAAAAGGGGATTTGGATTTTAAGCTTTTTGTAAATCTGTCGAAACCTTTGTTTTGTAAATAGGGTTTCCATCGTGATTGGAGTTTACTTCGCACAATTGCAAGGCGCAACCCTGTAATTCCGCGCCATTCTTGAACGATTCGAATTTAAAGTTTCCGCTGTGGATATCTACTATCTAGTACTGACTTAGCGCAATATTATTAAAAACTTGTAACTTTTGTTAAACATAAATTTATTGCTTAGTTTCTAAATAGAAACCAATTTATAAAACGTTGAACAATTTCAAGCATGAACCAGCATTAGATATTGATGTTGATTGAAATGTATTGTTTTGGAAAGTTTACAATAAAAAACATCAAAAATCAAATCAAAACAAAAAGTAACTTTTTATTTGAAAGTAATAAAATCCTTGTTTTATGGTTTAATATTATTTTTTTTTGAATATTTTGTTTTCAGAGCTCAAGGACAAGTGATAATTGTCATTTCTGTCAACAAAAGGTAAAGTTTTTTTGAAAAAAAAATTAATTCTGAAAAAATTGTGAAATTTACATATTTTTAATTCTTCATGTTTCCCCCATTTTAATTGTTATTAAAATAATACGAACGTTCAATTAACCAACTTTTATTTAACACTCAAAATTTTGTTTATTTTCTTATTTTTTAATTCTTTTGTGCTTTTCCTTTGTTAAAGTTATTGCCTCTCTTTCTCAAAAGTTTTATTATAAGAGAACCTCCCCAGTCCCACCCTACTCAAACAAGCAAAAGTTGAAGCAAGCAGATACTGAATAAAAAGAAAATTAATAATTTTAAAGATAACATTTTTCGACTTTTAATATAACATTTACTAACTTCTAATATAACTTTTGTCAAAATTGGTCGACTTCTAATATAATGTTTGTCGACTTGTCATATAACATTTGTCGACTTCTTATATAACTTTTGTCAAATTTGAACCTATCTAACCTAGGTGTATGTTGTGGAGCGAATGTCTGCTGAAGGAAAATTCTTTCATCGTGCCTGCTTCAGATGTGATTATTGTAGCATTCTACTTAGATTAGGTAAAAAGTCTGCTTCAGATGTGATTATTGTAGCATTCTACTTAGATTAGGTAAAAAGTCTGCTTCAGATGTGATTATTGTAGCATTCTACTTAGATTTGGTAAAAAGCCTGCTTCAGATGTGATTATTGTAGCATTCTACTTAGATTAGGTAAAAGCCTGCTTCAGATGTGATTATTGTAGCATTCTACTTAGATTATGTAAAAGCCTGCTTCAGATGTGATTATTGTAGCATTCTACTTAGATTAGGTAAACCCCTGCTTCAGATGTGATTATTGTAGCATTCTACTTAGATTAGGTAAAAGCCTGCTTCAGATGTGATTATTGTAGCATTCTACTTAGATTAGGTAAAAGCCTGCTTCAGATGTGATTATTGTAGCATTCTACTTAGATTTGGTAAAAGCCTGCTTCAGATGTGATTATTGTTGCATTCTACTTAGATTAGGTAAAAGCCTGCTTCAGATGTGATTATTGTAGCATTCTACTTAGATTAGGTAAAAGCCTGCTTCAGATGTGATTATTGTAGCATTCTACTTAGATTAGGTAATACTTGCTTTTACTTTCTGCAAGATTTTCTAAACCCAAAAAAGCAGACCAATTCGTATCATATTCCCACTAGGATTTTAGTTTTAGTCGTCTTCCAAAAAAATAATTTCATGAATACAAATTTTTAAAATTATCTTATCTGAAAATTATTGTCTAACAATGATTTATTTTAATAGTGTGGACGTCAGTTATATTGAGTTTCCGGGAGATATTTCCAGAATCTCCTCTTAAGAATTATCTTGACAATCTCGAAACCTGATATATCGAGATTAAACGATATTATATTAAATATTTCCGAACAGACCCTTTAATCAAAATTTCTGAATTGACCCTTCAAATAACATTTCTTATCATACTTTAATCAATATTTCTGAACAGGCCCTTTAATCGATATTTCTGAACAGAACCCTTTTATCAATATTTTTGAACAGATCCTTTAATCAATAATTTTGAACAGATCCTTTAATCAATCTTTCTGTACAGACTCTTTAATCAATATTTCTGAACAGACTCTTTAATCAATATTTCTGAACAGAACCCTTTATCAATATTTCTGAACAGATCCTTTAATCAATATTTCTGGACAGACCCTTTAATCAATATTTCTGAACAGACTCTTTAATCAATATTTCTGAACAGAACCCTTTATCAATATTTCTGAACAGATCCTTTAATCAATATTTCTGGACAGACCCTTTCATCAAAATTTCAAGTTATCAGACCTTTTATTTGAAATTTTTGAACAGACCCGTTGATCAATATTTCTGTACAGACCCTTTAATCTATATTTCTGAACAGACCCTTTCACCAATATTTCTGAACAGACTCTTTAATCAATATTTCTGAAACAGACCCTTTCATCAACATTTCTGAAACAGACCCTTTCATCAACATTTCTTATCAGACCCTTTTTTCAATATTTCTGAACATACGCTTTAATCAATAATTCTGAACAGACCCTTTAATCAATATTTCTGAACAGAACCCTTTATCAATACTTCTGTACAGACCTTTTAACTATATTTCTAAACAGATCCTTTTATTAATATTTCTGAAAAGACCCTTTAATCAATATTAGTGAACCGAACCTTAAATGAGTATTTGTGAACCGACCCTTAACTCAATATTTGTGAACCGACCCTATAGTTATTTATGTTTAGGTTCCTATGTATACCACCGTGAAGGAAGATTTGCCACTAAATTCTTCTGTATTCCTCATTCTACAGAGAACGCCTTGGAGAAATATAAATATAAGAAGAAGGTTGGTAAATCAAATTAAATACAATTTACTTTTACATTAAGGTTCCATCACAAAGCTATCAGTCCATATCTCTTTCCTGATTTAGTAAATTCATCTTGGGTATTATATGATATATATCTTGATTGTTTGATTGATTGATTGAACAGCACATATATTTATTCTAAAATGCTAATGTTCAAGACCAGACAGACACTTAGGTGTCGCAATGCTTAGCTAGACAGTACACTTAAAACTGTTTACTTAAAAAGATATACTATAGCAAGGTACTAATGCAAGGAAAGTTATTTCAGAAGTGTGCGCATTTTTGTACTGCAGTGTACTGTCTTTGGGCGGAAAAGTAAACACAAGACGGATCTCACAGCCTGACATGGAATCCATTTTCACAAAAATAATCTATGAAATATTCTGGTCAAAGGAAACTGCTGTGTGAATTATCAAAATTAAATGCTTTCAACCTCCTCGGATACTAAACGAACACTGATGCATCTATTCTTGTTTACAAATTCTGCCCAAAGAGAACTGGTTTCAATATGTACGCAGATTATACGCAACCGCAATTAACTTTCCTTGCATTAGTACCTTGTACTAAAGGTTATGCCCGAATCTCCTTACAAAAATCAAATATGCAGTACGCTCTCGGTAAAGTTCCGGGCCTACACTAAGGAAAATTCAAAATTCTTTAAGTTTGTACATTAAAGTATATGCTTTTCTCGGACCAAAGATATAAAAAAAACATGTTTTCAATCGTTTTTGAAAATCGTATGGTTAATATCATTGTCTATAGTAAACATTTTGCATCAATCTAACTTATACAATTTTTAAATAGATTAAACATCTCCGATCTTTTTGGAGCCTTTTAAAGAGACATTTATAATTGTATTTTTGTACTTCCACCACTTAGGTTCATTTTGTACAGTTTGTACCCATACAAATTGTCTGGCCATTATAGACCGTCTTTACAAAACTTTTTCTTAGAAGTTTAAAACTTTCTGCAACTCACTTACTTGAATTAAACTTTATTTGGATTCTTTTCCTTCTTATTTGACAAGATCCAAACCACAAAAACTTCAGTTTTTTAAAGTTGTTTTTGCCATGAAAATTCATTGATCAACGCCTGGTAACTAATTTAGAAAGACTTAATATTTTGAGGTTTAAGACTTTTTCAAAAATAAAAAGCAGAAAATTGATCTTAAGCTGGGTAAAGTTTTTAAAGGTTTTTTTTCTTTAAAGGTTTTTTCTCAAATTCTTTAAATTGGCCCCTGTTTAAATCAGAATCCTTCCATCCCATTATTCGTTTCATTTCTACTAGAATATGTATAATTTCTTGAAAAAAAACACTCCTCCCCTTTTCTTAAAAAATCATTCATTTCCCCAAAATGTTAGGTGTGTTTTTTTTAAGATTTATTCTCTAAATTTTGGGAAATAAATAGTTTTTTTAATAAAAAGTATAAAAAAGGGTTTGAAAAAACTGGCCCTTAGATATCAAATTCTGGAAAATATATTCCGTTGGGATGTAAGGTTGGATAATCTGATAAATATCTCCTTTTTGCTCATATTTTCTCATTTTAATCTGGCTTATTACTTCCTGTTAACTTCCTTGTAACTTCTTTCTTTGAACAATTGGTAGAATACAATTTAAAGTACATAGACCGGGGCTGTTCAAAAAGTACTCTATGCAAGACGTACTTAAACTAACAAACATGTACATAGAAAGAGTACATAATAAAAAGTACTAGAACCTTTTCATTGAAAAAGTGATGAATTTTAATTTCATTATCAAATAGAATCTGTATATTTAACAGTAGTTCATAATTAGACATATTTAAACCTGTATATTTAACAATAGTTTATTACTAGACGTACATCACAAACATTTCTTACATTTATACAGTGTGCATATACTGTATTTTATAAATATACAATGGAACACTACAGTTAACACTGCACACTTAACTCTTTATTATTATTAACCAAGGTACTAATGCAAGGAAAGTTAATTGCGGTTGTGTATACTCTGCGTACATATTGAAACCAGTTCTCTCTGGCCGGAATTTGTAAACAAAAATAGATGCCTCAGTGTTCGTTTAGTATCCGAGGAGGAACAAAGCATTTAATTTTGATAAATTTGATAATTCACATAAAAGTTTCCTTTGACCAGAATAGTTCGCAGATTATTTTTGTGAAAATGGATTCCTTGTCAGGCTGTGACATCCGTCTTGTGTTTACTTTTCCGCCCAAAGACATTTCTGAAATAACTTTCCTTGCATTAGTACCTTGTTATTAACAATCAAATCAACCTATTTCAACTTAAACTCTACTAACAAAGTACCATGACCTGTAGGCTTTAGGTTATTTAATGAAACCGCATTGAGTTCTGCTACCTGTCCTGGTCTGAATGAGTATGAATTTAAGAGTCGACAATATCTTTTTTCTTGATTTGAGATGAGATTTTAGTTCTAAAGCAAATTACATAACTAGTAAAACTATTTTCTTTTTCTCTTTTTATACTTAACTGAACAAACATCCTTAACCCCCTTATTTTTGTGTTTTCTTGCTTGAGAGATTTTACAAATCCTTCAAATGTTCTTATCATCCATTTGTCCAAAGTTAAGATCATCCATTTATCCAAAGTTTTCTTATCATCCATTTATTCCAAAGTTTTCTTATCATCCATTTATCCAAAGTTGTCTTATCATCCATTAATCCAAAGTTTTCTTATTGTCCATTTATCCAAAGTTTTCTTATCATTCATTTATCCAAAGTTTTCTTATCATCCATTTATTCCAAAGTTTTCTTATCATCCATTTATCCAAAGCTTTCTTATCATCCATTAATCCAAAGTTTTCTTATTGTCCATTTATCCAAAATTTTCTTATCGTCCATTTATCCAAAGTTTTCTTATCGTCCATTTATCCAAAGTGTTCTTATCGTCCATTTATCCAAAGTGTTCTTATCGTCCATTTATCCCAAATTTTCTTATCGTCCATTTATCCAAAGTGTTATTAGCGTCCATTTATCCAAAATTTTCTTATCGTTCATTCATCCAAAATTTTCTTATCGCCCATTTATCTAGAGTGTTATTATCGTCCATTTATTCAAAATTTTCTTAGAGTTCATTTATCCAAAGTTTATTTTGCAAAAACTATCTAAAACTATTTATTGCATGTACAAATCTTGAATTCGTTGAATTGTTAAGAATGAGATTTGGGTAAAACTTATAAATAACGGGTGGATGCAAAAACATGTTGATGCAGATTTTTTATCTTGAAAATATGTGCATCAAATTTTCCTTAGAACGAAATTGCAAACACTTTGAAGAAATTTCTTAGATTTTTAAAGATTATCTGCTTTCCATATTTTATTTTCAAATTTTCTTAATTTATTAATTTATAATAATCAAGCGTGTTTACTGAATTCTCGAGAGAATGTTTGGCAATTTATCCTTGGCAAATTAACCCCCCCCCCCCTTTTAATGTACTAACAACTAACATTGATGATGATGTTTTTTTACCTATTGCAATGATAAGTGTTGATAGTTACAGTTTCACAAACAACATAATTTCAATTAATCCTCCAGTTAAAGAGATTCACCTAGGTAACCATATACTTCTATATCAGGAATAAGGATCGGACAATATGAATTTCCTTCAATGTTTTTGCATTATAAATCCGCACGGAACTTTTGCTGAGAAAGCTACCAATTAAGGTTTTCTAAATAATCTTTGATTTAACAATCTAAGATACCACTCTTAAAATGGCTCAGTTTCATTTGCCATGATACCTTTACCATAATTGTAACACTTGCCATAAGTTACAATTGCCAAAATTACACTTGTTATAATTACTTTTGTCATAATTTTCTAATTTTTAAAAAGATATAAATCGGTCTTTTTTATTGTAAATACGGGAAATTTTCCCATGAAAATTCCCAACTCTAGTTTTCTCATTGTTTCAAAATATAACAGTTTACACAAGTTCAGCTCTATATTTTCTCACAATGGAGGACCCTTTGGTGACATTAAGGCCACAAGTAAGGGTAAACCAATGGTTCGAGACAGCAACAACTACACCTATGTAGTCAATACCTCGTTTACAGAAGTGAAATATTGGAACTGTCCGGTTAAAATGTGCTCAGTTAGAATTCGAACCCGAAATGAAACTTTCTCTGAACAAGATTTGTAATTTGTATTTAATTTGTAATTTAAAAAATATATATATATGTCTATTAATTCTAACCAAATTTAATTTTAATTACGGCAAGTGTAATTATAGCAAGTGTAATTATGGCAAGTGTAACTTATTGCAAGTGTAATTTATGGCAAGTGTCACTGATGTCAAATGTATTATGGCAAATGTAATTATGGCAAAAGTATTTATGGAAAAAGTATTATGGCAAATGAAACTGAGCCCTTAAAATAAAGGGTTATCTAAAACCCCAAACTACATTCCCTTTTTATTAAACTTTATAAAAAAGAAAATCTTCTTTCTTATTTTTAATTTTCAAGTTTGACATATTATTCTTCATTTGCAAAGCATCAAAATTTCTTTTCTGAAAAAATGTAATTTTATTTAGTAAAAATAGATATTTTTACCCATTGTCAGACATTAAATGGTAAAAAAAAAAAATTCTAGCTTCTCTGGAATTTAGACACACTAATAAAGAAATCATAAGGGTTTGGTGGACCTACCAAAATTGACAGAAAAAGTTTAATCTATTACTCCTCATTTGCTCGTTATATTGTATAACTTATGATTGGTTATAGAACAAAGTGTTATAGTACAACGTCAAATACACTTTTAAGTGCATTAATCTACATAAATATCTTAATTAGTTAGATAAATTTTTACATTTTCATAAATTTACAATGTCACCCATAATTAAAACTGTTTGACTCAAGTTATGGTTTTATTAAGTCCTATGAACATAAAACCAGCAAGTTTGCAGTTCACACAGAATCATTTCACTTTATGTTGATTTTCAAGCTCTGGGTAGATGAAATGTCTTATTTTATTTCTTAGATTTATGGATCTCACTTAACAATAACTCACAGGGTGTCCAACAGAAATTGACATTAGAAAGTCGACTTAAAGGTCGGCTTTGATCTTTGAAATTAGTTGCGGCATTTATTTGTCAACCTACTTTAATTCGAATGATTTTTAAAACAGTAATTCAAAATTCTCCTCGTCATGGCATTTTAAAATGCAGTTTGCTTTTTTCTGCAGTTAATGTTACCGGAGATATTAACAAGCAAAACCAAAATTTTCGAACTCTGAACAAAATTCTGCATTTCTTGGGTAATATTGAAAGCACAAAAGAGGCACACCACAAATAACTAGATTTTTACGTATAAAATTAGTTTTCCGTATAAAGGCCGCAAATTATTTAATGAGATCGATGACGACCTACAAGTCGTCTTGCTTCTCATGTTCCGTGGGACACGCCACACCCCCTCTGAATTTTAGGGATTTGCCATTTTCTGTTGTGCGCACATGCCCAGTAAAATTCCAAAACAGAAATAGGGGGATTGAATTTTGTAGATCCAGAAAAATAATTAATTTAGTATTTATTTAGGGTTAGGTTAGGCTAAGACACTTTCTGGGCTGAGCGCTGCGGCTAGGACAGGAAAGGGGGCCGAGCGCTGCGGCCAGATGTCTTACATTTAAGACCCCACCAGCTGCCAGTCTCTACGCAGGCATCCCACAGATATTATTTTTCTGGATCTACAAAATTCAATCTCCCTCTCTCTTTGGAATTTTACGGGGAATGTGCGCACTACAGAAAATGGCAAATGCCTGAATTTTAACTTCAACTTTTTTTAACTTTAACTTTTTTCTAGGCTGATGAGATTAAAGCCGGGAAGGATAAGAGGAAGGTTGTGGCAGAACTAATAAATGAAAAGAAACCTTTATCTCCGATTCGAAGGGAACGAATCTTAGATATTGACAGAGGTAAGTGAAGTATAGCAGAGAAAATATTAGAATTTGAAATCATAAATTTTTTTCCTTTTTAACGTGACTTTACCTACAACTTGAAAAAAAAACATACATTAAGAACCAGAAAACTCTGAAATAGAAAGACCACATAAGAGCAATAATGAAGTTAATTGATGTTGCTACTAAATAGTCTTATTGTACCACTTAAAAGTGAAATTACATTGATTACACTGTACAATTGCTTGTCTCATGTTTCTTGGGCTTGGTCATATCTTGAGTCTAAAAGTCGTCATCCTATTACAGAATTTTCTGGTTCTCCATACAATACAACAATTTATTGGAATTATGAACATATTTTTGTCAATCTTACAGCTCAAGTATAGCCTTAAGGACTGATTTGTTTTTCTATTTTCTTCCAAAACAATCGTCCCGTTTTTTTGCGATGATTTGATCAATATTTGCCGTACGTTCACTCATTTTTTAAGTAGTCAGTAAAAAAAATGGTGAACAGAACTTAAAGAGACATTAAGCGTAATTTCAAGTGGCCCTCTACAATACAAGACAATGCCCGATTTTAAACGCTACAAACAAACTTTTATCTGATAAATAATGCGAAAGATATAGTCATTTTTCTGTCAAGAGTGTTTATTTTTATTTAGTGATTCCAATTTGTATTACTGCAGTAGAAATATGCAAGTCAAATTCGTGGAGAAACCACAATTGAAAATAATTAATTTTAAAAATGATAAACATTAATATCTTATTCTTACTTTATCAGTCAAAGCTTAAAGGGTACCTTTGTGAATTGGTCATAAAGAATTGCTTGTAATTACGCTTACAGTTCCTTTGAATCCCCTAAATCTTACATCAAACTTGGATCATTTATTAATCATCATTTATTAACCGTCAATCCATTTCATCGAATTATTTAAAAAATTCAATGCAAGTTCTCTTCTATTGAATATTGGATTTAGTTTAATCCCAATTCCAATATTGCTAGCAATTTGGTTTTATTAATACGTTACTAAAAAGAGATTTCTTTAGAATTTAATACAATGTACACTGTACTGTGTACACTGTACACTGTACACTGTCACTGTACAGTGTACAATGTACATTGTACACTACTGTACAGTGTACAATGTACATTGTACACTGTACTCTGCACACCGTCAACTATACATTACAATATATTAATGCACAGTGTACACGTACGTTGCATTTAATTTGTTAGCTATTTTATGTTCACTGAAATGACTGTTCGCGATAACAGAGAGGAAACATATGATGATCTTTATTTATTAATTTGGTTTTGCCTTTTTATTTAAACATTTCTATGAGGTTAGCCATATATAAACCCTACCCCGTAGGCCTGAAACCCTGGGGTTGATTTTGGCCAACGGCCTTTCAAGGACGGCATGTATTTTGGTAAAGAAATATTAGACAGAAAATAAACTCAATCTGTACGTTTGATTTAATGTTTTGTAAATGGTGAATTCTCTTTGTTTTCATTATTAAACAAAATTATTCTGGAATCTGCATTTTCTTGACGGATATTAATTTCTAACTAAATTATATTAAATATTGAGATTATGAGTAAAGAGTAGAGAGTTTCTTTCAAACTCAGTTTAATTTAGAAAATCATCAATCAATCTTACACCCTCATTACTTCGTTGATTTTAAATCTTTAATAGAATTAGATATGTTTTTGTTCATATTTTGATGATTGTTTTAGCTTTGAGGTTTTTTTGGAAATATTTTGAACTTGTTGTTACTGAAATATTTAGCTTTTCCACCAAACAAATTTGTTTAAACTTTATATTTCCTATAATATTTCCTATACCAGAGTCTACAAAAAATGTGTATTTTTATAATTATACTAAGAACTTTGGCAAACAAACTGTTTTTTAGAAGGCCCGGTCTAAAAGTTGTTGTTTTTTCAGTTAATTTACAGAATGTTAATCCAAATAAAAAATGTTTGCACAAATTTAATCATTGGCCGAGTTGGGACAATGAAAATTTAAAAAATGGACTATATTGTTAAAACTTAAAAGTAGACAAAATTGAAGAAATAAATGTCAGTTAAGAAAATTCTAAGAATTGTCAAAATTGTTAAAAGTGCGAAATTGTTATGAATTGACTAAATATACAGTATTTACAACAAAAATCCAATTATAAAATTTCTAATTTGTTTAAGGTGGTACCCCGGAGCGTGCTGAATTCGAAGCGTCTCTAAACCCAGCTGAAGAGGAGGGGAGGATTATGGACGAGGATGAATGGACAGGGAGCAGATTTAATAAATAGCGAGACATACAGGGTTATCCATAAAACTGTGGAATAGGAAGACGACTATTAAAACTAAAGAATCAGCATTTGTACTTTGTACAGTGTGCAACGGTGCCTGGATACATTACCTTTAAGATGTGTATTTTCAACAAGACATAACTTAACATTAAACACAAATAAAATTGATAAGATGTCCACAGTTTTATGGATCTTCCCGTATTTGAACTATGTAGACTCAGTTGAACCGCTTCACCCAGCGCACAAAAAAAGTGGTTGAACTACATCTACACGGTTCAACTACTTCTCACTATTTATTAAATCTGGTCTCAGATCTAAACTTTGGAAACTCTACAAACTGTGCAAACACTAGCGAGGATAGTGTTATATTTGTTAAGTAAATACATAACCCTGAATCATGTTTTGCAAACCTAATGAAATTCCTGAAATAGCGGTATAACCTATGGCATATTCCCTGAAATGACGAATTTTTACTGTCCAATATCATTTTTATTAATGTAAAATGTTTAATTTTAGTCAGGAATGAATCTTAACGTATTTGTGACATAAAAATATATTTTTTATCAGAAGACCTAAGAAAATGAGTTCATCTAAATTGAACCGATTTATTTTTAAGATGGATTAAGTGCAAGAAAAGTTGATACTTTTCCCAATGGTTCTCTGTAAGTTTCATCTAAAAGTTTGAAAAAGGTTCTTATTTCGTAAATGCATGTTAAATCTTTGAAGTTTTTAAAATCACGAGATAATCAAGCAATCAAGCATGAATATTAAATAATGTGTATTCTGAGGGATTTCTCTGAACTTTTAAAATATTGACTTCTCAATGTTGAATTAAGAAGTAATTTTAAAGTGTAACATGTTTGAATTACAGCGGTTACACTTTATCTAGCCTGCGATTTAAAACTTCGGCTCAAGTCGTAATTTCTTAAACCCGACTTTAAGACTCAATCTTCGACCCAACTCTGACGACAGCTTGTGTCACGTGATTGACAGATGCAAGATCTTTGGCTCGGTTTAAGGAGTGAGGCCCAATGAAAATTAAACCGGCCTTGGTTTTAGTGGAGAATAAGGCTCAATGTTGAGTATTGTTCTCATAAAATCCCGGAATGCGTCAATTCCTACCATGAAAATCCGCAAAATAAAATATTAAACCGGTTTTTTGAACTCTACTCTGTGAATCCGAAAGCTAAAGCCATAAATATTAAATAAGGCCAATGACAGCTTAGACCCGAGCCGTATTTTCCCGAATTTTTTTAATCGCGGGCTCTGGAAACAATGAACATTGAACATGATATTGTGGTCTCGTGAAAATTGTACAGTCTCTGCAGTCTGCACAATATATCCTCCAGTCATTAATTTAGTGAAACTTAATTGAAATAATTATTTTTCATAACATCCCTCATGGTACAAATGTTTCAGGGGTTTATACCGTCACTTGAAATAGGTTAATTCAAGTTTAGATTATGAGTTCTTATTTGATTTTCTAAAAACTAAAAGTTGGAATGGTTACATCTATTAATTTTTAACAACTTTTAACAACTTCAAGTATCTTCAAACTGCTAAGTGTTGAAACGTCAAAGTTTTGCCATTAACTGTCCTAACTTTGAAACTTGAAGTTAAACTTGGTGAATTTAACCTTTCCCATTTAATCCTTTTTCAACTTTATAAATATATTTAAAGTTACACAAAATTAACCAACAATTTTATTTTACTGAACTTAAACTATTTTTTCACATTTTGGGTTTTTTTTAAGAATACACACTAGTCAGAAATTGTATCTTCTTAATGGTTTATCTTTCAGGGAAAAAACATGGTGAGGTGATGTACCAAAGTAAAATGGTATGATTTTACCAATTTTCAAGAAATTTCTGTGTATTTGCAGAATTGAAATCTTGCAATAATCAGTTTAAATTAAAACTAAATAACATCTTTATTTTTAATTTTACCTTTAAGGGACTTAGCACTGTGTACGCACAGTCTCAACTCAATACAGCGTAGCACAAGTAGCACCCACAGACATTTTCAGCTGAATACAAGCGTTTAGATAACTATACACACATATATCTCTGGACACCACGAACACACGAAGGTTTTAAGGGTACCGTTGTTAATTGAGCTTTCCCCTCTTTGCATTGAGAGTCTCTTGAAATTATGCTTGAAGTCCCTTTAAGTGACCGGTGGGCGATGTTGCCCGTTTAATCGTCCATACTTGGTAGAAACGTTTCATCAGAAGGATGTCCTACCTACCTTATGTACACAGAGGGGGGGGGGTAGGGGGCAATGGAAAAGTTTTATTTTTACATGCATAAACAAATTTAGAAACTCTGCTTTAAATGAATATAGATGAAAGATAAGATTGTTAAATCTGTATGGTATTGGCAGAATGGATTAGAGAGACCGTTGACCGCCAACGAGAGCAGAGAGCTGGCGAGGGAATGGCGGGCTAGACAAGGGTTAGTTCGTTTTAAAGGGACTTAACACTAATTTAAGCTACGGCGATTTAAGTAATTTTCTTAATTAAGCAATTACATGTAATCTGTATTTTAAAGACATGCTCAGTGCTCACTTATTTATTTATTTTAAGAAATTTTTTTCTATTTATGTCCAAAATATGTATTTTATGGTTTGTTTAGGGTGACAGGAGTGGAGGAGGTGAATTATACAGACCAGGAATATGAAGATAGTTCAGACTGTGAGGGACTTCCGGTCGAAGTCCCTAAAGTTAATAGATACAGGTTAAATTAAAATTAAAATTGGCAAAAAATAACTTATTTTTACCTTATTTTTAACATAACAGTTACAGTTGAAATACTCGAGCCAAAAAAAACGACGTTATCTTCCACATTTTTTAACAGATTTAGGTTTCAAGGGTACCGTTGTAAATTGGGCTTTGTCATTTTTGCAGAGGGTCAATTACGCTTACAGCCCCTTTCAGACTAAATCTCTTTCAGACGACGAGGTCCGCGACGAGTGACTGCTAGTAGTGAGGAAGGATCAACGGATGATACTGAATCTTTATCTGATAGTTCAGATAGTGCAGACGAGGAGATTAGAGAGATTGAGAGAAGAGATAATAATCCCTTTAACACTATGTCAATACCAAAGGAAAAAAAAACAAATTTATATTTAAGAAAAAAATTGTAAGGGGGCCTGAGGTAATGCTTTTATTAAATTTTAGTCAAACGCATAAATTTTTTATCATTTCAACATTTCAATAATTACATCTTGATAGAATCCTTCATCATTTAAATTGTTAATTCTTAGTTTTAACCGTTCTTGTGAGATCGGTATTTTCCATACATGCTCCAACGGGACAGTAAAATATATCAATTGTTTCTTTACTAACGTTTATTTACAAAGCAATCATTTGCAATAGAATATAATTTTCTGTTGAGAATTGCGTTTTTACATAAATTTGAAAGAAATCAATGCAAAACGTAAAAACTTCAAAATAAGCTAGTTACCGTTGTGTGAATGAAACATGCCACCCGGGTCACTTAAACTTACGTTGACAGTTCCTTTAAATGCCTTTCTGATTTAAATACCCCTCCCTGCTCCCCTACATGCTAACTATGCTGTTGGTTGGAAATATAAGCTTAAGTTTAATTAAATTCAGTTTTATATTATGCGGAAATTTTTGAGCGAAAACAAATGTGAATAATTGCAAAGAATTCGAAATTTTCCGGAAAAAGCGAAACTTTTTGCTTTTTTTCGCTATATAAGTTTGCATATTTTTCGCGCACATTTTCGCATTTGCTGGAAATCTCCGCACATACCGCACATATTTTTTCCAACTCAACTTGCCACCTGGGAAAATCTGTGCCAAATCCTATTTTTCCTAATTTTGCAGTATTGTCTAAATGTTTTAAAGGATGTGTTCGCGAAAGGTCGAAACCCCAATAGGCTCGTTTTTTTAGATCGGATGCAAACGATGATTATTTAATCTTGTAAGCTTTGAATACAGGAAACATACCACACATATTTCTTTCTGCTGGCTCAACCACATGTGAAAATATATGCATACCCCTTTTTATATTTCGCGAACACTCCCTTTAAACCAGTAAATTGATTTGATTTGTAAGGTCGGAAACCCTAAGGCTTGTGTCCGAATTACGAAACTTTATAATTACAAGAAAAGATCTTTATTTTTTAAGAAAATAGCAAAAAAAATGATTTAGTGTAAGATACCAATTCGGTAATGAGGGGGGGGGGGTTCAAAGATCCTGTTTTTGTCGGTCAGTTCACGGTGGATTATTAAAATATTTAATCAAGAATCTAAAAATATATTTGTTTTGACTTCTAGATAATTGTTGAGCCTAACTCCCCACTAGTCAATAGAAAAGATCCACCCTCAAAGGAAAAAGATTTCAACCTGAAAATCAATCAAATTATAAAATGTATTTTTAAAAGAAAAATATTTTTGGATGAGGTTAAAACTTTTGTTGGCGTAAATCCCGATCCTACGGATTAAATTAATTGACGGCCTAGCAGGGAAAACTAATCCTTAAACGAGATCAAGCATTGTAGATTTGTGACATAAAACACAAGTTTTGACCTCATTTAAAAATTTGAGTAAAAAATATTTGATTTATAAGCAAATTGTTCACTAAAATACTAAAATGTGTTTTAAAAAGAAAATTTTTTTGATGAGATCTGAACTTGTTTTGACATTTAATGCTGATGAATAAACAATTAATATTAGATTTGCGAGCAAAGTGGTCACTTAAATGTTTAGCAATTGTTTTGAGTACACAGGTTCAAACAAAACTGAACAAAGAAGTTGAATCTGAATTTTAGTATATTCATCAAGCTGTTCCACTGACAGGACCAACACCACCAGGTTTTAATAAACCCAATATTTTCTATTTAATCTCTACTCCCCTCCAGCTCTCTTTTACCTTAACCTTATTATTTTACTTATTTCTATTATCTCCCTTTCTTTCTCATTTCCTTGTTCTTCCTTCCCTATTTTTCTTCCCTCATTTCCTTTCAGGGGCGGATACAGGATTTGAGTGAGGGGGGGGGGGCAAGATTTTTTAGGAACAAAAAATTAATAATTAGGAACAAAAAATCGGCACGTAAGCGAAAATTTTTTTTGACTTAAAAGACTCAAAAAGAGTCAAAATTAATGACTAAAGACTAAAAAACTAGATTTTTAACTTTTAGGAACAAAATTAATGGATTAGAACAGGAATTTAGGAACAATTAAAAGATTGTTCAGGAATTAGGAACAAAAATAAATGATTAGGACAGGAATTTAGGAACAATTAAAAGATTGTTCAGGAATTAGGAACAAAATTAAAGGATTCGGACAGGGATTTAGGAACAATAAAAAGATTGTTCAGGAATGAGGAACAAAAATATAGGATTAGGACAGGGAGAAAAACACACGTTTTATCAAATATCAACATTTTTTGCCTCAAAATCTCAGGGGGGGGCGAATGTCCCCCGCCCCCCCCCTGTGTCCGCCCCTGGCAGTAATTATATTTTACAATTCAACGGGAAAAATTCATGGCATCTAAAAACAGCTTTGAAACAATAATTAATTTAATATTTTTTGCCTCGAAATCTCAGGGGGGGGCTACGCCCCCTCCCTGAATCTGTCAGGGGGGGGCGGCTGTCCCCCCGCCCCCCCCCTGTGTCCGCCCCTGTTTTCTTTTTCCGTTTTTCTGTCCTCTTCTTCCTTCCTTTTTCCCTCTTTGTTCTTTCCTTTTCTTCCTTCATCTCCCTTCCCTCTTATTCCTTTCCACTTCTCCCTTCCATTGTCTTCCTTCCCTCCTCTTCCTTCCTTTTTCTTTCTTTCTTTTTTCCTTTTCTCCTCTTCTTTCCCTCTTCTCCCTCCCCTATTCTTCCCCCTTTTCTCTTCTTTCTTCCATCTTCCCTCTTCAAGGTTTCTCTTTAAAATATAAATATGATATTTATCTGGAGGGAAAAAATATTGAAATGTGATATTTTTGTATTCCAACCTAATATTTTACTAGAAATTCAAATATTCCATGTTAAATATACATATTAATAAATTTTCTGTTATTTAGAACATCATATGTCAGATATTGAATATATTGAATATTGATAATGTAAATTGAATACGTACATTATTATTGTATACTGATTATTGTATGGAAAAGCTCGGTTTTAAACCTGGGAGGCCCAGCAATATATTTGCTGTTATGTTCTGTAAAGGTATTGCACTGTACAAGCCTAGTCTGATCAGTTTATCTAAATACCAGTACATAAACAATATATTATTTATTATGTACTGTAAAGGTACTGCTCTGTACAAGCCTAGTCTGACCAGTTTATCTAAATATCAGTACATAAAACAATTTATATTATTAATTATGTACTGTAAAGGTACTGCTCTGTACAAGCCTAGTCTGACCAGTTTATCTAAATATCAGTACATAAAACAATATATATTATTAATTATGTACTGTAAAGGTACTGCTCTGTACAAGCTTAGTTTGACCAGTTTATAAATATCAGTAATTAAAACAATATATATTTTTAATTATGTACCGTAAAGGTACTGCTCTGTACAAGCCTAGTCTGACCAGTTATGAAAGAATGTATATTCTTACACGCTCCAAGCATTAAAGAATGGAAATTCTTACACTAGTTAAAGAATATTCATTCTTACTCGCTCCTTATATTGATCTTTTCAGTATAGATCAATATTGATTTTAACTTAATTATTTTGTACTGACAACATGCACAGGGCAAACTCACCTTTTTCTTTTACATTAACACATGCAAACTTGCCTTTTTTAACTTAAAAAAAAACATGCTTACTTACCTTTTTCTTTTACATTAATACATACAAACTTGCCTTTTTTAACTTAAAAACAACATACTCACTTACCTTTTTCTTTTATATTAAAACATGCAAACGTACCTTTTTTACTTTAGTAAAACATGCTCACTTACCTTTTCATGCTCACTTACCTTTTTCGTCTTTTGAAGTATTGATATTCCTTAATTCAGAAATATCAATTTGAATCTCAACCCTAGTTCTGACAGAAGAGTGGAAATTAACATTTTCTGACCATTCCCAAAAATATGGACGATGCCGTTAGCCTTACATTAGACACTTTCATCAAACTGCCGAGTCTCAAAGCATATTGCCCGTCTGCCTTTCTTATTAATTTTTTTAGTTCATCTTCATTTCAAACCAAGTTTGGTAAGATTTTGCAAATCTCTGCATACTTGTAATAGTATGGTCAGAGCTTTTCAGTCTGAGTCACCATATCTTGCATAGTTCGAGATGATGAAGTGAAACCACAATCAAAACCAAAAAAAAGTATAAAAACTTATCATTGAAATATTAGTGTCACTTTTAATGGAGTCTTAGCACTCCAAAGCAATGAAAACAAACCAGTAAATCTTGCTTCATGAATAAAAGACAAAGATCTTCATTAGTTTATGTCGAACTGATTCTTACTAGATAACCTGCTTTTATCTCCTCTTTTTGGAATATTTAGGATCTAATATTCAGAAAATGATTTCTTCTATAAATGAAGACACGATATTGTTCAGTAGATTAAGACAACCCACTACTATACCTTCTCTCATTCTAAAAAAACTCAGGGCACATTTAACATGCTGTATCTAAATGTAGTATCAACTTAAAAAACGAGCAAAATCATTAGAAATTGGTAAACAATCACACCACATGCATTACTTTCAAATTAAGAAACATTTTTTACTTATAGGAGGTTTTTTTAACATTTTAACATTCGTTAAAGAATACATCAAGATTATTTCATCTCGTTCAAGAATTTCCATTATTACATTTTTTCCTCATAAGATTATCATATTATTTCCATCATTATTAAGAAACAAATTAAGTTGGATTTATTAAATATAAAAAATTTCAAAAAAATTTTTTTTTTTGGTTTTTTAAGTTAAAGTTATCATATTTGGCGTTGTCAAATTAGTATGAATTTTTTTACAATACATTGGTTCAGAACTATGATATGGTTTCACGTTTAGCTTTTTTACATTATTAATGTACTGCATGGACTCCTGTACAGAACTACTAATGATGGTGTAGTGGCTTGTTTTGTTTACATTATTAATGTACTGCAGGGACCCCTACTACTAATGGTGTAGTGTCTAGCTTTGTTTACATTATTATTGCGCTGCGGGGACCCCAGTACAGAACTACTAATGGTGTATTGTCTAGCTTTGTTTACATTATTATTGTACTGCAGGGACCCCTAAACTACTAATAGTGTAGTGTCTAGCTTTGTTTACATTATTAATGTACTGCAGGGACCCCTGTACAGAACAATTAATGGTGGAGTGTCTAGATTTGTTTACATTATTAATGTACTGCAGGGACCCCTGTACAGAACTACTTTTAGTGTAGTGTCTAACTTTGTTTACATTATTAATGTACTGCAGGGATCCCTGTACAGAACTACTTTTAGTGTAGTGTCTAGCTTTGTTTACATTATTAATGTACTGCAGGGACCCCTGTACAGAACTACTTTCAGTGTAGTGTCTAGCTTTGTTTACAATATTATTGTACTGCAGGGACCCCTGTAAATAACTACTCATGCAAGAGTGTCTAGCTTTGTTTACATTATTATTGTTCTGCAGGGACCCCTGTGCAGAACTACTAATGGTGGAGTGTCTGGCTTTGTTTACATTATTATTGTACTGCAGGGACCCCTGTGCAGAACTACTAATGGTGTAGTGTCTAGCTTTGTTTACATTATTATTGTACTGCAGGGACCCCTGTGCAGAACTACTAATGGTGTAGTGTCTAGCTTTGTTTACATTATTATTGTACTGCAGGGACCCCTGTGCAGAACTACTAATGGTGTAGTGTCTAGCTTTGTTTACATTATTATTGTACTGCTCGGACCCCTGTACAGAACTTCTAATGGTGTATTGTCTAGCTTTGTTTACAATATTATTGTACTGCAGGGACCCCCTGTACAGAACTACTAATGGTGTAGTGTCTTGCTTTGTTTACAATATTATTGTACTGCAGGGACCCCTGTACAGAACTACTAATAGTGTAGTGTCTAGCTTTGTTTACATTATTATTGTACTGCAGGGACCCTTGTACAGAACTACTAATGGTGTCGTGTCAAATAATCTGAAAAAAAGTTGGGTTTCCGCTCCAACCAACCAAAGTCAGGTGAATAAATGATTAAAAAATTAAATTTAAAGAAGTAACCATTTTTAAAATGCTACATTTTTTTATTAATAAACTTGTGTTTGTCAAGCCGGTTGAGGTTTAAAAAATAAGTTTTTAAATCATTATTAAAAGATTTTTATACATATCTTCCAAACTAAACTAAATCTTCCACTAAACCAAGAAACATTAGTTTAACTAACTTTTTAAATTTTTCCATCACAAGAGTTACGATTTTCTTTTGCTGCTACAATAATGTTTTCTTGGCTTTTACTAACTATATTTTATTATCACACGTATTATAATCAAAACCCTTTTTGACTACGCAAGATTGGTCTCTACGATGAAACATTTTCACAGTGTTCCTTAAGAGCAAAAAAGTTTAACTTGGTATTGCGGAGCAAATTCAACTTGTTCCTGGTACTCAAACAAGTTTCCATCAAATCATATCACTCCACCATGGTGAGATATAGAGGTTTTTTAAGACGCACCCTGTACAACTGGAGACATCTTTTACATGCTTAGTAACTTTTTTTTGATAAAGTTATTCCATTATTTTCTTTTTCCAGATCTTTCTGCATGTATTATTACCTGGTTCAATTTAAATTTCCAAAAGTCTCATTCCAAAACTGAGGTCTGTACATTCAACAACGTTTAGTTACCTTTTTTACTCTCAACAACTTGCACCAAACGGGCACCACGGTCCAAACAAAGCGGGTAAGTACCATTTCAAATTCCTAGATAATGATGGAGGTTTCCATGAACCCCATCATGGCCAGTTTTCTATCAAAACAAATCTCCTTGTCCTGGTGAGATATCGATAATTTTAAGACACCCTGTAAAATGTAAAAATGCAAATTGGTATGGAGTACTGAGATAGAAGATGAAGAAAAACTAAAGAAGGATTAGGATATTAGTTAATGGGAAATATGGAAGGCGTAGATTGTAAAGGATAAAGGATTAGGATTAAGACTGAAGAGTAAAGGATAAATATTTAGAATGCAGATGGAAGAAAGAGGAATAATTGATAATGCATATTGGATAGGGATTAAGATGGAAGCGTAAAGAATAAAGATTTAGGATTAAGATGGAAGAGAAAAGGATAGATAGTTGATACACGATTAAAATTAAGAAGGCAAAGTAAAGGATAGAGATTAAAGGATTGGGGTGAAGATGGAAGAATAAAGGATTAAGATTAGATGGATAAGTCAAATACGAGTTTTTTAACTAGAAATTTGACCCATTTGAGTCAAATTGTCATAAAGTTCCAAACTTCAAAATTTACAGGATGTATCTCTTGAAACCATTAAAATCTCATCAGGGCTAGCAGATATGATTTGATGGAAACTTTTTCATGATGGCGTTAAGGAAAGCAAATGCTATCCTCTGTAAAAATTCAAATGATATTTGCCTTCCTCGTTTAGCTCTTTGCGGCCGCTTGGTGTAAGTTTGCCGAGTTTCTCAAATTATAAATAATGAGTAAAATAGGTAGCTAAACGTTCTTTTATGTACAGACTTGAGTTTTGAAAGAGCACTCATGAAAATTTATATTGAATTAGATAATACATTGAGAACGGTCCGGGAAAAGAAAATAATGGAATAACTTTAAAAGAAAAAAGTTACTAAGCATGTAAAAGGTGTCTCCAATTGTAAAATATCTCACCATGGTGGAGTGTTATGATTTGACGAAAACTTGTTTCCAATCACCCTCATGCATGAGTACCAGGAACAAGTTGAGTTTGCTCCGCAATACCAAATTAAAATGTTTTGCTTTTAAGGAACACTGAGTTTTGTATTTAATGGGTAAAAATGTTGCAGAATTAGCAATTCGAATTTCTCTGGGCATAATGTTTTTTCCCGGAATTTTTATGAAACATTTTAAACAGAGATAAAGAAGAGTTTAGCAATTTACCAATCCTTGTGTAATGCTATTCGGTGAGTTTTACTTATATTTCTTTCATAAACTGCAGTAAATTCTTTGCTTGTCTGTCTGTCTGTTTGTAACTGATAAACGTCAAAATGGCTGAACCAACCAGGCTCAAATTTTTTTTGGGACCTCACATGACTCAAGGGAAGGATTATGGATGATCAGAATTGCAAATATTTGCCTCCAAAAATTTAGATTTTTATAAAGTTTTAAATAGAACAATAAATACGGCAATTGGGCAGTGTGAACAGACCTGTTGATCTTAATTAATAATCCAAATATAAAATACACACAAGTATTCCCAAAATGTTGTCTCCCTCTTCTACAGCCTTTTGGTCATCATTGTATAATACTAATGTTGTTTTTCTATTTAGACTCAGAGAAAGGTTGATCAATCTGAGATAGATGCTAGGCTCAAATCTCTCATGGATAGATTATCCAATCAACAGGTAGATTGATCTTTGTCTCATGATTATGGGCCTGATCCTCATTCTTATCTTTTTATCCCTCGATTTAAATAAATCGCTAAAATAGAGCTAATCTTAAGCTGGTCTTGGTTTTGGTCTGAATATGAATTTCTTCCAATCCAATCTTGATTTTCATTATTCACATGTTTTGAATTGTAGACAGTTTTAATAAGTATTTAAATCATGTAAAAGATTTAGGCCTTATGTTTTATGAAACTCTTCTTCAGAATTATTCATTGTTAACCCTATTCCCGCTGGGGGGGGGGGGTCAATTTGACCCCCCCCCTGTAGTTTTTTTTACATAACTCAAAAAGTATTGGTCTGAGGCTGTTGAAATTTTCTGACTTTTCCTACATACCCAAAGCCCTCCCTTTAGGCCTAAAACCGGGCTTTAATACTAACTGCCTGAGTCCTCAGGCACACTGCCTGAATGACTGCTTTTTCCTGTAACAAACTAAATCTTTGTTTTGACCCCTTTTCACTTGTCAGATTTTGATAAAATTTAGCTTTTTGGAAAGCCTACGACATAAGAAAACGGATTGCACGAATTTTGCGAAAAAAATTGCTAATTTTTTGCAAACAACCTGTCAAAGGAAATTTGCACTTTTTTAGTTTTTCTTGATTAAAAATCAGGTTATTTAAAATTTTGCAAAATTTTTTGCATATTTGAAATGGCATGGTTAAGGGCTTTTCAAAAATGTATAATTTTTCATTTTTCGAACAATTTTTGTTTGCAAACATTTTTACTTTATAACTGGATTTTGCGATAAAATATTCAATTTTTGCAAATTTGCAATTTTTTTTGCAGATTCTATAAGTAGAGCACAAGAGCTTTCCAATGATGTATCATTTGTCATATTTGGACATCAAACATGGGATTTAGAGGGGGGGGTCAAATTGACCCCCCCCCCCCAGCATATCCTGGTTTTCAAGTACCCCAGCAGGGATAGGGTTAACTTGCTATTATCATCATGGAGATGTAGAAAATACCAAAACTCCTCCTTAGTCTTTATCAGTCTAAATGCGCTGTTTAAATCTATCACAAACTCTGTCCTCTTTACCTATATTAAGATATAAAATAATAATAAATAATTCGAGCCAAACTTACATTTCTTTGGTTTATCTAATCGTGTGATTCCATCCTGTACTGTTAACCAATAACTGTCTCAGTTCCTGTACTTTTCCTTGTACTTCTGATAACTTAGGGGTTCTCCCTTCCATAACCCACTTAATCACTTCTTTCCAAACTTCATCAGCATCTTGTAACGTTCTTGACTTGTTTCCCTCTAGAATTTCAGGCTTCGTTTCAGGGCTCATACTATGCACTGTTGTTGGATATCCTGCAAACTTCCACCTTTCTTCAGTTCCCCTACTTAATTATCAATCTGATTCTCTGCATTCCCTTCTGGAGTAGGATCATCTAAATGAATAGCCCTGGATAATGCATATGCAATTATCACAATAAACTGGAACTGAGCTAAATCTGTATACCAGTGCTAACAGATCGTTTCTTCAGATTTGAGATTTACTTTAAACTTCAAACAAGCATCTTTATAAACTAAAAAGGGGGGCCGGTACCTCAGAATATGTTCCCACTTTTTAATTCATGTTAAAAACGACTTTACTAGTGGCGACCATACAAATTCAGAAATTTGCAATATTCGACTCGGATCGTAAAAAAATCAATTTAATTCCAAACAAATCATTCAGATGTTACAACCTATAATCATTGATTTGTAATTAATATTTCGCTTATAACTTGTTTTCACGGCTGGAGCTGGATTTTCGAACATGCCTGGAAAATATCAAAATGTCGTCTTCATTATCAAAAATCCTCGAAACATGAATAAATTTTTTCAAAAGTAACTACCAGATCATAAAAAATCAAAATATTATGAAATATCAATAATTTACGAATTCGTCGAAAAAATATAGATGATTATAAGTTGTGATTTCTGAAATATTTGTTTGGAATTAAATAGATTTTTTTACGATCCGAGTCGAATATTGCAACTTTCTGAATTTGTGTGGACGCTACGTTCTTCAGTATGAGTCGTTTATAACAATTTTCTCCTTATAAACGCAACAGATAGAAGTAAGATTAGTAGCAATCACCATCGACTAATTTTTCGACGTAAGCCTATACTCCCTTTCGTGAACACTCCCTTTAAACTTCAAGTTTCTTTGTCCAATTTTAATGTAAATTAGTTCAGGGGAGTTATGATCGGGCATATTAGCAGATAAACAAACAGAGATTACTACTTTATATTTCATATCTGCACTGGTTAGGATGAATAGATAATGAAGAATATATTTTAGTCTCTGTTGAAACCTGCTGATAAACCAAGCAAAGAGATGCAGCATTATCTGGACAATGCTCCCAGCACCCATAGGTAACATCATCATTTACTTTTCCACAGATTTTACTTTAATTTTGTATACTTCTTTAAGCAGCCAAAACTTCACAATTTTACTTTAAATATTATCAAACATTTGAATTAGATTGATGTTTATTTATTCTGTTGTTTATTGATTTTCATTTCATTTTGCAAATACAAATATGAATTTTTAATTATAAACAAATAACATGATCTAAACATCAAACCATATATAAAATATATGCATTTTTAGAAATAATCATCTAATAATTTATATTTATTACTGCAGCAGATACCAATGAACATTGCTCGCTTTCTCTTTGAGAATTTTAACTTTTTTATTAAGAAAATTATCCGATTCTACTCCATATATTCCTTACAAGCCTGCAACAATAATAACCTCACCTGCAGCCCCTGTTATAACAAACATAGTAGATACTGATAAGCAGGTACCAATCTTTAGAAATTCATTTTAAAACTACAAGTATTTTATGTGTTTTATGGAGAATTTTTGCAAATAATATAAATTCTTTTAACAAGTAGACTGTAGTTGTAGTGTATATGTTAGAATGTTTTCTTCAATTTTTATCCTTCTAAGGTCATGCACATTGTACATATACAATGCAATGCCCCATGTATTTAATAATTTCACTCCATCCAATAAATTTAACATAAAATTGCTATTGTTTTGCAAATTTATATATTTGCTGTATTTTTAAAGCAATAGTTATATTAGTAAAACTAAGAAGTTATAAGTCCTTGTAGTGTATGGTGTACAATGTAGTGTATGGTGTACAATGTACTGTATGGTGTACAATGTAGTGTATATTGTACAATGTACTGTATGGTGTACAATGTAGTGTATGGTGTACAATGTAGTGTATGGTGTACAATGTAGTGTATGGTGTACAATGTAGTGTATGGTGTACAATGTAGTGTATATTGTACAATGTAGAAGTTATTGTTCTAAAATCCTATTATTGCAAGGTAGTGCAACATTTCTCGGGGCAGAGAAAACTTTAATTTTTGTCCCATATTGATTTCTGTATCAAGAACTTATGAAAGTGCAATAATAACCGCACAAGGAAAACGATTTTTTATTTTAAATAGTTTCTGATTTTGAGAATGTTTCGTAAATAAAACTTTAACTAGTAGTTCTTAAGAAAACTTTTTTTTGTTCTTTGATTTGTTTTTAACCAAAATTTATTTCATTCCTGACTTTCTTACAATTTTATTTCCTAACAAATGCACAAATATAAAGAAATCTTATCACATGAGACTTAAATTTGTTTAAATGAGGGGCAATATACTTGTTGGGTCAAATAATTGATTTTAAAAGAATTTAAGAATTTAAAAAAAAAAGCTTCAAAAGTTTAAAACATAAGTGAAAGAATACTTGTCATATTTCCCTAGAAAGACAATAATAACTTTTCAAAATGTATTTGTCATTAATAAAATCAAATCTTTCAAAATTTATAAATGTATTCTTCTTCTTTTCCTTTTATAAACAGTTAAAAATACATTTTAAATTTACTTCATTTTGAATATTTTTGTGGTTAAATTTTGTAAGAATATTTTAAAACTAATTTAAGTGAGTAACTAAAATTTGAGAAGGGTTAAGTGAATATGATATTATTTATTGATAGCAAGGATATTTCATAGATAGATTATTTCATAAGTGAAAATCCGCGAATTATTTTTGTTTAGTTTTACGATGTACACAAAGAGAACATGTTCACAACTAATTTAGAAGATGGGCGCGAAGCGCCCTCTAAGGCTAGAAAGAAGGGCGCGAAGCGCCTTGAATTTCTAGTATTTTAAAAATGACATAAACTCCGAACATGAAAAACCCCGGACATAAAACAGATAATAAAGAAAGACAAATAGGTCATAAACATTATAACAGACATAACTTTTCTTTAGGAATCCGGGAATAGCACGGGAGATACTGTACACGAGGAACCGGTTCTTGAAAGTGCTCCCAGTGACGAGTTGGATGAGAACCTTCTTGACAGGAACATCATTTTACAGCTCTTGTTCAGAAATTACAATTTTTATTCAATAGGGGATAAAATATTTAAATCAAAAAACATAGTAAATCTAAATTTATCTTTATTTATAAATATATAATATCTGTTTGTCTGTTAGTTTGTTTGTCCGATCATTACGCGGAAACCCCTGGACCGATTTGCCTCAAATTTTGATTGGGGAACCCTCGGGAGACTCACAGGTTTTGAGATTCTAAGTTGAGTGGGTCGACTTTAATATTTCCCGGTAAATCGTTTAAGTGCGGGTAAACGGCGGGAGTATCTTTTGGGGAAAGTTCCTAAGCTAGTTATTAATACAATCACTGACTGTTAAGTTGGTCTGTTTTTTTCCATCATAACACGAACCATAAAAAGAATTTTCTTACCTTGGTTAAGAAAAAAGTTTGGGTTGACCCTTACAGGGAAACCTTATTTCCCGTGCAAGGATGGGTGCCCAAGATAGGTTTTTATAAGTTCAAGTTTTAAAACTTAGTCTCGCAATAAAAAATATCATGTTATTGATGATGAATTTAGTTCCAGTGAAAGCACAGAAACAGATTCAGACTCAGATACAGATACTTCACAGGCTAGTGACATAGAGGTATATTTTTAAACAGTATTCCCTACTCCTTGAATACCATGTTACTATCTTCTGATCATTTTAGATTGAGAAAAAATATGACGAAGTTCCTGAGATAACGATAAATCTAGTTGATGGGGATACTGATTCCAATGTTACTCCCCAACCTGCCACTCCCCAGCCAATCACCTCCCAGCCTTCCACTCCCCAACCTGATACTCCCCAGCCTACCACTCCCCAACCACTCACAAATGTGGAAGCCACAATAAGTGAAGAGTCCAAAACTGAAAATCCCGATCTTTGTGAGGAGGAATTGGGTGACAAATCCGTAGATAAAGATGCACAGCCCAGCTCCTCCCAACCTAACCCTGCCAACGTAGATGAGATAAGAGCCCCTGGATCCACTAGCGAAGTTCCAACGGAAGATTGTGATACAGCTCCCTGTGATACACAACCTGAAGAACCCTCTCCAGATACTCATGAGAACAGAACTCTCGGTGAAGTGGAAGACCGGAATCAAAATGACTCTAAACCTGAAATAACTCAAGATCGCACTCGCATTCCACCGATTCGTCGTCCAAGTCTGCTTAAAACTGTCGTGTCGATCAAGAATTCCGAGCCGGTGACAGTTGTTAACTACGAAATGGTCGATACTTTCGACAGTATTGATTTTATCGACGATGGATCGAGCTGCGGTGAGAGTCCAGATAAGAATAAACAGTTTGTCGTTGATACTGAGAAGTATGAGGATGCTGAGATCAATGCTCTTGATGAAACAACTGAAATTTCAGGTAAATATACTCTTTAAGGAAAACCTCTTTTAGCAGGTTTTTAAATTTATCTCCATAATTAAAAAAACATGGGAAAACATTCAAAGCTATGTTTAGGCTGTAAATCTGATATCTAATAAAATAAAAATGTAGGCTGTTAACAACAATATTTTTCATTTCTAGAATCGATATCTGAAAATAGAAATGGTGGTGAAGAAACTCAACATAGCGCCAAAGAAACCCAAAATGGCGGCGAAGAAACTCAAAATGGCGCCAAAGAAATTCATAATGGCGGAGAAGAAAATAAAAATGGCGGCTTTCTAATAGTTTGTCATCACGCTGATCCTTTGCTTGATGGAGAGAATGAGACTAGTACTGATCCTGCAGCGAATCCTGTTCTTTCTTCAAAGACCGAAGGTAGCGTTTTTTTACTTTACCAGTTTTGTTCCCCTCATTTTTTTTTAAAACTATTTTCTATAATTTTACCGAACAATATTTTTAAATAATTTAAACTTTCTTTTCTTTTCATAATTTTTACATTTTTTAATCTGAGATCATTTTTAAAGAGAAATTTTCAAAATGAAGAAAGTTACTATGTGGTTAATATGCATGTATGACGTATGTAATCTTAAAAGTATTATATCTAGTTTAATTATTTCCAAACCCTTTGGAAAATCCCAGCATTTTTGATTTAATTTGATTTCGGAAAAGTTTTCGATTGAAAGAGTGAAGACCTGTTGTGCAATTAGAAATGAGAAGAAATGCAAAATGTCTGCTAACTTTTAATTTAAATGGTTGTATTTTATCTAGATTGATTAATCCCAAGAAATTCAATCATTAGTTTATATAAATAAAGTGAATTTTACTGCAATTAAAATGATGGTTTCCAACGCAAGTGTATTTTACTTGCGTGTAATTGCGGGCCCTCTAATTTCCGCGCAATTCCGCACAATTCTGCGCAATACAAGAACAGTTGCGCGTTATTCCGCAAAAAGGCATTCCGATTGGAAACGCTAATTAAAATTCACTTTATTTCAGATTTGCTTTTACTGGCTACTTTAATAAAGAGAGTTTATCTAAAGTCTAATGTTTTTTTCTCGAAACTCGCCAATACCCTTTTAGAAAAATAAAACCATTCCAAAATTCTAAGTATCTTGTATTTAAACCCCACATAATGTATTTAAGTTTTGAATTCTGGTCACTTGACTACAAATACTTAATTAATGGTCAATCCAGTTTCAGCAAAAACAACAAAAAAGCAAAAAGAAATTGATGACTCACCACAAACTTAAATTAATATTCTCTATGTCTATCCTGAGGATGTAAACCTTTGATTTTTATTAGAAAACTATAATTTGCTGCGAATGTTGACTGTCTATACCAATATTTATTAGACTAGTTAAAACATACAACAAAATCCAGATCCACCACCTTTAGACTAAGAAAAAGGGCTAACCTTATTAATAATTATAGATCAACAAACCGAACCCGCCGACCTCCATCAAGATGAAATCATTGAACCTCAAGATTCAACCTCAACTCCAACCTCTGCTCCTCCAGAGGCTGATTCTGAGGTTTGGGATATCCTCAAATCTAAGGTATTGTTTATTTTATGCTTAAATAAATTTGTTAATTGGATGCAAGAGAATTTAAGATAACAAAAGATAGAAGAGTAAATATGGTTTAATGTAATAAATAGAAGAGTAAATGTAGTTCACTGGAATAAATAGAAAAGTAAATGTTGTATACTTGAATAAATAGAAAAGTAAATGTGGTTTAATGATTATAATAATAGAAGAGTAAATGTTGTATGCTTGAATAAATAGATGAGTAATGTAGTTTAATGTAATAATAGAAGAGTAAATGTGATTTAATGGAATAAATGAAAGAGTAAATGTTATACTGGAATAAATAGATGCGTAAATTTGGTTTAATGGAATAAATGAAAAAGTAAATGTTGTTAAATGGAATAAATGGATGAGTAAATTTGGTTTAATGGAATAAATTGAAAAGTAAATGCTATTAAATAGAATGAATGGAAAAGTTAATGTAGTTAAATGGAAAAGTAAATGTGGTTAATTCTAGTTAAAGGAAAAGTAAATGAATAAAAAGAATAAAGAGACTAAAATATGAGTGACAGAAATAAAGTTTATTGGATTAAAAAGCGAATTTATAATTCAGGAAATCTAATTTAAAAGTCCTTATTGCACTTATTTGACCAAAATATTGTTATATTGTGGACATTTACATCAATTTCTCTCAAATTGTGTCTGAGGCTTTCAACGGATTATCCTGATAGATTCTGAATGAGTCAATGGAAATATAAATATTTTTCAGTTTTGGATTTAGTCAATTTTCCGGGTTATTTTCTGAATAAGATTTTTTGCAATGTTGATCAGTAGTCTGATAACTTTTTTATTTTCGTATTTGGCATTTTACAATTTTATTCATTCTATATTAATTTTTTTATTTTTTCATAGTACATTATCCTTACTTCTTCGTTATTTACTCAAAAAAATTTTCTTTTCATAAAGTTGCATAAGCTGAATTTTAAAATTAAAGAACTAGGACTTTAGCCTCGTGCCCCCTTACCAATTAAGAAGTCTAACTTTTTACTAATGCCCTGAAAGTCGTCATTTTGAATCGTTCTCCAATTTTCGCGGATTTCTCTGTTTAAATTAGTGCATTTTCAAAAATAAGAAAAATTTGACATCAATTACATATTACAATTGACATAATCGTCTCTGGTGTCTTGCGAGTTGCCAAAAAAAAATGTGAGTCGGATCAGTTCAGTCTAACCGTGTTGACGTTTATTGAAGACAAACAAAATTTATAAAAAAAACTTTGACTTTTTAAACTTTCATCTGAGGCTTGTTCCTTTTTATTTTCTTAAATTTTTTATTTAGATTTTTCTTTTCCCCAGAGCGTGGGTGAGTGAGTCGGAATATATAAAACGCTGATTAGTAGGGCTTTGCTGTATTTGAATATTTTTTAATCTCCAAATATTCATATTTATTTCTGTTTTCTTATTCTATATTTATATTATCCAAGATAATGAAAGCTTTTGATGACAAATCCGTCAAATTGTACCAATTTGTATGGTTTTTTAAGAATAAAGCCTGTCCCCTTAAAAAAAGGAAATTACCCCAATATGAAAAGTGTTTTTTTGCATTCATTATTTTTTATCTCTCTTCCAGATGCTAATTTTCAAATCTTAAATTTCTTCTAATCTCTGCTATTTCTAAATTTTAATATTTGATCAAATTATCTGAGTTTGACGCGAGTTTTCGAAGATTTGGGGAAGAAAACTTTAACACCATTTGGCAAGCATTTTCCCAATTTTATTTCCCTTAATCAGGGAAAAAGGAACAAAATTCTGTATATCCTAGCGGGGCACTATCAGAGCGAGATGAACGTTAAACGTATTTCTCTAGAGTAATCCTTTTTCTGTTGCTAGAACTCATCAGAGAAGAAGGCCCGGTTAAACATTTACCAGCAGAAGCAGAGTAATATCGTGCACAACCTAATTATGGGAATGCCGCGTCAACGTAGAGTTCGGCAACCACGTGCACTTGCTCCGACGTCTTCCATCAAACCTCCTCCTTCCGACCAGGTTAGGACATCTTCAACATTTACTTTAATAAATAGCTAGATAATTAAAAACGACCCTCACAACTGTGGAATAGGAAGACGACGGTTAGATCAAGCTATGATTTTAAATAAAGTCTATAAAAAGACCCATTTCATCTATAATAAGTTGATCTACAAAGAGGAGGACGACTGTCTGTCTAAAATAATAGGAACACTTACATGTGCACTGTGCAGAGTACTGACTCATTTAATCCAAGTTGATTTACTAATTAAAAGTTTATACTTATTTGCTTTCTAACTACACCTAATACTACTAGATTCTTTAAATGTCGTTTTCATTTCCTAAAGTTCCATGGGTCGCTCTGTATGCTCAATTAATTCTTCTTCTAATAAACTTTATTAGAATTATCTTAAAAACGAACAAAATATCCAAAATATATCTTACTGAATGATAATATTTAAAAATATATGATAACATATGCTCAATTAATAACCTCACTTCATGGATCATGGGACTGTCAGTGTCAACTTGATTTTTATTAACCCTCTATTTAAAGAGATTCATGTCTTATTCACAATACCCTTTAAACTTTTATCTGATTAAATGTGGAGGATATCGTGGGGTTTTTTTTGCTTAGTGCTTAATTTTGATAATTTACTTCATTGTTTCTGTAGCATAATCTAAATTAAGGGGAAAAAATAATTTTATATGAAGGGTCTCTTGGAATTACGTCGACAGTACTACTCAAGTTTTATTCTGAAATTTCAAATTGTAATTTAATAAAGATTTTCCTTAAAATATGAAACTATGGAATAAAAGTTGTATTCTGAAATTTCAAAAAGTAATTTAATACAAGTTTTTTATATTTAAATGTAGTACCTGGGTTTCTAGATTTGTATCTATAATTTTACTGTAGTTTCTGTGTTTCCAGATTTTGAACTAAATACATTTCTTGAATTTCTAGATGTGTGTATCATAGTTTCAATATTTTTTAAGGGTTAAACTTTTTTTTCTTAAATTACATTGCTGAGCCTCATATTTTTAAGTCTGATTATATTTCTAGATTTGTATTTTTAATATATATATATATATATTTATAGATTTTTATTTTTATTCTAGATATATTTCTGGATTTGCAATTTTAATCTATATTTAGTTCCACATTTGTATCTTATATCTACAACCTAGATTGAAGGTTTGGCAGCGATTATTATTATTATTGTTATACATATTTCTAGATTTGTATTACTTTTTTATATCTATATATATTTCTAGATTGTTGCAGAATCTAGCCCTAGATCACCTGTATCCGATACAGATGAAAGCCTTAGTGTATCTTTTAATCCATCAGCATATAAGGAATAACAAACAAATATAAAACATTATTTTTTTCGGGTTTATTTTATTAAAAATTCTCCTCATCCCCCTTATGTTTTTAACCATTTCAACACAATGTTGTACATAACAAATTTAAAAATGTATCTCTGGTTTTTAATTCCCCCCCCCCCTTTTTTCGAGACTTTGATAAGTTAATCGTATCAAGATTCATATTGATTTTCATCGGCAAGTGTCTTAAATTACTTTTAATGTCTAACATTGCGTTAAAATGGTTAAAACAATTATAAATTTTGATATTAAGGGTTTTGTGCTCCTAATAATCCTGTGTTGCGTAAGAAACATTTTAATGGATAAAAGGGATTAGTTTTGATCCTCTGGCTTAGCCCTTCTACGTTAGATCTTATTATAAATTATATTATTTACTTTAAATGTGCTTCAATACAATATTTTAGAAATAAGTTAGTCGAGACAGATCTAACATTTATAAGCAATATATTTGCAGGCAACAATCTATTATGCAGGAGAACATGATGATCCGATGCAGGTTGGAGAACTACTGGATTTACACCAGCATATATCTTTTCCCATATTTTCTCCTTTTCCTTCGAGGATTACTAGTTCGGATTTTTGAAAATAGATCCTCTTTAATATAATATAACAACATTTAGAATCCTAGGTGAAAACTTAAGTGTTGCTAGGAAACAAGATAGATTTCGTGAAAAAAGTACATTTTTTATCCTCATTCATGTTTGTCGATTCAGAGTGGGGATTTCCCGCGAAATATTCGTGAAAGTTCTTTGCCGCGTTCAATTAGAGACTCATCACCCAGGTACAAAATTAAAAGACGACCTGCTGTCCATTTTGAGCCTGAACAAATTAAAGAATGTTTAAAAATTCGTAATTGTTGTTCTCAATTTTTACTACGTAAATGTAATATTAGATAAAAAAATTTAATTTAAAAAGTTTTTATAAAATGTCGAGATTTTAACGTCAAATCATTGTATTATTTTTTGAGATATTTACATCAATAAGTATACAGATTCTTTTATATTTTAGAATTACTGCTGCTGTCTCCCTGCCTCCGACTCCGATCACGAATCCTGAAAAGTTTGGAATCAGAAAACAAGATGGACGACAGGAAACACATTCTCCAGACATAATTTTCATTTATTAATTAATTCTATATGAAGACTGTTTGAAGAGCTGATGAGTAGTTTAATAATTAATATTCTCTAGAGTATAGGGGGCTGGGCCCTGGAAACCTCATTTACTCTCCGTAGAGACTGACGGCGTAATTTAAATTACCCTTAATTTAACTTGCCCAATTCGTTAAAATATACTTGAAATCTTATCCTGATCCAGAATGTGGAAGATAACGTCCGTTTATGCTTTTTCAAAATGCTGATATCCAACGCTTTAAGTGAGAAAAAAATTACTACTGTGTTTTTTTGCGAAATTTTCGGGTTTTTTCGCGAAATTTTCGAGTTTCTTATTGAGTAAAAAGTTCGCATTTTTTGCGAAACAGGTTAAACCGAAATTTTGTGAAAAAAAAGAAGAAAATTTTCCCATCTTTTGCGAGCGAATTAAATTTTTGCTGGAAACCCTACACCCAACCAGTGGAAAACATCTAAAGCATTTCTCAGTTATTTATTATTAGGTTAAGTATCCATTTTTAAAGCCTCCGTGATATATTAGATATTTAAATTCGGATAAAATATTAAATATTCCATTTTTTTCAATCCAAAATTTTGAAATTATGAAACTGCTTTGAATATAATGTTGAGTCTCTTTTGAATATGATTGTCCAATTTACTGTATGTCCCAATAAACATGAAAGAGAGAGACGACATAAATTAATTGCTTCAAACCAAGATTGTGCGTCTAATGGACTTAACAACCTTCTTTGCATTAAAATACATCTCATTCAACAAACTAAATTATAAATGGAAAAGGCTTAGTTATCTTCCGTCAATTTTAAAATACCAATATGGCAAGACGAGACAAATCCCTATCGATGGTAATCTAACAGAAATATTCTTCAATTGTATTCATGATAAAATACCCTCATAGACCTCATTACCATGTTTTTGGGACACCCTATACATTGTAGAGTCAACAAACCTGAACATTGGTTACATATAATTTACATAAATTAATTTAGAATGGAATATGATTATGATAATCTAATAGTTACCACAACTATTGACTTGTGAGTTTTTTTTTAATCTGAAGTATTTTATCAATCCAGAGAAATAAGAATATCTCCCTCATTATGCTTTCAAGAGTACCTTTTGAATTAGGCAGGTATCTCTTAAAATGAGTCATCTCAAATTTCATCAAAAGTCACAAAATGTACAAGACATCGTTTTTTAGTTGATAAGGTGTTCATATCTTGTAAATCATGAATATCATTCATTCTTGACCAGACAATGTTTTTAATGGTACCGTTGTGAATCAGACATGCCCCCTGGTAAATGTTGTGCCCCGCAGGTTGGTGAAGGACTAACAAGCCCGACTAGATCCAGTAGTTCCCAATATCTTATCAGGAGAGGGATATCCGGAGACCTGATAAGTCCTTCAGGATCCCATACATCAGATACAGGTAGGATATGCAGACTTTGTATCTAAGGGTTGTCGTCATTATTGGATAAAAAATGGAAAATTTACAATAGGTTTGTCGACAGCATGTCATAATATAATGTACTCTTAGTAGTGAAGAGTGTTGGGTTGTCTACTTTCCGTTAGGATTTCTTTATCTTTATAGTATGTCGTCCCTATTTTAAAGAATCTCTTCTAAAATAATGTCGTCTTTAAAGTTTTAACCTTGGATTTGTCCGATCATAACTCGAGAACCCCTGTCTCCAATTTTTATCGGGGAACTCAGAAGGATCACGGGATTGTTATTAGTTTGGTTTTGAGAATTTAAAGTAAGTGGTTCCATACGCATATGTGTTCCTTAAAAAAAATCAGATGTCCAGGAAGCCATTAACAGCTACATGTAAAAATCGAAACGTTGCTGAAACATCCCTTGTTACACTGTAAGAGTGTACTTACCAAAAAAACAGTTTTCAAATTAGACATTTTCGCGTTGAACTGCTACCTGAGCTATGAACTATCTACCTATTTAACCTTATCAATGAGCGCTTAGATATTAACTTTCTACCTGATCGACCCCCATCCATAAACTATCTATCTGATGCCTCTAGCTATAAACTGCTTCCTGATTGACCCCCTAGCTATAAACTGCTTCCTGATTGACCCCCAAGCTATAAACTGCTTCCTGATTGACCCCTTGATACGAATTAGTTTCTGATTTACCTCCTAGTTATGAACTTTAAAAACAAGATTAAACCACTAGCCATAAACTTTCTACTTGATGGACCCCGTAGCTATGAAATGCTAGCTAAGAGACTTTCCAGTTATGAGCTGATACCTGATTGACCCTCTAACTGAACTATCTACCTGATTGACCCCATGATATGAATTGATTCCTGGTTGACCCCCCTTGCTATGAACTGATACCTGATTGACCTCCTAGTTACAAACTATCTACTTGATTGACCCCCAAGCTCAGATCTATCTAGCTGATAGACCCTTTTCTATTCACCTGATTGACCCCCTGATTGTTGAAAAATAAAATTTATCTAGATAATCTTGACGGATTAGTTTCATCTGCTGCCTCAAGTCTAGGAAACTCGCCAAAGAAAGCTGGAGCTAATTCTAACAGTAACACACCGAAGAAAGGTGAATAGAAACTCAACGTTTCATCCAAACCATATTATTAAAATGCCATGATTGTCCGTAGATCAGATGTAAGATTTTAAACTTTTTGTTGAAACCTATTACAATGTTTTTTATCCTGTTTTTTAGTCAATTGAAGCCTATTGCAATTAACGTTATCATGTTATGTTTCAATAAATTATTGAATGGTTATTTCCGTTTGTTAGTAGAATTTTCGCTGATTTTTTAGAACTTCTGTTTCTGGACGGAGCTTTGTCTAACGTTGGGTGTTTTAGCTAGTACTCAAAGGGTTCTCCTCTCACTATCGGAATTTTGAGTTAAATTTAGGAACTATGGGGTCTTTAATGGAACTTTGCCCCATCCTATATTTTCGATTTTCTAATATTGATATTTTATTTTTAATTAATCAGGTCGAGGGTTTATGGCGGCCATGACGAATATATTCCGAGGATCCTCTAGTCCTCAACCTTGTCCTCAGAAAGCAGGAGGTCATCAGCCCCCACTTGCAGGACAAGAGGAGGACGAGGATGAGGTTTTGTCCAGATCTGTTTCTGTTCAGGTTATTTAATACTCATTGAAACAATACAATAAACAACTTCTCTGAATGATTATCGTTCGTTGATTTGTTCAGAAGAGGGGTGTGGGGGGGGGAGTGTAATTTTAACCCCCCCTTCAGCCACTGCATCTTGTGGTCGATTGATCAAAGTATCTATTTTTTTTTGACAAATTCTTAGTCAAGTAGAAAACGTTTGGTCAACATTTGCATATTATCTGAATTGCAACAGTAAAAGTTTTTTTGAAACTAAAATTAATAAACTAAATAAAGATTTTTAAGAGTGAGAGGTAATTATCAAAATTGTACATCGTCAAATAAAAGTTTTTTTCCTCGTTTTAATACTAAAACATTTTTACACATGGTTGGGTTGGGATTTTATCATTGAAATACGTACAGGGCCTCAAAAGATGAGACTAAACCAGTAAGAATTGTCTGTATTATTTGTAATTAAAGAAGGACTTTACATAACCCCTTGCAAAGCTATTATTTCATAATCGGCCTTGTTAAGTTTTTAATGGTTTTTAATCTCCATAGTATAACAATCTTTTTGTAAATATTATATTTTAGACCGTCGTCTCATCCTTTGTTGTAAACCCTGTCAAAGTAAAAATAAATTTCAAATTAAATAAACTATTGTAGAAAAGTAAACCTGGTGTTACCTCTGTACTGCTGGGGGCTACTAATGAATCCAATCCATCTCTAGACAGTTTTACGGAGCAGGTCTTTTCATTTCTAAAACCTCAGTTATATTTTACATCTTTACAATGAGAAATATATCATAGTTTCGAATTATGTTAATTTCCATCTTTGTCTATGTTGCGTGTAAAATTGACTGGAAATTCAAATGTAAAATAAATTGATCGTGATGTAAATCCTGAAATTGGGAAGAAATTGAAACTCTAACCTGAAAGAAGGATGCCTTAAGCAATCCTTGTAAAATATGTTGATATAATTTTGCTGCATAAATCTGAGTGATATTTTTGAAAAATTATCAGTTTTCAAATTGTATTACAAGAATATCTTGTTAATCATTGTGAATTGTAAATACAACTATTTGATGGATTTTGGGGTCACTTCAATTACCTAGTGCATTTTGATATGTTTCCGTGAAATGTATATGCCTACTCACTGTATAGACACTAGGCTGTTTTTTTATTTAACCAACCAGAAGTTAAACGCTATATATCCATCGAATGAGGAGAAATCAGTTCTCATAGAGTGTTCAATAGGTCCAACTATCTTCGGTCAATTTCAACTTAATTTAACAACTTTTTAACAGTGTGTAACATTTGAAACTTCTGAGTACTGACCGCCAAAAAACTTTGTAGGTTAAATCCTTTTTTACGTTATTGATAAATAACCCTTGTGTTTGTTAGGATGAAGTTTGTGCTGGACTAAGTGAAGAAACTCTGAAGAAACTAACCGACTCTCAAATACCTCCTCATCTACTGGTAATCTCTTTTGTTCTTTTCATGCTTCGTCTTAATGTTCTTTTTACTATTGTTAGCTGATCGTGTGAAGTTGTTCATGTTTCATGTTATGGCTCATATTATGGTTAATGTTATAGTTCATGTTATGGTTCATATTATGATTAATGTTATAGTTCACGTTATGGTTCATGTAATGGCTCACGTTTTGATTAAATGATTTGATGCACTGGAGCAATTAAATTTAAAAATAAAAGCCATAAATTGATTCTAAAAACCGTTTTTATATAAAATTTTTGATTCTCACTGTATTGCAATTATGAATCAATTGCAACTATAAACCTACACTTAAAAAAATGTTTTTACTTTATAACATGTTATGTTATAATAACAAGAAACAAGCTTAAATATTTTAACACAAAAAGCTTCATATAAATTGTTTTTTCACTTGGTTTCAGCTAGTAGGCTGAACTCTATATGTATGCTCAACTCTTTGTTTTCTGATTTCCCAGTTCTAAACTTCTAACTGCATTCTCATAAACACTGTAGGTTAAATCCAAATTTATTCTTAATATTATGTTTCCGGTTCAAACTGAAAAAAACTCGATGAATGAAGAAGAAAAGAAGTAAGAGAAGGAATGTATAAAAGTAAATAAAATAATAAAACTTTTTATAAGAAGAAAGAAAGGAAGAAAAGAAGAGAATAAAGTATAAAAGAAATAAAAAAGAAGATAACGTAAAGAAGAATAGAAGGATAATATGAAGTATTTGAATAAACTATGGTTGCCCTGGTATCATAAAGCATGATAAATAAAGAAAAATATTCAACCTTCAATTTACTCACCTACTGTACTATTAAAAGGGATACATGAACTAACATTTTGAATTAGGACAAACTTGGACTTAACTGTTGAACTATGTATACAAGCATGTACTTATCTGTTGTACTATTTAGACAAATGTGTACTTACCTGTTTTACTATTCAGACAAACATGTACTTATCTGTTGTACTATTTAGACAAACATGTACTTATCTCTTGTACTATTTAGACAAATATTTTCTTATCTGTTGTACTATTTAGGCAAATGTGTCTTTAACTGTTTTACTATTTAGGCAAACATGTACTTATCTCTTGTACTATTTTGACAAATGTGTACTTACCTGTTCTACTATTTAGGCAAACATGTTCTTATCTCTTGTACTATTTAGACAAACATGTACTTATCTCTTGTACTATTTAGACAAATATTTTCTTATCTGTTTTACTATTTAGACAAACACATACTAATCTGTTGATCATGTTCTGGTTCATATTATGGTTTATATTATGGTTTTTATCATGGTTCTTATTATGGTTCATGTTTCGTTCATTATGGTTAATGTTATGGTACATGTATAGGTTCATGTTATGGTCTATGTCATGGTTTATTTTACGGTACATGTCTTGTTTCATGTTACGGTTCATGTCATGGTTCATGTTACGATTCATGTCATAAATTCATGTCATGGTTCATGTCATGGTTCATGTCATGGTTCTTGTCATGGTTCATATTATGGTTCATGCTAAAGTTCATGTGAATGGTCATGTTAAGGATCATGATATGGTTCATGTTAAGGTTCTTGTTATGTTATGGTTCTTGTAATGATTTATATTATGGTTCATGTTATGATTCATGTTAAGTTTCATATTATGATTCATGTTATGTTTCCTATTATGAATCATGTTATGATTCATGTTATGTTTCATATTATGATTCATGTTATGATTCATGTTATGTTTCATATTATGATTATGTTATGATTCATGTTATGTTTCGTATTATGATTTATGTTATTATTCATGTTATGGTTTATGTTTTAGCGCATGGTATGGCTGATGTTATGGTTTATGTTCATATTACAATCTATTTTATAGTTATTGCTACTTCAGGGAACATTAGTTCCAAAACTAACACTTGGCCCATTTCTAACACTCAGTGTTAGAAATGAGCAAAAATTGAAAGACTGGGTTTTTGGGATCCAAGCCCATATTCAGAGTAAAACACGGGCAGCCGAAGTACATTTGAATTTCCGAGCCGGGTCAACCTTTCCGGTCCCAGTTTGTACTGTATCGCCCAGACATTGGGTAAATAAGGCAGACACTTAATAGGACTAGCCGGTGCAACAAGGTTGACGCGGTCATATGTTGAATTTACTTTCACTAAAGGGTCAGAGGTGCGTGAAAACTCTATAATAAAAACTATAACCAACATTTTATTAAACATGACAAGGACAACAATTCCCAATTTTAAATTTTTTGATCAAAATGATAATAGGAGATCTTTTTATATTAAATCTATTGACCGTTTTCAAGACAACAATGTCAGGTTTTCCATTTTCCATCCGCAATTCAAAACAAAACTCACTTTCATAACTTACAAAATAAATCACTGAAAACAAAAATTAACCTATAAAGACTAAATTAACTTCTGAATTATTTATAGAATCTAAGTTTCCATATTTTATGTGTTATATTAGAAAATATCGATGATTTATTTTCAAGCATTTTAAACAAACAGTTTACCCATTTCTTGTTAAATCTATATTGTAAGAACAAATGATATTAATATTTTGATTTGTCAATTCTGCAATTATTTTTGAATTATATGAGAACAGTTTGTTTTTATTTTCCATTTATGTTTCATCAAAAATTCATGTTTTATTACGTAACATAAGTGCTTAAATGCTTAAAAAATAACATTGATATGAATTCCGGTGATTGTCTCAAAACCCAGAGTATGTTCCAGAATATGCTGTAAGGGGGGGGGGCCATAAAACGTATTACTCTCCGGAAAATTTAAACAGTGTTTAAACATAACTTAGAATTGTCGTAGGAGGCTGATTTTTTGCATGCAAACTCAGAATTACATGCATTTTTTGGTTTTGAAGGAATCTGAGCAAAAGTACGCGCGCGCCCTTTTTGTGAAGAAATGCGACTTTTTTACAGTAAATCAATGTTAACTTCATTAATTGCACTTGAACATTTTTCCTGGCACTCTTGAAACAAATATGCGCTAAAAAAATTCATCTCTAAAGGCTTAAATGTTCGCGCGCACAGATTCCTTAAAAACCAAAAAATGCATGTAATATACATTATTTTAAGCTTGCATGCAAAAAATCAGCCTCCTACGACAATTCTTATTTATTTTTAAACACTATTTAAATTATTCGGCGAGTAATATGTTTTATGGCCCCCCCCCCCCCTTTGTTCTACTTGTCTTGGATTAAACGATATATATTCTTGAAAAAGATAATTTTGCAGACATATCTAACACCGGGCCAAGTGCTTGGAACTTATATCCCCTGCGTTTGTATTTTTCCGTTTTATTATTTAAATTGGCTCTTCCTTACAGTTGAAATCTTATTCTTAATCTTCTCCTGAAATAGTATTTTGTATAAATGTGAGAGTTTCAATTGAACTCTAGAAATTTATTACTGTGCTGTTTCATGGAATTAAAATTGAATAGCATACTTTAAAGAGATTATTAAACGAGCTTAAGATGATTTTGCTTTTAGAATAATCTTCTTAAATATTGTTTTTTATATTAAACCGAGAGAGAAAACTGCATGTAAAAGAGACTTTTTTTCAAATAAACTAGTTGAACTGATAGATTTGAATTGGTTGGTTAAATTGATTTGAGTGCTTGATTTGATTAATTCATTTATTATTTGATTCATTCATTGATTCATTCACTCATTCGTTGATAATTGATTCATTCATTGATACATTTGTTTTACTGATTGATTTGATTGATTCATTTATTGGTTCATCTAGTCATTGATTGATTGGTAATTTATTCATTCATTTGATTCATTTTAATTATTCGATTGACTAATAATATTGATTTAATCGACTGATTGATTGGTTCATTAATTCATTAATTCATTCATTGGTTGATTCATTCAACATTCATTGATAATTAACTCATTGATTGATTCATTAGATTGACTTATAAGATTCAGTTGATTCAGTTGATTCAGTTGATTCAGTTGATTCAGTTGATTCAGTTGATTCAGTTGATTCAGTTGATTCAGTTGATTCAGTTGATTCATTTCACTCATTTCACTCATTTCACTCATTTCACTCATTTCACTCATTTCACTCATTTCACTCATTTCACTCATTTCACTCATTTCGCTCATTTCGCTCATTTCGCTCATTTCGCTCATTTCACTTATTTGATTCATTTCATTCATTTGATTCATTTGATTCATTTTATTAATAGAATTGAAAACTGAATTCATTCATTCATTTGTGTCAGGAACGCCTAGAAAAGAGGTTAACTACCAAGGGTCAGGTTCAGGCGAATAGAGCATCAATGCAGAGAGTTCGGAGAATACAGGAGATACAACGAGAACTAGGAGTAGTCGAGGTATGAAGACATAATTTCAACCTTTATTAATAAAGCAAATAAGATGTTTTTATTTTTTATTTTAAAACCTGAATTTGGACAATTTCTTTAGATGTCATAAATCTGCAAGTTTTTGTGAACCCACCATTAGAAATTCATATATATAAATGAAGTGCCACTTTAAATTACGCCTACAGTCCCTTTAAGCTACATTTGCGTTTTGAAAGAAATTCACCAACCGTTCATTACTGGTATTTTCCCATGTTTACTGTGATTCATTGGAAAAAAGTGTTTTAATATTTTACAAGACTATTTGTTTTAGGTTCAATGCTTGGATATTGAACGTGAAGGAGTAGTTCTGGAGAAGAAAATGTCAGGTAGTTTTACAGCGGAAATATATTTACAATAGAAAAATGGCCTTTTAAAGACTAGGGGGCCTGAATATATGTATATAGTTCAAAATATGTTCACAGCCGAATTTTTCAAGCCAGCGGATAAAAAGACTGCTTAATTTAATGGTTCCCCAAAAATGTTCCTTAAGAATCATTTATCTTTCTTCAATTCAGCGGGAAGAGTGTAAAAATAATCAATTGAATATCAACCGTCAATTGTTCATCATAAATTGTCCCAAAATAAATTTCCTTGATTGGGGATTGAACTCTAAAAAAACTAACTTACACTGGATTAAAAATGAATATTAAAGGGGAGCTGAAAGTGCAGTATTGTAGAGAAAAACTTTAGGATTCATTTGATACCAATCAGACATATTTACAGTGTTCTATTTTAAATAAGAGCGTAAAGTCGTTCATAATATTTCACCTGTTGTTTCGGTCAGCAGATGAAACGTTTTTTTACAATTCTTAAATGTACTGGACAAAACATGTAACAAATTCTACTATACAAGTACAAACTAATTCTACTATACAAGTACAAACTAATTCTACTATACAAGTACAAACTAATTCTACTATACAAGTACAAACTAATTGCATATTCACAAACTGTTTGAGAAAAATAATTCACTTTTATCATAGAAAATAAGTTATTAAAATTATTTTGAAAATCTCGCTGGGTTATACAAATTCTTTCAGCTAGGGTCTCAGGTCTCTTGTTGGAGGTTATCTTTATTTTAATTGTGAAGACGACATTTTGAAAAATCCGCGAATAAAATTATAGAAACAGGAAAGGAAATGATGATAATGAAATAACCACTTGGTATCAAATGATTCCAAAAGTTGTTCTCTATAATCCTGCACTTTCAGTTTAAATACCATGCCTAGCCGGGATCTCCCTTTAAGAACCGGTTTCAAGAAAATATATTTATCTATTATCTATACCCCTGATATAATAGGAGCAGAGAAGGAGAAAGACGACGAGAAGGAGGTGGAGCTCCTGGCGGCCTGGTACAGGCTCCTGGGAGAAAAGAACAGGCTGGTTAGGAGGGAGCAGGAGCTCATGGTTGAGAGTAAACAGCTGGAGCTCATTGAGCTCGCGGACAGGTAATTAATTGCCAGTCATTTTGCAAAGGAAGCTACAGTATTTGTGGTTTCTGGTTGATCTTAATTAAATTCGTCAAAATAGTGAATTACATGTGCTGATATAATAGAAGTGATCTGTCAGGTGCTAAAACACTTATTGTAACAATTTTCTGTACTCTCCCTTCAATATTTTCTGTACTCTCCCTATAATAAATTGTATCTTTATCTTTATCTAGAGCTGAGATAGAGCTGGTTAGAGTTGACGGAGAGGAGGCTACAGCACTCCTAGATAAAATCTCAAGGTCAAACATTTAGAATATTTTAAGACAGAAAACAAAGTAAGAAGGAATCGAGTATTTGCCACAAACTCTGATTTTCTAATGCAAAATCGTAGACCTTAGATATTTCAAACTTTAATACTTTGAATCAATCAATCTGAGTAATCACAAGTAAACAAATCGTAAATTTCTTAATTTATTATGTTTTTAGAGAAATAATTATTATTTAGAAATCATAGGTTTAGATGAGTTTTATGAAAATTTGAAATAAAACGACATGAAATATTTGTCTAAATTGAAATTGCTGAGCCTTACTTAAATCTTAATGACAGCTTAGACTCGAGACTAATTTTATATTTTTTAAAATCCGGTTTCTGTAGGATTGCAGAACAAAGGGAGGAGTTGGAGCAGGTGTTAGACAAGGACAGGGAGAGATACAGGAGGGAGGACAGGGAGATACAGCTTAGGATGCAGCAACAAGGGATCAGGTTTGATCAGCTCATGTAAACTTGGTTACACTTAAATAGCAGGGGTCCATATAATTCCATCCAATACGATCCCAACTGTTGATTGGTTGATATTATGAAGCAGAATTTAACCATGTTAATATAATAAACTATTGGAAGTATGATGTCAAATTGTAAAAAAACATTCCATACTGCATAATGCATACTACAAGGAAATGTATATTTTTCTGTACATAATTTATCTTATATTGATTGCTGATATTCACATTTTATACCTTTTTACATTTATTGACGAACATTTTATATTAAGCAGAACTTAGTAAGCAGAAATTAATAATTATCTTGGATCTGGATTTTGGTTTTATAATTTAATCGAACTTTCTTAAATATTAATTAAATGCAATATTTTTTCAGTGCACCAATGATCTAGTTACTTAACTGATAGAAGGAAGAGAGCTGAATCACGTGGTCAAATGAATATCCGCCAAACCTTGATTCCAACATGGCTGCTTTTAGGCTAAAAAAAAGCGTGATGAAGGGAAAATGGCGCCAACATCTTGAATCTAATTGACTGCCTTTAGTACAGAATTGAATATTCTCTATTGATAAGAAAATTAATACGTAATTCTCAAACACAACTAACGTTTCCAACGCAAGTGGATTGTACTTGCGCGCAATTTCTGGCCCTGTCTTCGCAATTCTACGCAATACAAGAACAGTTGCGCTCAATTCCGCACAGTTGCACGCAACGGTATTCCGATTGGAAACCCTAAACTCAACCCACCTCCCTTTATTTCTTGCCAGTTTTCTGTATGTTGAATATTATGTGTTACTTAGCTTTTTTATACGTTATACAGTTTTTTAAAATCATTTAATCAAGCTTGATATTTTTATATATATATATATACATATTTTGTTTACATATTTTTGCTAACTCTACGCTGCTTTAACTTATCTCGACCTTATACTTAGTCCTAAATATGTTGAATAAATTGCATAATGTGGAAATTTGAAATTCTGTGAAACAAAATCTTGCAATTTAATTTTTAGTTTTTGCTGATAAGTGAAGGTTTTGTGATAGATTCTCATTTCTACAAATAGGCAAATAATTGTAATATTGACTTGATAATAACGTTTGTGAATTTAAATTAACAGATTTTTATGTAATGTTTAAAAAATAATCAAAATAGTCCCAATGTATCTCTCTCGTGAGCCGTGACACTGGTTGAATTGGGTTTTGTTTCAACGCTAATTATTTGTTTTAAATGTGAAACTATGATAATTAAAAAAATTAAATATATTATATTATTAAATCTGCTTTTCAAATGATTTATTTTAAATATTTTTGTCATGTCATTTAATGTTATTTTGTGAGGAAAGGGAAAAGAGGGGTAAGACAAAATCATTAGTTTTTAGTTACATGAGAAGAAGACAGATTTTTTTACTTTCTCTCCATTTTTAGAAATTGATTTAATACTGAATGAATTATTGATATTCTTGAGACTCTTTAAATATTTTAAAGGGGATGGTGGAGTTGGCACATATTTTTTTATCGATTTTGATGGTTATTATATCGTTAGAACTGACGAGGGTCAACCCAGACCGAAATATATTTTCAATAAATGTGGAACTAACATCTCCTTTTTTTCTCTACAGAGGTTTGGTCCATCACCATCACTGAATTTTAAATTTGACCTTCTAATGACCTCTTTCGACCTTTAATGACCTAAATGACCTCCAAAAATGAAAATGTTTTAACTATGGCTTAATGCATATCAAACGAAAGCCAGGAACCCCAGGAATACAGTTGCAGCAACGAATCCATTGTTTGACGTTATACTGACCTCTAATGACCTAAATAACCTCCAAAAATAAAAATGTTTTAACTATGGCTTTATTCATATCAAACGAAAGCTAGGAACCAAGGGAATACAGTAGAAGCAACAAATACAGTTGTTAACACAAATTCGAAATATAAGGAAGACGATTTTTCCGACTCAAATGCCGTAGCCTTTTCTCAAGATGTGTGTATACACACGATCCATTTCTGCCATGAAGCACACACATGTAATCCTCGCTCCTTCTTTCCCCCCCCTCACCCTCTACACACCCCAGCTCAGTCAGGTTAGGAGAGTTGAGCTAGTAACAGCTCCGACACAGGGAGCCTCTTGACTCCTTTATGATGATGACGCAGATACTCAACTAGCAGCAGACAGGCTTACCTGAGGATTCCCAGTTTATCATGCATTCCACTTCCAGAGACAACATAATCGCTCCAATCCAGCATGATAAAGCCGCTATCTCTGCCTACTAGGTTGGATAAGCCCTGTTGTTCCAGTTCCTGTTGATCTGCTCCACCAACATGAAGCTCTACATCACTCCCATGAAGTACCCACAAATATTCATCATTAATTCCTTTGTTAATTTCTAAATCAACCAATTTTAACTCCGCATTAAATGCAAATATTTCAAAACTTTCGTTTTTAAATAAATATTAGAAATATCCATTTTTAGATCTCTTTATTTTACTATAGTGACTTTTAAAGTCAACAACAGTGTTTGACCTTCTAATGACCATTTACGACCTCGAATGACCTAAATGACCTCAAAAAATGAAAATGTTTTAACTATGGCTTTATTCATATCAAATGAAAGCTAGAAATCCAGGGAATATAGTAGTAGCAACAAATCCAGTGTTTGACCTTCTAATGATCTCTTATGACCTCTAATGACCTCTAATGACCTCCACAAATAGAATATATTTCAACCATGGCTTTTATGCATATCAAACGAAAGCTAGAAACCCAGGTAATACAGTAGTAGCAACAAATCCAGTGTTTGACCTTCTAATGACCTCTAACAACCTCTAATGACCTAAATGACCTCCAAAAATGAAAATGTTTTAACTATGGCTTCATTCATATCAAACAAAAGATAGGAATCCAGGGAATACAGCAGTAGCAACAAATACAGTGTTTGACCTAATAATGACCTCCAAAAATGAAAATTTTTTAACAATGGCTAGATGGTCAAACACTGGATTCATTGCTGCTATTACTGTATTCCCTGGGTTCCTAGCTTCCGTTTGATATGCATATCCCTGTGATACAGACAGATTTTAACATAAATTAATTCAATAGTTTTATTTTACATTAACATTTATCACACTCTTTATCAATTTTGAATGAAATAGTTGAAAAAGTAAACTACATGCACCTAGTTCAATATTTGATCCAGGACAGATCAAAACATGTGCTACAATGTATATATATACAGCTCTAATGAGCTGTCATTCTTTCCGGGTTTACATAATTACATTGTAAAGTTGTTCCCATGAAAATGTTCAATAATTACTATTTTGTCTGCATTTTGAATCACATAGGGCTTTCTACTCTGAGGAGGTGAAGCTGAGGAACAGTTTTCAATATTCTCTATACTGACTTCGCTAACCTCTGTTTTTTCTACTTGATTAGAAGGTCCTTGAAGTTTGTCAGCCATGGATTTTACGGAAGCTTTTCTTGATGATACATATTTTGAGGGAAGCTTGGATTAGACCATCCATAAAAATCAATAACCTGCTGAACGGATGGTCCGCTGCTGCCGTAGCGGACGAGTGTCGTAGAGAATAAAATGTAAATGAAACTAGATTATCTAGACCAAGAACTGAGGCTGTTCCTTCCATAAACTACATTGGTCGACAACTTGACGTCTCCTATATTGGTCGTCAAATGTACGGAGAAATGTCTATCTATCAGATAAGAATTTAGCATGAGACATCTAGCGGCCAACATATCGTCCGCTAAAGTACGTGAACTACACTACCACTTTCTCTGAAGAGAACGGGCTCTGTTGCCATTTAACATGGCACTTTACTTACAAGATTTTTCCCCATAGGCTGGTTAGCGTATGCAGCAGGAGTACCCTAAAAAATATTCTACCAGTGAAATAACCAAGGCTACTTTTAATCAGTTCAGATAAATAACAATAACAGCTGCAAAATTACCTGGCCCATCGTTAGGAACTTGGAACTTGGTTTCCTTCTTGTCTGAGCGCTGTTTCGACCTACAATGTGTTACAAGCATCCCATCATTCTTTTTCACCATCTTCTCTATTTGAAGGTCCATCAACTCCACATTACGAAGTCCTCCGAAGTATGCTAGAATGATGATGACCTAAAAAGTATGACTAAATCTTTCAAACTCTTTCTTTAAATCCATAATATGTAAATTCAGAAAAACTATTTTTTTTTGCAAGAATCAAAATCGACAATTTTGTAAAATACGACGAATTTTTCTTGATCGTACTTTAATAAAGTATAAATTATACAGTAATCTAATTGGATGGTTAGGAACATATTTCTCAACAGAAATTTGTCAATAAATCAATGCTAGAATCAAATATGTCGTCTTTTCAATAGTAATTCCAGATAATCTTTGTCAATAATAAGAAACCAGAATAATGAGAAAATAGAAACTCATAATTGAACAATTACTTATATTCGATGATAAGATTAATTTTTATTTTCTCAACCTGTTCCTCAACAACTAATCAGTTTACTGTAGAATTTATTTTACACTTTATGTCGTCGTTATTTAATAATTTTAAAAAACTAATTCTAAATATTGTATCCACCCCCAAAGTAGGAGTTTTGAACGTCGAATTTACACTCAAACTCAGGATTTACAGATCTTTAAAAACGTCTCAAACGAATCTTAAAAAAGCTTTCCACAACACTGCATACTCAGTTCAACTACCTTACAAAGCCGGTCTGTCCCTTTAGAACATTTCTTTTTCAATTTAGTTCTTACCTTTTTTTCTATAATCCGGTTTTAAAAGCTTAAGAGCTTTGAGATCAATGTTGGATGACATGTCAATGGCACGGAAGCTCTTTCTTGAATAATTTTCTGAATTTCGATAGGACTCTTGTGAAGTTTCACAAAAATAATGATTGGTTATATTGTTGAACAGGAGATTAAATATTTAACGTAAAGAAGATTAGAATTGAATGAATATTCAGAGAAACTTTAAAATTTTACAGAAACCTCAGATGTTACTGTTCCCACACACACTCTTAACATTTCAAAATTTCATTTTTCTTTTAAAGGGATTTAAAGCGTAATTGCACAGATGTTTAAAAGTGCTTAATTCAGATAATTCTTCCTGCAGTAGAAAAGCGCAAGCCACAATCGAAATTAATCAGTTTTTAACATTTTAAACATTGACTTTCTATAATTTATACTTGATCAGACAAAGTTTTAGAAGGTACCGTTGTGAATCGGGCATTTCCATCTTGACATTGGACTTGACTTGAAATTAGATATACTTACAGACTAAATAATGAACCAGAGCTGGGAACTTTTGAATGGTGGATATCAGGATCTCCAGATTAAATAATGCCTGTTCTCCTCATGTTATTAATCTCCAGATTAATTAACCGATCGGGGTTAAGGATATCTCATTCTAAAGTTTTCAGCTCTGAGCTGAAAACTTTAGAATGATGGATATCAAGATTAATGCTTAAACCTCTGGTTTTACTAAACCCAAGATTATTTTAATACGCATTCAATATCCAAGAAAGAAGTATAAAATTCAACCAATCACCGTATCCTGTTAAGATGTACTCTTTAACTTATGAAAAACCGTGTTTTTTATGGTGTTGATTGTGTCATATCAATTGAACTAAACATCAATTAAATAAATGTAAGTTTTGTATTAATATGTTTGTTAACACTCGTTTAAAATGATGAAAGTCCTAAAATGTGATAAAATATATTTTTTTAATAGGTTCATATTAACATGATTAAATTTATATTTGCTCAAATGCTCTAAAAGCCGGCTTGTTAACAGCACTTTAATTCAATTGGATATTAGTTCAATCGATATAGCATTGTATCTGTAATTGTTATCAAACGTAACTTTTATACAGTAAGGATATCCAAAAAAGAGGATTAAGAATAAAATCAAAAGTGTGTACATTGGATATTCAGATTAAGCGATCAGGATTAATGATATCTCACTCTAAAGTTTTCAGCTCAGTCGACATAACTTTCAAGTTACCCTTTCTTTGCAAGGCCAATTCACAACGGTACCCATGGAGGCTTTGAAAGCTATATGTCTATCTTGATTATCTCTACAAATAGGTTTGCAACGAATTTTGTGTTTGTTGAAAACATTAATGCAAGAATGACTAAAAATGTATTTAGGTAAATTAACAGATTGTGAATTGATTATTTAAATATTGACAATGTATCAATTTATAACAGTGTTCTGCCAAAGGTTAGAAAATTATTCGACAGATGTCTCTGCTCTCATGGTTTCAGGTTGGATTTAGTTCTAGTGTAAGCTGGATAACAGATGAAAATGGAAACATTTTTTATCTCAAAATTTATTTGGATAAGTCTGGCAAGCCTTGCTCTGAGCCAGGCAAGTTTTTTCATTAAATTTTTTTTAATGACAAATAAAATTTTCAAAAATTCTAGTTTCGAACCATGACTTTTTTGGTTATTAAAAAAGTTCCTATAGTGAGAGTTAAGACAAGTTTTATATTAACAGAATGGATCAAACTCTGTGGCCGAATTTAAAGAATTTGAACGGCGGTTTAAATTTAATCCGCGGCTTAAATATGGTTGGTTCCACTTAAAATTGTATCAAATGTTTCAAGATTTAAGCCGGCGCTTAATTTAAACCGGGTTTTGGCAGATTTAAACCACGGCTCAAATTCTTTATATTCCATCTCTGATTTCTTAAACAATGGTTTAGATTAGTTTATTTTTCATTCATTAATTAGTTAGAAAAGTTTAAGTTTACTAAATATTCAGCTAGAAATATATCAATAGATTAAAGATTGAAAATATGTTTCTATTTTAAAACTAGAAAACATGAACAAAAAATATTTTTTTTTTAAAGACAACAAGAGATTTTTGAAGTATACTTTAACCCAATCTAATTAATCAAAAAAAATGTCTGAAAAATAATGGCGATTGGACTCAAAAACTGCAATCTAAGGGCAGTGATTGTAAAATTAGTTTTTAATCATGAATAAAAGAAGTATCATCTAATTATATTTCATCTTTAACCCTATTCAGGCTGACATCTCTTTTACTAAAATTTTTTAAGATCTAGATATTTATTTACGTATCTACAGTTTACAGCTTGTTAAAACAAAAAAAATTTTCGAAGTTATCGTGTACATACAATTATAAATTGGTGAGGTTGAAATCTTTCTTATAGAAATTTTACAGATACATTTTTTTATGTTCTTTCAAGTCAGATTTCTGGTAAAATTATATTACAGTAGTGATAAGGCAACAGTTCGAAAAGAAAAGAACTTTATTATATATTATATATTAGATATATTGTAGAAAAAGAATCTGCGAAAAGTTTTTAATTTTATGATTTACTCAGAGAAACTGATGGTAAAGCTAACGAATATTTATAATATGTACAATATCTGATTGTTTATGGATAAATATACAGGGTTACCCACAAAGGATAAGACTATAAAGACGACCTAATTTCGATGATTCCAAGGTTTCAATACGTTGTCTGTCTTAAAGAAAGTCTTTTGTGGTATGTTAAATGATTTGGTAAAGAAAGAAACAAGCTTACAGTTGCAGGGAATCATAAATATAAGGAAACAGACAATACGAATTCCCAACAGTCGTCTCAGAAATCTCATCCTTTGTGGGTAACCCTGTATATAACTCTCAACATAATCTTTCGGTGTGTTCTGCAGTAATTTGAAGTACACTGATCGAAGAGTGGAGAGGAATTTATTAATATATTAATATATAAATATATTTTATATTTCTGTTAAGCAGGAAAACTGAACTCTAAATTGAAAACCTTTGAAGATAGTTGATGAAAGACCAATTCAACGGTTTGTTTGAGATAATTTTAAACTCATTCCTAGCATTTATTTAAAAGCTTTGAATTCTGACTTTTAACTTAAAATGTTAAGATGATGGTTACTTACTAAAGCACTAAGCTAGAATTAACATATTCAGTATATTTTATGAAACATATTAAAATGCTTATGAAATTACATATTAAAAGGACTGTATACGCCATTTCAAGTCACTCTACAGTTATAGATTAGCATGTCCTATTCAAAACAGTACCCTTAAAAGCTTTGCCTGATCAAGATTTGGTTTGCAATGAGGAATTTTTTTTAAAAAGTAAATTTCATAAAACTTTTTAAAATGCTCTCGATAAAAGTATTTTTATTTTTTTCTTGAATGAATTTTTGATATGCTTTCATAATGACAAAAATCCTAGACAGCTATGAAAAATGTGCACACATTTTTCTAAACCGGGCTGACTTTGTAGCAACGCTTTGGCCTTAAGTTTAACTCACTGTTTCGCATATAAATTTTTGTAGCTCGAGCCGTGTACTGTGTCACACTCACAGAAATTTGCACTATTGGACTATATTACAATATAAAAGTTCAAATATAGAAAAAAATCTAAAAATGTAGCATTCTACAGAATACTAAGAATTCAAGTGATTTTGAGTTTTCGAAGGTGTAAATAGATAAGATTTTTCATCTGGAATCGAATGCACAAAGTCCTGGAGTCGTAAGTTACAAAGCTTCCCGTCTAAGAAAATTGCGTAGTTTTCTCTTAAAAATACGACTTTTTCAAGTGAAAAGGAACTGAGTTCTTGTCACATGCACAAATTTTCTAATCTCTATAATTGAAGTGGACTTTTTACCACTAATTCATACCTTACCATTTTACCACTTTTATACATACATCTGAATTGGCATACTTAAAGATATTCATGGTCCATATCAACACCTATTCATTAATCAATCATCATTCATCAGACACGCACGCACTAGTTATGTACCTAACTTTTTAATCCAAGTTTTTACTAGTTCAAAACTGCTTTTAAAAAGTCGACTTTCTAAGACTTTTTGGTCTACAGCTGTTACCATGTTACCATTTACAAATGATACTACTAGACTGTATCCTAGACTAATGAAAGCCTTAGCTCTCGTGGCGGATCTTCCGCCGTTCAATCCTTCTGATCAGATCACTCTTGCGATCCTGCATTATTCTTTGCCTGGTTTTCAAGCCAGTGTGCATCCCCTATTGAATGAACTATAAACTCTCTATAATTCCCGGTTTTAACGGTGGCAATTCCTTTTCTCACGCGGAGCTAGCATTTCTCAACGGATAAATATCCCTACATGATACAGATGAGGAGACTTGTCATCCGCCCCACTGCTCCCTACATGATATTGATGAGAAGACTCGTCATCTTTTCCACCGCTATCGCTTCCTACAGTTTATGTACAAGTAAAACTCAGGGTTTTAGCTCCGAGTTTGTCTGATAACTGAATGGGTTACATCAATGGGGCTATCCCTATTCCGAGCTACTGAGCTCACACTGGTTATCTTAGCTCCGGATCCGTACGAGGACTGAAGGGGTTAACACTAGTTATAAAAAATCGACTTTTATCCGACTTTAAGACGACTTTAAAGTTAAAACTAGTTTTAATTTCATCCCGATTCTGTTTGCTGGGTTAACTGTAAGATAGTTCATTAAAATCATTAGCCAAATAAAAGAAGGGAGAAGAATAAGATTTTTAAAGCATAAAAAATGATTTTAATCCCTTCTAGAATTCATAAGAATAGATGGAAATAAAAATTCCCATATAATTTATTTCAGAAATTTGAAGAAAAAATAATCCTTAACACATAATATTAGTAACACAAATTAGATTTTTTTTTTCTAATTTTCTCCTTTTTTTCTTCTTTCTATAATTTTCCTTTTTTGTCTCAGATAATGTGCCCCCCCCCCCCCCTCAGCTATGGGCCTGGTATCCTTTAAGTCTAGAAAAGCAAGGCTATTCCATTTATCCATGCTCATTCAAAAATATACCTGTCTGTAAATCTCTCTAATTTACGTTGACAGTTCCTTTAAAAACAGAAAAATGATTTCAGTGCGTAATTAAATATGGAGTTTATTTTGCATTTATTTAAATTTTTTTATATCAAAGAGCCAATATAATAGTTTTTAGAATAAATAAAGGTTTTCCAAGAAAGGTTAAATTTAAAATTTTCAAAACAATAAAAATACGGATTTAAAAGAAAATATGGTTGTGAAAAAAACTTACAAAAAAAGTGTTTACTAAAATTACAGGAATTGTCGGACATCACATTAGCGCTGAAGCTTTTAAAATGTTACCAAACATTTCTTCTTCAAATTGATCAATTGTAGGGTACAAGTCAACCTTTTCATTGATGTTAAACTAATAATTTAATCAAATAGAGATACGAATAGGTACTTGATTGAAAGTATTTCACAATGTTTACATGTAAAAACTATATTAGCTAGCAGATGTGTGTCTTTCTATGAGACTATTGAAACCAAGTTCTAAGCTTTGCATTAGATTTTTTTCTAATTTATGTAAAAATGACCTTAACACAGTGCTTGGCAGAAATTTATTTTCTATTGCAAATGATTGTTCTGTAAATCCTTCGGATCTTAGTAAAATGTTAGTTAAGAAACAAATTAAATATTTTGATATCCCATCGGACCATGCATGGAAAGTTCCGGTTTTACAAGAACTTTTAAATACAAGAACGAATAATTTATATGTTGAAGAATTCGATGATTACGTAATAACTGAAATGATAAATATGTAATGAGTAATGATCAATGTCGTCTATTTGTGCATAATTTTGCATATTTTTCTCTTTTCTTTTTGGAAACCTGTATTTTCAAAAATTTATTGAAACAAATTTAAACTACACCATTTATATATGTATTTATATCTTTGTGTGTGAATAAATCTTTATTATATAATAATGCTAAAATTAACTTTTGTATTTTCTCCCAAGAAAAAGAAATTCCCTGTGATAATGTCGAAGAAAAACCGATGTATCTAATAAATTTTTTATCTGAATTTCGTTTTTAATTCAAATTTATTTTTAAGGGACTTGATCCTCCAAACATTGAACCGTCATCTGATCAACCTCTTCTTGAAATCCCTTTCATTGACTCATCAGCAGCTGAAACTTTACCCTCTTCTCCCATTGAATTTCCAAAAGCAGGTGAAGTGGCGCCATATTTTTCTTCTGAACTCCCACCAACAGCTGATTCTTTGCCGCCATCTTTGTCTGAACACCCACCAACAGCTGATTCTTCGCTGCCATCTTTGTCTGAACTTCCATCAATAGCTGATTTATCACCTTCGTCTTCTTCTGGTCAATCAGCATTATTTGGAAAAGAATCACTAAACGAGAATTCAGAGTCCAGCTCATTATCTGCTCTTGCTTCATGCTCTGAGCAGGTTCTAGGTAAAATTTAAATAATAAAATACAGTGACATTAAACTAAAAAACAATAAAAATTATTTACAGAAAAACGACGCTATTTGATCACAAATAACCTGACACGGTCTGGTGTGACGTCATCAATTCAATTTGAGGAAACCCTGCTTATTTTCACAATCATTTTTGTCAGGTAAAGATAAGATAATGAAAACTTTTTTATGTAGATCTTATCCGAAGGCTTACGTAATTTAAAATTAAATTTTCTTTTAGTTTTTTATGAACTTATGAAAAATTTTGATATACAGCTATAATGAAGCAAAATCAAAACGAACCGTTCAATAACAAACGATTAGAAATATCTTAAAATTCTGTCTTCTGCCAGAAAGTCTAAAAATTCTGAATATTTAAAGGGAGTGTTTGCGAAAAATGAAAGGGGTTATAGGCTACTAATCTACCTTCTATCTCTTGTGTCTATAAGGAGAAAATATTTAAAAACAACTAATACCGAAGAAAGTAGCAGTTACAACATTCAACTTGTATCGCAAAAAATCAATTTAATCCCATACAAATCATTCAGATATTACAACCTGTAATCATCGATAATTTTTCCATGCATTTGTATAAAGTTGATTTATCTCTTATTGGATAATGAGCTAGATAGAAAGATAGATGTTACCGCCACACTATTTCTATTGGTTCAGAATAAACACCAAACACATGGCTGAACCCTGATTGGATCAGGCACTAATGGACCCGGCGGCCGGCATACAGGAGTGCTAGGTGTCTCTGCTCTTGATGCTCTGAATAATTCCACGTGGCAGAGACACCTAGCAGAAAAAATCGTTGTTTTAAGTTCATGGTATATAAAACAAATAAAAAATATAATAAAATATCGACTAAATACGAATGCTTTAAAAAATGATTGATGATTTTAGGTTATCATATCTGAATGATTTGTTTACGATTTGAGTCGTTTGCATCTTTTGAATTTGTATGGATGCAATTTTCTTCAGTATACGTTGTTTTTAACAATTTTTTCCTTATAGATGTATAGATAGAAGTAGGATTAATAGCGATCACCATCGTTAATTATATGCCCCCTTTCATTTTTCCCGAACACTCCCCTTAACAAATGGATAAAAACAATGTGGGACTCATAAAATTGTTGAATAGGAAGACGACTATCGGATGTTTATTTGATGTGTTTATCAAGAAAATAGTTTAAATAGCTTGAAAATCTATTTTTTAAGCGAAATACGTTTATTTACGCACTGCACTTCTGCTGATTTCATCTTAAATAGGAATAAAGGAGTAGAAAATTAGAGTTTGAGGCATGTAATCAGTTCCTTTTAAAACATATGATATACAGCCAAATATGTTAAAAGAAGATATGTTTTAATACGTTTTTCTTGTAGTTACAAAAAGATTTAATCATATCCCGAAATATAATAATGAACAATCCCTTAAATAAATCTGAACCTGGCATACTATTTCAGGTTTAAAGGTTTGAACCTTTGATGCATAAAATAAATATAAGCTCTGGCGAAACTGTCATGGGGTAGAATTCTGTCATTCATTTTTTCATGCTTTTGTCATTTAATAATTATTTCTGTAAAATCTCTTAAAGGGAGTGACTGGCAAATGTATGGTAGTTGAACTGAGAATGTAATATTGTGGAGATATTTTTTTAGGATTCATGTGACATGTAAAACGTTCTAATGATGTACAGGGTGTCCCACGAAACATGACATTTGGTAAACAGTTTAAAATGTCTTCCTCCATAATTTGTTTAACTTGTTTAATACCAAAGACAATAATAAAAATATTATATAGGAGTCATATTATAGTAAAATTAATTTTAAAGTAAAAAATATTTGAGCAAAAGATTTGTTAAACGGAATAAACTGCAAACAGCCTTTAATGTCTAATACAGTGTATGGAAGATGGCATTCAAAACTAAATTACCAACTGTCATGTTTCGTGGGACACCCTGTATGATTACTGAGTTTGAGCGCGAAGTCCACGTTCAAAATTATCTATTTGGGTAGTTACGTTTTCAGAATTAATCTTTTTTAGATATTTAAATAACGACGACAAAAAAAATTCTACAGTAAACTAATTTGGTGTTTAGGAACATATGTCTCAATTGAAATTTTCTCAATAAATCAGTGTTAGAATCCATTATTTCTTTTTCTTCATTATTATATTAATTGTATTCTGGTTCCTATTTTCTTCATTATTATATTAAATTTCTTATTCTTTACGAATTTGTTCGAAGATTTCTTCAAATTCTTCAAATGTCGTCTTTTCAATAAAAATTCCGGGAAATCTAGGGAAAATGTTTGTTGACATTGAGACATTACAGAAACCAATAACTGAATAAGATTACTTATTTTCGTTGATAGTTGTTAATTTTTATTTTCTAGACCTGTTCCTAAACAACTGATTAGTTTACTGTAGAATTCTTACTACATCGTTATTTGATATTTTTTTTAAACCAATTCTCAAAATTGTACCTTAAAAAATAACAATCTATGAGGATTTTAAAGGTTGAATTTGCACTCTTGCTGAACAAATATGCACCTTATAAACGTTTCATAGGTCTCAAATGATTCCTAAAAATATTTTCCAGAATACTACATTTTCGGTTCAACTACCATACATTGCCGGTCACCCCCTTTATTCATATCATTGAGAAAAAATCTACAATCTCTAAAGAACTGTAGAAAAATGCTTTGAACAATTTTGTTACATAATTATGTCTAACGTTTTACTGTTTCTAAAGTTTACTTTTAGAATTTACAGGTCAAATTGGGATTGAAAGCTTCAGCTTTCTGGGACAAGGATTGACATGCTAAATCCGCGTGAAATTAATGCCACAAATTATATCAATTACAAAAGACAATTTTTAAGTGGTCTCTAAGCTGTCATATTTCGTGGGACACCCCATATTTCATCAATATCCTTGTTTTTCTTACAGTATTCCACATAATTTTGAGAATCACTGTAAAAAAAATAATAGTAATTTATTTATTTTTCTTCCAGTGCTATGGTTATTGCCGGAGTGTATAATACTATTCAGGTGAACATTTAGCAGATGTTAGGTATTTCCCCCGAAGGCATTTTCTCAAGTGGCAACTTCCAAAATGTGCTTTTTAAAAGTGGTAACTTTCCAAGCGTGTCCTAGTCGCAGCGCTCGGCCACCCCATTGTCCCATAGGCCCAATCTTCTTTTTGGGAAGTTGCCACTTTGGAAATTTCACATTTATGAAGTCGGGAATTACCTAACACCATTTCAGAGTTGATTGATTGATTGGTTGATTGATTTGTTAGGGTGCTTTCTATGACGAGGATGGGAGTCTAGATGCATCCTTTGATGCAGGAGGAAATGTTGGCGTTGGAATCACTGCAGCAACTTTAGGAAACATAATCTCTTAGTTTTTTTGATTCCAGCATTTTTATCTCAAAGACGATTAAACTGTGAACACTTTATCACGGGATCCTTCGAACAAATTGCCTGCGCTCTGGATGTTTTCTAGGCAAAATTGGTCTTTTGACCGTTTAGTAAAGTAAAATTCCCTTATCATCCCTGTGAAGTAGTTCAAAATAATTTAAGGATGGTTTAATGAATGATAAACTGTTATCCCTATTTAAAAAAACCACAATATAAAATCTTCATAATTTTTAATTATGTTTTGATGTAGTTTCTCAGTGGACTTGGGCAGCTACACTTCTTCAGTCCTCTTCAGGTATGTTCTGAAGTACAGTGTACACTGTACACTGTACAGTACACAATATGTTGTGTCTCACAAACAGTGTACAGTGCACAGTACACTATTTTAATAAACAGATATGGTGTACATACTCTGATACAGTACATTGTACATTGTGCTTTTAAACATTTTTAAACTGTACTGAACAGTTTTGTATAATTCGGTATAATGTACTATTTGTGGAATCAATTTTTAATCCCTATTTTAGTCGGAGCTAAGTTTGGAATCAGTGGTCCTTACTGGTACGCTTCAGGGGCAACAATACAGGTATAAAGGGGACCCTGTACTTCAGGGGTAACAACACAGGTATAAAGGGGACCCTACATCTTAGTGACAACAGATAGAAGTGGACCCTGTACTTCAGGGGTAACAACACAGGTATAAAGGGGACCCTGTACTTCAGGGGTAACAACACAGGTATAAAGGGTACCCTGTACTTCAGGGGTAACAACACAGGTATAAAGGGGACCCTGTACTTCAGGGGCAACAATGCAGGTATAAAGGGGACCCTGTACTTCAGGGGACACAAATAAATTCAAATACCAAAGACGACTTTCAAGTCGTCTTCCTATTGTCATGTTTCGTGGGACACCCTGTACTTTATTTTAATTATTATCCTGATTAATAATAGTATATCTAGGCTAGGTTTGGTAGGAGAGCCCATCTAATTGTTATGGTTTTTGCTTTATTTACAAATATTATTGTAACATTGAGGTAAAGAACTAAAATTATCGAATTCACAAAAAAAAAAAAAAATTTATTTTGTTTAAAGTTTGTTGTTGGGAGGTACTGCTGTACTCACAGGATTGGTTCAAGGTCAACTTTTTTGTTCACCCCTCCTTCCTTAATATGAAGCTTGTGTTTAAAACAAAAAATAGCTTTTTAATCAATTGTCTACAGATTTGTTTACTTGTTTGCCTATTTACTCATTTCGTAAAATTATTTAAATGCTTTTATTAAAAAATCGCGTTTTCTGCACAAAAGTATGCAAACATATCAAAATCTCAAGTAATTGTACTAAAATAATAAATATCTCTCAAAATGTTTACTCAAAAATAAAATTACACAACAAAAAAATACACTCACCACGTAAAAAAATAGTTTATTTTAAAGTGAGATTTTTTAAATGTACAGTGATAACCAGAAAACAATGGAATGGGAAGATGACATTATAGCAATACTTAAGTGAATTTGATGTTGTTAAAATCAAACAAATAGTTTTACAAGATACTTATCAATTTTCTAATCTAGTGAACTTGATTCTAAAAGTCGTCTTACTTATCCAGAGTTTTCTTGTATAAAATACAATGATTTCCAATTTGACAAATAAACTTACCAAACATGAGAAAAATCGTTTTTTAAAGAAAGGAAGGTGATTCCAAGTCACATTTTACCCATGTTTATCATACAGGCCTCTCCCAGGAGTTTGCCTCCATGCTTTTGGTAGTCCTGGTTGGAGGCTTTACATTAGTTGGAGGCCTTGGAGGATCATTTTATGTTTCCTATTTCACCTGTGCAACCATATTCGGCCTCATGCTCTTCTTTACTTTTGAGATCTTCTATAATCCGTTTAGGAATGTGAAGGTAAATTTAGCTTTCAAGACTGGAACCATAATTTCAAGTGATTGGCCATATGTGCATAGAGTAGAGTAGTATGTCATTGTCATAGAGAATAGAATATATAGAGAGGAATTTACTAGAAAAAAGTGTAAAACGGCCATTTTGTTGTACTGTTTCCATACTGCAGGTGTACTTCACATATTTATGCTATATAACCTGTTGGGCCCTGGAATATCATTTTATAGAAAATCTAAAATTATTGTTAAAAGAAAACCAAATTATGAAATAGGCTGGTTTCATAATTGACCAATGATCATTTCACATAGACTCTATGCCTTCCACTTTACAAACGATGATTTTCCGTTATAACTATAAATCAAATGATGTTTTTTATTCACCTAATTCATTATAAAGTTTATTTAACAGTTTAAAAAATTCGAAATTGAAATGAAGAGTCTAGGGAACATACTGTATTAATGTACTTTACTGCATATAATTTGTGAACATTTACATGATTTGTACACTTTGAACTCCCTTTCAGGTGAAAGGGACTGAAAAAATTCATACCGAGAGATTCTTTTAATTCCTCTCTATATATTCTATTCTCTATGGTCATTGTCCAATTCACAAGTCAAGTTCTTTTCAAGAACATGACCGACATCTAACCAGCTAGAACAAGCTGTACAGTACAAAAACAGATTATAAAAGGTAACACAGGATAGTACAGTACATGAACCAGCCCCTTCAAGAGAAATTCTAGTGAATGGTACACTTTTTAATCTAGGTATGAGGAAGGATGACAAAGATATTTTTTTTTCTTAAAACTTACAATTGATTTCTAGGAGTATCAAGATTACAGTATATAAAATATATATACTCTTGATCCGACAAAGGTTTTAAGGATACTACTGTAAATCAGACATACTTAAACTTACAAATGGAGAGTCTCTTGAAACTATGTCTAGATCAAGAGTTCTCTTAAAGAAATGATGGTTGTCATTATTGAATTCATAGATTCATATTGTTATTAATATATGATTGAATTATTATACAAAATTACTCTTTTCTAAAACTGCATCTGAACAATGATAAAATTGTTTTAAATTATTTGTGAATTGCATACTAAGCTTCCATCTATAGAATTGCACAGAATACCTTTAAGAATCCACATGAAATTGCACACAATCTCTTTAAGAATCCATTTAATGGAGCTGAAGATGTTTATGATTATGTCTCATGTTGGGCTGGACCTGATGATAACCAGGTATTTCTTTATTGTTTTATTTTTTTGCTAGATTTAAGTAAACTATGATAGCAAACTGTAATCAAGTTTAATAAAAACATAAATTGTCTTATAATACTCAAGAACAACAGTTGGCTGACCTTTTACTCCTCTGGTGGTCTCAGTTTTGGAATTGTCAATATTGTTGGAAACTTCGGAGCTGTATTCGTGGACCAGTCCTACTGGCAGAGCGCAGTGGCAACTAAACCTAAACGAGGAATGTAAACTCAGCAGACGCTTTTATTTGGTTTGGTTTCCCCAGTTTTAAAAGATTTCTTGTTTTAAGTCGGAAAAATGTCCCAGCGTGTAACTTTCTTTATTGTGTTTAAAACTGCAAATAAAAAACTGAACCTTTAATGAAAAATTTACTAACTTCACCACATTCTATAAGCTAATACAAAATCTTTTTGTTTCTTTCAAATTTCAAATAAAACTTTAAACAATGAAAAGCGTTAAAGAGGTTGATTAAAACAAGGTGTTTGGGGATTTCTATTTGGAGGGTTAACATGGTTTGCTGTTCCTTTTGGACTGGCTACCACAATGTCCTTAGGTAATCTCGAGATTTAAACTGCATGAAAATAACATTTAATAACTTCATGTTTCTATACTACTTTTCATTTTTCTTCCTATAATACTGCAAAATCTTTCACAGTATTTCGTTTTACATTTAAATTTCAAAAATCAACACTATAACAATATGTGGACCTCACGTCTATTTCCTGCCAATCTGACTGTTTTGTCTTTAGAAAATTCCGCTTTGCAAGCATCAGGTGGCAACTTAAAAAAATTTGGAGTTTAATGGCAACAAAGATGTCCAAATTAATAGCTGACCTTTTTAAGCTTAAAAACTAATTGATTTATCCCAATTTTAATTAAACCCTAGTAGTAAGAGTTTCTAAAATCTTCCTAAAATATAACAAAGACAACATTTTTAATTGTTTTAAAAAAATATGTCCAGGTTACCATGGGCTGAGTAGTGCCCAAGGTTCCCCAATTTTATCCGATGGTGACATATCAGCGGGTTTAGTTTTTCCGGCCGTTGCCGAAATATTACTTGGTGAGTAGATGTTAATTTATAGTTTTTAAAACTTTTTCCCGCTTTTTTCTTTCTTTTAATTGTATTTTACTAGAGTTCTGAACTTTTTCTTTAATAATCAAAGATCACATGTTAGCATTATTTATAGCAGCCATAAACATCTGTCTTTCACAGATTGAGGCTTAATTGCTTTAAATCAAAGAATTTCTGTTTTAAATGTGCAAGAAATTATTTAGTAGATTTTTGATTATTTATTATTTTCTTTTTTTTAGGTAAACTTGGTGGATATTTTACAATTATCATGATGTTGACGGCAGTTATGTCTACCGGCAGTGCAGAAATAATTGCTGTTTGTTCAATTATTATTTATGATATTTATATTCCATATATAAAACCATTTAAAAAAGATCTACCTAGCGGCCATTGTATTCTATGTGAGAAGCCATTTAGGTAAATAATAAATAAGAGAATCCGAAAAAAATAATTATGTAGGGAAAAAAAACTTTATTTTTTTTGAAAATACAATATTTTAATGATAAATTAAGAGAGACCAGCTCTAATAATAAAACCTGCCAGTGCCCATCTCTAAACGAGTGTACTGCCTGTATTAAGGTAAACAAATGCTTTGAAAATAATACAGTGAGAACTAGAAAACTGGGGAATAGGAAGACGACATTAAAGCAGTTCTTATAGTTACTAAATCACTTATTTAGTGAAATGGGTCTATTTATACTGCACAATTGCTGTGTTTCATATTTTTGGACTTTTTAAAGTAACTTGGGTCTAAAAGTCGTCGTCTTTTTTCAGTTTTCTGATTCTGTTTAATAATCATTTCACAATTCACTCTCGCAGTCACAATTATCCTAGTTGGGGGAATAAAATGTAATTATGGGATGATTTTCTTCGGAGAAAAAAATGTTGTCGATTTTTAAAGCTACTTAAGTTTGACAAAAAAGTGTTTTTAAAAGATAAGAAGGGGATGAAAGGGGGTGAAAAAAAAAAATTCGCGCTTGATCAGTTAATTTTAATTTCGTTTTGATGAAACATCTTTGCAACCTGATGGTGTACAAATTGGATATTTGAAACTTAGACTATAGAAGTGGGGATTAAAGACTTTCGGCAAAAACCCAGTTTATGTGTAAAGCTTTATTATGATTTTCTTTAGTTTTAAGATTGCATTGTTTCTAGATTTTTTAATATTTTAAAGGGATCGATATACCCTCATTAATTTTTCACTACGCCTTTCCTGAAAAATAGCATGCTATATTTTTCCAACCGATTTTTTTAATTTCAAAATATTGGAATTTTCTTGCATTGCAACTGTTTGCGACACAATCGATACAGTATTCAAGATCAGAAGATGTGCAGACTGTAATATTTATAGAATGGAGTAATATTTAGAATATAACCAGATACTAAACTTTAGATCGTTTTTAAACAAATCCCAACCCTACTCTCTAGCACTAGAATTATATCATTTTCTTCTCAATATATTTCGCCAAAAACTTTGGCATCATCAGGAGTTAGTCCTATAATATAAAAGATATAAGCAAAAAATAAAAATAAAAAATACAAACACAGCAACTATAATAAATACAGAAGAGAACAAAAATAAAAATCTTTTTTATGTAAAATGGAATTTTTCAAAATGAATATTGTCAGAACACATAAAACTTAAACGAAAAATTAGAAAACCGTACCTTACTCTTTTGAACAGTATTGAATGACTGGGAAAGGATTGACTAGTTTATGGGCGTATGCAGTGGGGGAAGGGGGGGGGGAGTGTTGAAGGGGTTAGAATTCGTCGACAAAACGGTCAAATACATGAATTCGATCAACACTATAAGGTACTAAAACCTCTCAACCCTTTGTCTGAATCTAAGCTGAGTAGAGAACCTGGAGAATAGGAGCAGTACGCTCCAGGATCTAATACAGGATAGACGTTAGAGCTTAGTTGAGTTTATCCCGCTAAGGCCTGGGGACTTGTACTTCATGGACAGCTCTCAGGATGATATATCTTACCATGACTACCAGAGGACTAAGGAGGACGCCAGCCTCCTTCCCATCCTTCAACATGAATATACATCCTCGGAATCCTCAGCATCACTAAGGATATTAGAGGACTCTCTTTCCTCTCTATCTGGATCCATGAACAAAGTTACTTGGGCCTTGTAGCAGCAAAGTGTTTATAGGACATGCAGAAGCTCCATATTCTTGAGTTGGTTCTATTGACAGGGATACCCGATATACAGAGCAGCCAATACCTCTGGACATACAGAAGCTCCACATTCTCGAGCTGGTTTTCTCGACAGAAACACCCAAGATTAGGACCAGCTAGGATACCAATATAGACCAAGGACTCCAGGTGAAGAAGAGATCATGAGGATCTACGAGGACGAAATCTATCGTCCTACAGACGTGATTGAGAAACCATGTGGTCTACAAATAAAAGTATCTGGTATCAGAGATGGAAGAAGCTGCTCGTTGCAGACAGTTCTCCATCACACCATTGTAGAAACAGCACAACCAGATGATTCTAGTACAGTGACGCCGCTCACTGCAGAGTAGCTCTGTACACATCTGTGGTAACAAAAGCTGCAGGACACATAGGAGAACTAGGATATCCAGCAGGGGTGATCAATATTGAAAATCAGCCAACCGCCCACCGGAGGTTGTTGCGTTTTTACTTTAAAAAAAATATTGTGGCAAAAAAAAATTTCAAAATCCTCCAAAGGGTTGCGATTTGACGACTTAATATTAGAAAATTCACCGTAAGGCCACAAATTTTTTTTTCATGTTTTACATCATTTTCTTGGAAATTTAATGCTGAATTCAAATCTGAAAAGCGTATTAAAAAATTGAACATTGAGTGAGTTAGAGCTAAATAATCATCAAAAACATTAACAAGTTAAAAAATCGGAATGTAGTACCGTTATTTGGCCATAACTTCTTTAAATTTTAATATTTTTAAAAGTAATAATAAAATAAAATAATGTAGTATTATTTATAGGCCTTGCGACGATTTCTCCAATATTATATCGTCAATTTGCAACCCTATGGATGATTTTGAAATTTTTTTTGGTTACAATATTTTTTTGAAAGTAAAAATGCAGTGACCTCCCGTGGGAGGTCGGCTGCTTCCTAAAAAAAAGTCACACCCTTATTATCCAGGACACATAGGAGAACCAGGATATCCAGGACACATAGGGGAACTAGGATATCCAGGACTTATAGGATAACTAGGATATCGAGGACACATAAGATAACTAGGATATCCAAGACACACAGGGGAGCTAGGACTTCCAGGATCCCGAGAACGGAGACGCCACTCATTGTGGAACTGCTCTTCACAGATCTGTTTTGGAACCACTAACGGAACCAGAGGATTCTGAGAACGGAGACGCTACTCATTGTGGAACAGCTCTCCACAGATCTATTGTAGGAATTATAGAAAAAGTTGAGGAACAAGAGATCTTGATGCAGGATACGCTGCTCTTTCTATATAGCTCTTCACGGACCAAATACCAGTCCAGCAAAGGAAGCAACTAGAATGCTGTCGAAGCATCTCAGATTGTAGGAGCAACTATGTAAATTAGCAGAGACTCCGGAACAGCCACAGTACTGTAGCAGCTGAAGATCTAAAGGAACTTATTAAAACATGAATAAACATTACAGATGTATTTAATAAATAAACTATGAAACTGATTAATCCAAATTCATTTATACTCTGAGAGATATGTATAAAGAGGTTGTTACTAAAACGAGAGTACGGGGACCTAGAGGGAAATATTTGCATAAACCCTAAACCATGGGTGCAATTGATTGATCTCGAAATCCCTAGGATTTACATTTGGCTTGTATTCGATAGAACACATTAATCATTACAACACTCCTTTTAGAAGAAAAGAAAAAACAGTTTCACTTGAAACTCCTTTTTATTAAAAGACCTTGTAAGTAGCTACGCTATGGAGGGAGAGGGTGCAGAGCCTCTCAAAATAATCTTTAAGCCTCCATATTTGCAGACGAGTATTTGAAATGACCCCTCTTAACGTTAGCATAGATATTATATAATAATAAATAACCTTTTTTTTAAAGAAAATATTTAATCTTGAAATATGCAGTGTTTTTTTTTAAATATCCAAATATTCTAGAGGATAGGAGTAACGCCATCTCATTTTAAATACTCATCTGCAAATCCAGAGGCTTGGAGACCATATCACAGGGCTCATGGAGGCCGTGCAAATTTTTTATTTCACGTTTTTTTAAACCTTTTTTAATTTACGTTTTTAAAAAATTTTTATTTCTCATTTTGATTTAGGATGACGAAGCTAGAGCCGCAGTAGGTCATGTAGTTAAACCTGTTTTTCAATGTAAAATACACGCAGAATATAGGTTTATATTTATAAATTTACTCTAATATCTAGCTTGATGTGGTCTCGAACTACTGGAGTGGGTGTGTCCCTAGGGTGTGTCCTAGGAGCAGTATGTTCTATTTCCTGTTGGCTCATTCATGCTTCAACATACCCTGGCGGACTCTCTGATTTTATAGCAAACACAGGTACAGTACACACAGAACAGTACATATATTACAGTGCATACAGTACTGTACATACAGTACAGTACTGACAGTACAGTACTGATAAAAATAATGAATGAGTATAGTACGCATTACTCTTACTAGAAGAAGATGATTCATTTTGTGTACTGTCCCATATTGCCGTCTTTAGTCTGTATGTGTACTGTACAGCTTGCGTGCTTAGTTTTACATTTCAATATATGTTTACAATCAGACTTTGTTCAGTAGGAAGTTCATACTTTTTAAACTGTTAAAAACATTTTGATTAAGGTCGAGGTTTGCCTATGTTGACCGGGAATGTAATTGCTATAATAGCTGGAGGTGTTATCTGTTCTACTGTCAGCTTCTTCACCTCTACTCCAGTATATAATATACATCTATACAGCTCAGCTCTTTTAAATAGAAATAGTTTAATCTGGATACAATTAGTTAAACTAATACTCTGATTGGCTAAAGCTCAGAGATTGGACCAATAAGAAATCAGTAAATTAAAATTAGCTGATTCTTTCAAATATTCACAATTTAATCTAACAAGTTAAGCTCCTTAATTTTAAAGTTTCTACCGAGCTTATGAAAATGTTTACATTAATTTCATTCCAATCAATTTTCAGCTTAAGTAATTTCAAAGTGTTTTTTACCAAAGGTTGATAAATGCCGATTTTTTAATAATTTAATAATGTTTGATTAATTAGGAAACTGATCAAGTAGATTGGAATGAGACTAGAGACATAGACAATCCTCTTAAACCATGGACACAGATATACAAGGTTTAGACACAGACATAGACAATTCTCTTAAACCATGGACACAGATATACAAGGTAGACACAGACATAGACAATCCTCTTAAACCATGGACACAGATATACAAGGTTTAGACATATACATAGACAATCCTCTTAAACCATGGACACAGATATACAAAATTTAGACACAGACATAGACAACACATGCAAACTACGGATATAGACAAAGTTTAGACATAGACAACAAACTTAGACATTAGACATATGCGTATAATACAAGGTTTAGACATAGACAACAAATTTAGACATTAGACATATGCGTATAATACAAGGTTTAGACATTAGACATATGCGTATAATACAAGGTTTAGATATAGACAACAAACTTAGACATTAGACATATGCGTATAATACAAGGCTTAGACATAGACAACAAACTAAGACATTAGACATATGCGTATAATACAAGGCTTAGACATAGACAACAAACTAAGACATTAGACATATGTTATAATGCAAGGTTTAGACATAGACAACAAACTAAGACATTATTGTTGACACAAATAAAAGAACAACAGGGATATTCGGTAACTTTATTGAATAATAGCATGAAATGAGAAATAAAAGCAAAGTTTAAAAATATTGGCCCTTAATTGGGAGTATCTAAACGGTTGAAAATGAAATAACATTGATTATTAGTGTTGAAAGGAATGGAACAGTTGGAGCTTCATGTTGGTGGAGCAGATCAACAGGAACTGAAACAGCAGGGCTTATCCAACCTAGTAGGCAGTGATCGCGGTTTTATCATGAGGTGGAGCTTCATGTTGTCTCTGGTTTACATGATAAACTAGGAACCCTTCGGGTAAGCACGTCTGCTGCTTACTGAGTATCTGGACTATCATCATAAAGGAGTTAGTAGTTCCTGATCGGAGGTGTTCACATCTCGACATTCTAAAGCTAACTGACGCTGTTCTCCACAAGTAGAGGCGGTAAGGGGGGGGGGGACATGAGGAGACACATTTGGAGCGGATATAGTATTATGTATTGTGAATTGTGCGCGGTCAACTTCGCTACACAGTAGTAATCGTCTTCGTGTTTTCTTGAATTTGTTAACAATTAGACATATGCGTATAATACAAGGCTTAGACATAGACAACAAACTAAGACATTAGACATATGCGTATAATACAAGGTTTAGACATAGACAACAAAGTAAGACATTAGACATATGCGTATAATACAAGGTTTAGACATAGACAACAAACTTAGACATTAGACATATGCGTATAATACAAGGTTTAGACATAGACAAAGGCATGAACTTTAAACATACATATATAATTATACAACTTGTGCACTCTAATTATGATTAATCCATGATTGATAATGATCTTATTTATGAAATCAATGAACTATTTCCTGTTTTGCCTAATTTTCATAAATAAACTATTTTAGACAGAATTGAATCTGAAACCTACCGGAAGATACCATGATCGTCCTTCACTCGAGACGTAAGTGGAAAGATACAGGGAAAGATGCCTTCCGAATCAGGTTTTTAACTGTTGCTACTAGTGTGCTTGGTACGCGGGTTTCGGACAATCCTGATTTCGGAGGACACCTTTCCCTGAGCGAAGACTAAAGATACGTAATGTTCTCTATTTCTAACATTTGTCAGTTTTTACAATGTGGGGAAATAAATTGACGTCTTTTACGAGAGAGGGGTCGCAGAGCCCCCATGAGCCACGCAAACTTACCTCCAGAGCCTCCTGTTACTAAAAATGGCCTTCTAGCCAGTCAAAATCGTCTCCATAGCCTCATGCTACGTACACCAGGCTTGTCACGTCCAGCAATCTGACATCCAATATCAATTTTTTGGCCTTAACATCAGAAAAAAGACTTTGTATTAATTTGCATTAAAAAGTGTACTTTTATTGAGATAATTGTTTATTTTTTTTTTTAATTTTAAAAATTCTAAACTTGTACATAACTATAATTGCAAATATTATATCATTTCACGGGTGCATGATGTACAAATCTAACTATACTACCACCAATTCACAAAACATAATAATTTTTGTGAAATACTTAAATTTGTGCTTTTATTTTATTTCTTTATTCAAGTATTTCACCAAAACTCTGATGTTTTCTGATTCTCACTGTATATATATTCCAGAGTTTTCTGATTCTCACTGTATATATATTCCAGAGTTTTCTGATTCTCAAGGGACCCCCCTGACGTTTTTTGGAGAAAAATCTAAAGGCATCGATTTGAGACTGTTCAAATTTTTGACTATTCGAACTAACACATGCCCCTGATGTTAGGCTCAAGATGGGGCTTTTATACCTACTGCCTAAGTCATAAAATTGTACCTTTTTCATTGAAAGATAAGCTCTTTATTCTAAAATTATCACTATTAATAATGATTTTGTGGGACACAATACTGAGTTGACACTTGTGATGTAAGAATACAGCTGTATTGAGAGTGTACAAATACTACGTTGCCATCTATTAAACAATCTATTTGCACTCCACAATCTACATGGCCGACTGGGAACAAAATCTGGGACTTTTCTGACTTGGATCTTATTCTATATAAAACATAAAACTAAAGAATTCGCGAAGTTTAAGTTTATAACTTAAAATTTCTAAAAAATAATGAATTTGGGGTTAAATTATACATAATCCCTGACTCATGTATTACACCATAAAAATGGTTTATATGAATATGCAAACGCTGCATAATTTTGTACAGAATCATGATCGATTGATATAAAATAATTAAGATATTACAACGTTTTCCTGGAGGTAAATATTTAACTCGTCGATTTTAGTGAGTTAAATATAAAGTTAAGTTTCATTTAAGTCATGAGCGACATTTATGCTGAAACTTAAGTCTTAACTTTTTGTTATTTTGGTTTGGACTAGCTGGGGATTATTTAGGTTTGAGGAAGTTTATGGTCAAGAGAAACGGATAGCTTGGATCCTGGGTGGAGGAATATCTTTTATTATGGTTTTTGTCTGGCCACTGCTTATGCTTGAATCAGTAGTGCAAGATCAATGTAAGTTTAATCCATAGATTAATAACAATAACAGATAGAATACTAGATTTCGTCTTTTCAAGATTTAGGGTTTTTTCGTTCATAATAACCCTGAGGCAGAAGCCCAAAGGAGTTCCGCGCAGGCAGATTTGAATTATAAGACAGCTAGAAAGCATGCGCTGCCTGCGCGGAACTCCTTTGTTCCAATAAATCTTGAAAAGACGACATCTAGTGTTCAATCTGTGTTGTTGCTTTCTACTGTAGTTCAAAGCTAATTAAAGGGACATGTAGTCTTGATTAAGTCTGTTAATAAAGTGACCCGATTTAAAACGGGACACTTAATAGCTTTGTATTTGTATATGATTAAAAATAAAATCCATTTGTGCTGTGTGCCCATTCCCTGGGTGTGTCCTATTAATAGTTATTTATTTTGATTATGATTTCTCTACATAACTTGTTTGCGCAAAATGACGATGGCACGTCCGAATCACAGCGGTACCCTGAACAGTTTTCTCAATCAAAAATCCATAAGTTCTCTTTAAATAATTGGTTATTTTCCATTTTGGTCTCGCTAATAAAGTGACTTTTTTGCTACAAAAACAATGGAGGATTCAGTTAGATGGAAACACTATACAAAGACGATAACTCCCCAACAAAGGGTACCGTTGTGAATCGGATTTCGCCCTCTTAAAATGGAGGGTTACTTGAAATTACTAAGACAGTTCCTTTAATAATTTTTTTTAATTTACAAAGTAAAAATTATGTTGAATTATATAAGATAAAAAGGATTGTTTTTGGTCCGTTTTTAGCTGAAATCCTCTGTGAAGGTCAAAATAATCTTCTCAGATTTGTGTGGAATCTTTTAAATGTCCAAAAAGTTAAAAGTTTTTGCCCATCATGCCTAGGGTGTACATAATTGAATAGTGTAAATATTGCAGTACGGTTTCTGGTGTGGACTGGTGTCTCACAGGCCTGGACTTTCGGAGCCACATTCTACATCATTGTTGTACCTTTTGTAGAGGAGGTAATTATAAAGACACTTGAGATGTGGGAAGGGGGTTACTTTCTCTTAAAATTTTGTATGTTTCTGCTTAAAATGTTTAATTGTCTCAAAAAATATGAATTTGTAAAATTTTAAGTGTTAGTTAAAAAGCCAGACAAATTTTTGTGCTGTTATTGGAAAAAAAGGATAATTTTTTAAAGAAAGTGTTTACCTTTTTTGTAAGATTTAATATTTAATGGGAAATTTTGCCATTTTGCAAAACACATTTATATAATTTTGGATGAGAGAACTTTAGTAGAATTCTAAATAACTTTCCTTAATTAAAACTGATAGTCAATGTTATTTTTTTTTTCATTTAAGCTTCAATCTGCATTAATCCACGATCTTGCACTTTGCAGAGATATAACCTGATACTACCAAATGTCCGAATCTAGAGTCTTTTTACTTAATCTTTATAACACATGTTTACAATTGTTTTTGCCCTCTTTAAAATAAAAAAATTAGCGGAAAAGATATTTATACTTTTATATACAAAATTATAAAAAGTAAATACGAAAAATTTACATTAAAAGGATAAAAATGGGTTCTAAAGTCAATGCACAATTTTAAGCAGAAAATTTTCGCAAAAATTTTCTTGCGTTTTTTTGCGAAATTAAAATTTATGAAAGGAAGCGAAATCTATGCGGAATTTCGTAAAAAAATAAAACAAATGTGCGACAATTTTTTGCATTTTTTTTCCCCGCGAAACAGATAACCGCAAAATGTTGTTTTTACGAACGGAATGGAAAATAACTTGAGAGACGACTGTAGTGAATTTTTACTGTCTGTTTCCTTATATTCATGATTTCCTGCAACTGTAAACTTATTTCTTTCTTTCCCCAAATCCTAGAATAAGACATAAAAATGCAATTCAAAGGCAGAAGACTTAAGTTAAACTTGGGATCGTTACATTTTAGGAGTTTCCAGTCGTCTTGGCAGTCTCATATTTTGTGGGTTTCCCTGTATACAATATATTCTATACATGGTTATTGGTTAGGTTTAAAGAATATTTGCAAGTTGTGAAAAATAGTAAAATATTGTCGACAGATGGTTCATTTATTAATATTATGACTTAGAAAACCCACAGAATTGCAGATATATGTCTAGCAGATAACAATATTCATTTCTATCAAAGGGACTGTACGGGTAATTTCTAATGACCCTCCATGTTAAAATGGCAATGCCCGATTCACAACGGTAGCCCGGAAAGCTTTTCCCGATAAAGTATCAATTAGAAATCACTGTTTATAATTTTGATAACAAATAATTTTCAATTTTGCTTTCTCTACAAAAGTGACTTGCACATTTCTACTGCAGGAAAACGCATAGGAATTGTCAGAGTTAAAACACTTTTAAATCTAGAAAAACGACAATATCTTCCACATTAGTGATCACACATAAAAGTGTCAAGTGAATAACCAGAACTGGGTCACTTCAAATTACGCTTACAAAAAAAATACGTGAAAACAATATATTTAATTAAAAACTTATGATTTTAAGGTTTTAAAAAAATCATACAGGGGACCCTTTATCAAATGCACACCATGTTTGGCTCAAATCCAAGTCTGTTTTTATTGGTTAAGATTAAAAATTGTTCTTTTAAGAGAACTGAACTATGAGTTTGTTATCTTTACAACCTGATGCTGTAAACAGTTTGCCAATCAGATATAGCACAAGTTATAATTGGAAAAATTGGAAAAAATTGGATAAACTTGAGGAAATTAGCACATATTCAGTTCTTCTACAGTTTCTCCCAATGTTTTTTTTTTTTCTCAGTAAAATCTCAAAAAAATTGAAGTTATGTGACAAATCTATAATTTCCTTTAAAGTCGTTCCCCTCCCTCGATCCTAACAATAGTTTCCCACTCAATCTATCTTAAAGGGAGCGTTCGCAAAAAATAAAGTATTATAATCGCTACTAATTTTAACTCTATATATAGAAGTAGAATTAGTAGCCATTGATAATGAATTAAATTCGATATCAGCCTATACCCCATTATATTTTTCGCGAACACTCCCTTTAATAAGCTGTTTTAAAGGACCCCCATTCATATTCTCCTCTAAAGCTCCAGGTTAAATATAATTTGTTCAGGTAATTGAGGTTTATGGACAGTATAAGAAGAAAAAAGAAGAGAATCGAGCCGGAGTTATTACTCCGTTCATAAACTGAATTCACGAACGAGCTATTATTTCTTGTTTCATGAAATATAAGATATAACAGTGAATGTTTTTTAAATTTATATCTAAGATTGTTTGCAGAATAGGCAAATATTAAAGTTTATTATTATTATTATTATTATTATTATTATTATTATTTTTATTATTATTATTATTATTATTATTATTATTATTATTATTATTTTTATAACAATAATCAAGTTTTTATGATGTTGCTACAAAGCAAAAGTTTTTATGATGTTACAAAGCAAAAAGTTGAGGGAAAAAAGATGAGGGATGGAACCCCCGGACGCCATGAGCCTCTGCTATGCAGACAAGAGCCTCCCAGATTTGCTATGAAGACCTAGTCTCAGCTTGCAGCATGCACAATACAACATAATGTGCCTGTTTAATACAGGTTTTTTTTAAACTTGTGCTTTAAGTTTAAACAAAAGATTTTTCGACATAGTGGCATTAGATGTTTTTCAAAGATGAGAAGTATTTATCAATTATCATAAATAGAACCTAATTATGACTAAAAAAGTGGTATATAAAACTTTACTTACACAAAAAGGAAAATATTTAGAGATAAAAATTTCAAATGAATTTCATTTCATCTTTTATAATCTTGGTTTAAACCATACCCTTTTTAGTAGTTCAAATTAAATCTAGAAAATTTGTATCATGTAGAGGAAGAAATCCCGAAAGAGGATTATGAAATCCGCAAATCAGTAGTGTCGGATCCTGGAACCAGAGGAACACTCATCTTCCTCTCCTTTATTAGACACGTTTTTTATCATGTATTTTTTATGTAGAAGCAATAAATGTACGTCTAAAGTGGTGACCCCAGACAACAAACAAACCATGGCCGAAAACACTGCAGCCTCCTGGTCGGAAACAGCTCAAGAATTGGACGAGGATAACAAAGGCGGTTTTAGGATTAAGATAGGGTAAAAATATATTTGCACAGAGGTCGAATTTTTTTTTACCCCTCCCCATATTAATTTTGTCCCCCCCCCCCCGTAATCTTATAAAAAGAAATTCCCTCCCCCCCCGCTCTTTTGCTAAAAAGTTCTTTTTACCGCCCTAACCCTACAAAAATAACAGTTTCTTTATAGTACAAGGTAGGCAAATGTCTTGATAATCCATTTTTTACATTTATTTTTGAATATTGGTTTTAAAAAATTTGATTACAAAATTGCAAAAATAATGATATGATAGAAGCTTCTGGTTTTTTATGTCTCTATTTTTCTTCAAATCTCTATTTTTATTTTTATTGTTTTGTATCATTGAACTAATGTTTGCTGATTTTGAAAAAAAAGATAATCCATTCATTTTCTAAAAATGATTATTCTAATGAAGGGAGAATTATTTCTTATTTCCTGCTATTATTCTTAAATCAATTTAATTTTTCTTGCAGGAGACTCCAAGTAGTTTTTATGTCTATTTTCAGAGTTAAAAATAACCAAAAGAAGGCTGAAAGTAAATAAAGGAATTTTTGTTCAAAATAAAAAAATTAAAAATATCCTTCTTCATTCCAATCTACAATAATTTTGTTCTCTTGGGCCGCTTGAATTAAAGGCTTTAAAACACTGATGTCCGAAATTGAGGCAAGCCTCTTTGGGTGCATCGCCATTCTTCCCAGATTAACCAACCTGTCGGTGGTAATAGATGACCTGTTCATTTAAAATTCGGTGATGGTGATGGACCAAACCTCTGGAGAGTAAAAAAAGTAGATGTTAGTTCCACATTTATTTAAAATATATAATTGACCCTCGTCAGTTCTTGAGCAATCTCAAGAACTGACGAGGGTCAACCCAGACACAAAGATTAAAAACAAACTGACCTGTTCAATCAGAGTATTAAGCAATATTTACATCACAAAGTTTCAGTGGTCGATAATAACTTTATACATTTTGAATAATGCGTATATTCCTGATATGCCGAGTACAGCATATCGGAAAACTTGGGTTATTTTGTAATTTACAAAAAGCATCAAAACTGGCCATCGCAAATGGCTATGTGTCCGAAAATATGTCGAGATGGGTATGAAAAAATTCGTCTTCTACGCGGTAACAGTTTGTAAAAATATTCAAACATGCGATCTAGGATCATTAAAGTGGATACAATTAGGAAAATCACAAAATTCCCTAGTTTTTCAGCTCCAATTAGGCTATTACTCATTTTTTTGTAAAATGGTTTTTCCGTTAAATATGGCCATATCGACATATTTTTTAAAAAAAAACACTCTTACTAGCGTTATTTTATCACAAAAGGCCATTTGCTATTGTCAATTTTGATTTTATCAAAAAATGTCTTTTGTAAATTTTTCTTAGAATTAAAAAATACATTAGTATTTATTACTTGAAAATGTTCCTCTCAAATTGGTGAAAAATTATTCACTCCTAAAATATATTTTTATTTTTACAGTGTGATCACTTTCAAGTAAACTTTATCATTTATATACATATATAAATAATAATTACAGTTTTAATGAAAAATAACTTTGTAAAAATCCAGAGGGGGTACAACCCCCACCTAATTTCACCCAGGGGGGGGGGGGTAATGGTATGCCCACCTCAAACCGGCTAAGTAACAATGCACATTCGGCTTTTTTCCAGTTTTTCCTCAAAATTTAGTTTACTTTGGTTAACAGGTTACAGAACATATGATTACCCACAAAGGAAAAAAGAAGATTATAGTTTTTTTAACTGATAGTTCCCTAGCTTAATACTTTTTTGGTCAAATCATTCTTGTTTAAAAAAACTTTTAAAACTATTTTTAAAGACTGCAATCCGCCCCTGGATACAGATCGTCCTTAATATACATTATTGATATCAAAATTTTGAATATTTATAATTATTTTTGATAATGACAATTACATATATTATCATACTCACAGCTCTCACAGCTATAGCTCGAATCACACATACCTTATATGTATATACATAATATATACACACTTTTCAGAGGCCAGACACTTTTCTGAACTCTGTAGAGTAAGCCAGAGGACTTGTACTCATTGCCTTTCCAAACTACAATATCAATGACCTTAACGTTTTTAGATGATTCCGTGATATTTCTGATCTGCAGTTTTAAACCATGTAATCATAAAAATTATAAATGTACCACATTAAGTATGTCATATTAATATTCTTGATGTGGTTCAAAAGGCCGGAACATTAAAAACTAGTTATGTTTAATAATTGCTCATTTGTAAAGATCGGACCCAATAATCATACAATTGAAATGGTTGAAGAAGTCCTGTTATATTCTATTCCCCCGTGTGATAAGATAGTTGCTCCAGACATCGTATGGTGGCGCTGGCATCGCAGCATTTTCTCCCTCGTATTTTGTCTGATACGTGCTTCGGGGGAAAATATATAAATATATTATTTTGACACACTTTCACAATAAAAGGGTAAAATAATGTCTAGAAATTTGCAAATTGAAATTTAATAAAATTTACCCCTAACCGGCTGGAAGCTAAGCCTAAAGAAGTTTAAGCAGCTTCACTAGTCAGTTGAATTCTACTGAACCTGTGGCTTGTTACTGGTTGTTAAAGCACAATTCAGGCAGGAAGTACGGTTCCTGATACTTGTGTTTCATGTCTGCATACCCTCCTCATCCTTCCCTCCATTCACTTTTACAAGAAAATCCTTGAAAACAAGGATTTAAGGTAAAAATAGAAAGAAATTAGTTTGGAGGTCGGATGGGGTTACTGACCTACATCTGCACACACGGTTTTATTTTTAACTCTTGTCATTAATAAACTAAGTTATTAAAGTTATCTATGAAGTTAAGAAATTTAGAATACATCTTAACAGTATTTAATATATCAACTACGAATTGTTCAAGCCATTAAATATCAATTAGTTCTTAAATTTGAGTGAAATACTGTAATGGGATATCAGCTGTGTTTAGAGAACATACTCTTCATGCGTTGCAACTTAATTATTTATCTTTGTATCTTAGCAGGGTCCGTCCTAGAGAACGATTTATGTATCCTTGTATCCAAGTATCCTTGTAATCTGGTATCCCTGTATCCTTGTATCCAAGTATCCTTGTAATCTGGTATCCCTGTATCCTTGTATCCAAGTATCCTTGTAATATGATATCCCTGTATCCTTGTATCCAAGCATCCTTGCAATCTGGTATCCCTGTATCCAAGTATCCTTGTAATCTGGTATCCAGCATCCTTGTATCTTCGTTCCTTTTATCCTGATATCCTTTTATCCTGTTATTCTTTTATCCTGGTATCCTTATATCCTGGTATCCTTATATCCTGGTATCCTTATATCCTGGTATCCTTATATCCTGTTATCGATTTATCCTGGCATCTTTTATCATATTTTACACTGCATCTTGCAATGGTATCATAGCATAATTTAATATTCTATGATTATAGTACAGTATTCAATAGCTAAAATATTACATATTTTAGCAATTTTTGTATGAATTTCAAGATAATTAATGAAAATAATGATAATATTTATTGTGCATCTCCCTTCGGTTTTATGTTTTTATTCAAATTTATTTTTTGTTTTGTTGGTTTTCTTGTTCTTGCTGACTGTTTGTCACCATTTTCTTTTTCCAATGGGACTGACCCCCCTCACTGCTTGAGCTCTAACAATTTATTAAAATATTAAAAAAGATAAATTTATTTTAATTTATTAAAGGTAGTACCTCTTCAGAGATTTGTCTGACATTAGTTCTTCTGCTTTGAACTCCTTAAAAGAGTTAAAAGAATTTAAAGCCGAGATTGCATTGTTATAAAAAAGTTTAATTAGATCAAAAAAGAATATTCAATTTAAATAGTTACTCACTGAAATCTTTTTGGATTAATACAAACTAATTCTACTTAAAAAAATATTTTTGCTTATTAAAATTTAAAAATAATAAAAAATTCAAGGAATATTTTTGATACCAATCGTGATTAAACATTTTATTATTGTCATTATTAAATTTACCCAACCAAAAAAACATTGTTATTCAAAGAAATATATTAAATATTCTTCTTTATAATTTTATTAAAAAACAGCATCTTGGACATAAATAAAGATAAGTTTTGAAAAATAAAATTTTTGAATATAAGCACAGTAAAGTTATAATCATCACTAGAAAGAGAATTGCGCGATGCGCTCTGGAAATTGCTTTACATCACAACTTACTTTTTATCAAACAAAACATAACAATTTTTTTACCCAAGTCCTTTTTTGACCCAAGTCCTTTCTAGCAGAAATCTTTGCAATAGTTTTCTATGAGAGTTTGCAGTATACACTGGCAACACATTGGTGTCTAGACGACTGTACTTGTGAATGGATTTGAAAGTTTATCGGATAATATTATATCAGTTGGTTTAATTTAGAACAACTTGCACAATAACTGAACTACGTGTCAGAAAATTGCAAATATTAAAAGAGGTAAAGAGAGGGGTAGTGGTCGGGAAGTAACACAAAAGAATCTCTCTATTTTTTTGTTTACAGGAATGGAATTGATATTTTCTTTAAACTTTAAATTGTATTACTTTAAAATTCAATCACAACATTTCAAATCAGATTAGCAAAATGTGTCTCTTAGTTGGAGGGGGGGGGGCGTCAACTTTAATCCCCCCCCCCCCCTACAATCCTCTCATGCTACACATTATTATTAATATTTAGCTAAAATACCTATATTTTGCGGTTCTTGCTCTGTGGAGGGGGGAGGGGGCGTCAACTTTAATCCCCCCCCCCCCCTACAATCCTCTCATGCTACACATTATTATTAATATTTAGCTAAAATACCTAAATTTTGCGGTTCTCGATCTGTGGAAGAATTTTCATCAGATCTATATAGTTTAAAAAAAATTAATTATTTTCAAGATCTTCATCATTTTTATGTTCAACCTAAAGTATTAAAAAAATACTCTAGCCGCTAGCTGAGCTTAAAAATTAATTGGGCTTTCCTTGAAAATTGGCCCCCCCCTTCCTCAGATAAACTATTTTTTCTTTCCTGCCCCCCTCCCCCCCCCCTCACTAACCAGTTTAGGGTTATGAATAAGAGAGTGCCGAATTCGAAGTGCTATCGTTGATATGCCATGATTCTATGATTTTTTAGGACCACCCCAGTAGGGCATTTCAGAAATTTATAGGTAGATCTGAAATCTTTCTCACCTATCATCATTTCTTGTTTGCACTGACAGATTGATTGGCGAATTTTGGCTGAAACAAGTGAAAGGATTTTTTTAATTCAGAAATTTCGATTTTTCATTGATAACATTACAAGCAATATAAAAACTGAATGAAACCATCTCAGTTTCGGCAATAGGTTTTAATTTTTGTAAATATTTCGCTATGTCGAATTTTTATATCGAATAATGTAGCTCGTAACATTTGTGCTTAAAATTGTACCTTCTGATTCTGGATAAAGAAATATCTCCACACTGCACAGTCCCTCCGTACATGTTCTGCGCAAATATAAGGCTATGGATAAAATAGAAGTACAATTATTGTTTATTCTGATCAAAAATGTTCCTAATACCCAGATATTAATTTAGCTGGTAAAAAAATGCTTTTGACACAATTCACTTAGGCTCTTAGGAAAAGTTTCCCTCTGTCTGAATTTAAGGGTGTGTTCCTCATTGCAAATATTGGCAGAGTTGGCTGGGGGGGGGGGAACATCAACCCCCCATTGAAAAAAATAGGAGCGCAAGAACAGAGAGCGGCCCTTAAATTTTTATTTTAATATTTTTCATGAAAATTTAAATATTGCTAACACATTTTCCACCTTCCAAGCCCAAGCTATTCTATTATCCCCCCCCCCCATGGAAAATATCACAAGCCGCCCCTGAATATAGGGGCACTTTTAAAGGAATACTCCTTTTAAAAATCCATTAGCAAATGAAAATACCTGTGATCCAAACATTTGTATTAGTTGCAAACTTGTGGAAGAAAACCTCCTGAATAATAAAAAATTTAAAATAACATTTGAATTTTTTATTATTACCAAACCTGTTATTCCAAGTATGTGCTGGGTCCCAACCATTAGCCATATTGGGATTGGGAACATGTTGGGGGGCATCTGAATGTCCATTAAACCTTATATCTTCCCTGCTTTGTGTTCGCACAGAAGACCTGAAAATGTTTCTTCTTCATTAATCAACTAGGGCCTTAGCTAAGTTTCTCCTTCTTCATTTGTTCTTAACCGAAAGGTTCCAAAATTATAATTAATGATTCTCTAAGATCTCTAGTTGATCGCTTAACTTTCTTGAATTTTCAAAAAAATAAGAGAAATTTCGCTTATTAAATACAAAAATTATTGCACTGCGTTAACCTTACCTGAAGGGATTACAAAGCCATGATGTAGTTGTTCTGTTATCTCTGCAATTATCTACAGTCTCGATTTGGCCATTTTCTGTTCCATTTTGTCGGTGAAAACCATTTTGTGGCGGACCATGTTGTTGGCTGGCAACTCCATCGAGAACTTCCTGAATCAAGAGTGAATATAGAACAAACTACATTTTATCTTGTAACCCTTCTTTAAATAACCCTTGGGTAAAACATTACATCCTAATTAAATGTGCAAAACTCAAATTTAAAGTCTGAGCAGTGGATTTCGAGTTATGTTGCTGTAGCTAAGTGTATCCTGCTCAAATTTAAAGTCTGAGCAGTGGATTTCTAGTTATGTTGCTGTAGCTAAGTGTATCCTGCTCAAATTTAAAGTCTGAGCAGTGGATTTCTAGTTATGTTGCTGTATCTAAGTGTATCATGTTCAAATTTAAAGTCTGAGCAGTGGATTTCTAGTTATGTTGCTGTATCTAAGTGTATCCTGCTCAAATTTAAAGTCTGAGCAGTGGATTTCTAGTTATGTTGCTGTATCTAAGTGTATCTAAGTGTATCCTGTTCAAAAGTTTTGACCAGAGATTAGTAGATTAAAAAATTTAGGCTGTGCTCCACAGCATAAATTAAATCACCAGGGTGGAAGGGTAATTAGCTTAGCATTTTTTACCTCTGCTTATACAGGGTGTCCCAATAAACATGGGAATTCAGTGACGAATTCAATGTCGTCTTTTAAAATAATTCTTTGATTTAGTATAGTGATACCTACTGAGAAAGCTGTAATCTGTAAGAGTTTCGTCTGCTATGTTCACATTTTGTTTGTTTATGCTTTGACTGCATACGGGTGTACTTAGTAAAACAAGAAAATTGCAGTAAACTAACATAGTAAACTTGTATAGTCTTTACTGTTCATCATGTGGAGACATTATTGACACATCTTTTCAGTCTTTTACCCTTTCATAAAATAAACTCTAGCAGACATAATAATATTATCGCTTTTGTAATCAGGTGTTACAATGCTAATTCATAATAAAGACGATATCAAATTTGTCACTGAATTCCCATGTTTTTGGGACACCCTGTACCTTAAAAAGTTGGTTTCTTATAGTGTCCGGACTTTGATTTGGCTGCCAGTTAGAGTCCTCAGCATCTGTTATAAATAAGGAAAATTTATGTTTCCACGAAAATATTATTTTTTTTAAATAATAAGAAAATAATTTAATTTTTCAAGGAAATTATTTATAATTTTTAGCTCTAGTTCACTTTTCTATTTGGATTGAAGCATAGACATTTTACCTACTCTTTGCTCTACCACTTTTTCAATCAGAGTTTGTGTCGTAAAATGGAGTTTACTTTGGCCATTTCTGAAATTATTATTTGATAAAAACAGTTCAAAATGCGATGAAATGATTTAAAAAATTCACCTTCCATTTGTATAATGTCCATTACTTCCTCGTGTCATCTTTCAAAAGTATCGAGCTCTCATTAAAAAGTACATCCTAATAGTTATTTTTTTATCAAATATGTGAAAATAAAATATCAAGATTTTAAAGATTTTTTTTTCTTTATTCTTGACAAGGCCAAATATTTAGTTTAATATAACTTAACATTTTTAAGAAAATATGAAAAATTTACCTTTACAATATTCTGTTTTATTGTTTGTTTTCTTGTAGTTTAATTCTGAAGTGAGAATAATTCTAAAATAGAGTTATCCACCCCTCTACTAAGGGCAAACAAATTATTTTTTAAAAAATCAGTTCCCAAATCCTGTTTTCGAAAATCAAAAGCCGCCCCCCACAATTTTGATGTTTTTTATGTTTTTTTTTCAAAATGTACTCCTAAAGATTAAATTTCTTTAACTAATGATATAAATTAAAAAAGTATCCAGTTCCTTTTTATATATCTATTTTTTTCAAATTATAAATCGGCCAGTGAACAATTCGTTTTAAATTCTGTCAGCTGTTTTTAACCCATCTCCACTAGAAAGCAACAGATTAAATATGTTTTGACCAAAAATTACAAAAACTCCAATTGTATTTTCATAATTTAATAATTGTTTATAATAGCTTATTGTTTGTTTTATAGACTGAACAGAATTCACTGGTTGTTTTTTGCTATCTTGTACTTTACTGGGAGAGCAAACTACTGANGCTGCAATTTATATTCAACTTAGCAACCATATTCAGAGAAATGTGAGAGAAGAATTAAAAGAAAGTTTTGTTTTGGGAGAATTCTTCGTGTTGGCAAATTTTGTTAATTTGGGGATAAGTTTTTTTTGTTACTATGTGAGCATTTCATGAAAAACTTGAATTAATTTAGCATTTAGCGAACAATGGAGGCTTTAAATGAGGGGGGGGGGATGTTACAGCGCAATTTTACAAGAAAATTGAAGTGATGTTTTAAGAAAAAGTATAAATATAATTTTTCGTTCATTCAAAAGTTTCTTTCTTAGTTTTTCCTCAAAATAATGTTGCATGAATAGTCCTTCTCTGGAACTATTTTACTAAAATATAAAATATAAGATAAAAAAATCTAACAATAGCTCTCTTTGAAATTAGTTAAAATAGACTTTAAAAATAGAAAGTTAATTTAGTAAAATATATTTCCTAGCTCTGGGGGTTGCGCGGAGTAATATTTCGGTTGGACATAAATTGCGTGAAAAATAAAAAATGTTGTTAACCATGCATAAAAAGATTTTTTAAATACCATGGGTTTGTGATCTCAACCAAATGAATTAAAGTTAAACAGTTTTAAGCCATGAAATGTATCCCTTCAACTGTAGAAACTCCATGTTTTGACCCAGTTTTCTAGGCGTGCGAAATAATTGCAAGTGCAACTGCAGCTGCGCAGATTTGCAGCTAGCGCCATCTTTCTCCAGGCCCAGCTGCAGTTACTGTTTAACCCTCAACAATCCTCGTGTATCCAATACTTTCAAGTTAAATGAGAAAATGGCCGAAACTTTCATCTGAAAATACGCGAAACCAGTTTTTACAATACTGTACACTGTTGTACGGACATGATTTTATTCAGATATACGCCAGAAGTTTCATTGGAAAAGATTCAATTTGATTTCATGCAATTTTCTTATGAAGAAAAGACAAAGAGAAATCAATAGCTGAAACGATATAATACAAAGAGTACGAAAAATAACATTATTATTATATAATATATTTAAATGTTAATAAAAAATTTATCTTAAAAGTCATCAATATTTTCACACAGGAATTAATAATGTATTTTTGAAAAAAAACGAGAGAAAATTTTAAATTCGGATTTATTGATATTTTTCCGTATTAACGATCTAAACCATTAAATCGTAATAATATTCAAGGATTCCTATATTATAAGAAAATCATGTATTATGAAATACACGTATTTTCAATCTCTTTAAAAAAAAATTATGGAACGATCATAATATCTAATATGTTTCAGATTTGGAGGATTTTCTCAATGTGGTGTACTGTCTATGAATGATTTAAGATGCGGGATTGTTGGGAAAGCCAGAAAAGGTATTTTTTATTTAGTTTAATTTAATTAATTTGTTCTTTGCTGTACGCGACTAAATAATCCTGAATTAACTGAACAATTTGCTGTGCAGCTGTACTACTGAAATATTGTACTATAATGTTGTACTACTTTAATGTTGTACTATGATGTTGTACTACTTTAATGTTGTACTATGATGTTGTACTACTTTAATGTTGTACTATGATGTTGTACTACTTTAATGTTGTACTACTGTTATGTTGTACTATAATGTTTTACTACTGTAATGCTGTACTACTTTAATGTTGTACTACTTTAATGTTGTACTACAATGTTGTAATACTTTAATGTTGTACTACTTTAATGCTGTACTACCTAAATGCTGTACTACTTTAATGTTGTACTACTTTAATACTGTACTACCTAAATACTGTACTACATTAATGTTGTACTACTTAAATGTTGTACTACTTTAATGCTGTACTACCTAAATGCTGTACTACATTAATGTTGTATTACTTTAATGTTGTAATGCTTTACTGATTTGTTATAAGTTGTCCAGCTTTACATTTGTACTGCTTAGATTTTGTACTATTGTACATAGTTCTCCATTATAAATTAAATCCATATTGAACATAATTAATTTTGGAATTATTTTGAGTTGTTATCGCTGTGAATTTTAACGTTAGGGGACGCGAAAAAAAAAATAAAATAAAAAAGTCTTCATTGTTTCTGAAGAATATTTACAAATCATATATTTTTTTATATATATTATTTTCCTAAGGTCTGAAATGTATAATAACGCATTTCTCTCCACTAAACCCAAATAATTGATAAAGATAAATTTTTAGGCCTCAATCTATAGGCCGATCCTAATGCATCTGAGGCCACTGACCTGAGACCATTTTCATAAGCTCTTAACATTTTTGTAAAATGGTTGTAAAATTTTTAAGTGTGCGCAAACCCCCCCTTCCCTTCCCACATTATGTTTTAACATCATCCTCCTGTGCCCCCNCATTCTATGTCAGACAATTCTTGACCCGGTCCGACCGATTCAGTCAGGGTCAGACGTGCCGGGCCAATACTTCCCGCCTGTTTTCTCCTCGTACTTTGATTGACCCGGACCGGGTTGCCGGTCCTACAGCTTCTGACGGGCCGGCTGGACCGGTCTGTGTACTGGTACGGATCACAAAGACAGCTTCAGTAGAGAATTCCAAATCAGTCGAAAATTTGCAATTTCGGAGTTCTTACGTGACAATTCGTGAGATTAGTTTATCTCTTTCCCCCGATTATGTACAATATGGCATACTGTACAATTTATGTTTTGTTCTCATCTTTTTTGAATATGAAAATAAACAGTAATTGTTAAAACAACGGATTTTTAAAAGACGAAATCAATTTTTTCTATGAAGATTTACACCCAGCCCTAATTGTTCTGGCATTATAATGTTTTGGGGGTTTATTTTCTTATTTTTAATTGTTTTCCTACTCGCGATTATATAAATTAATTAAATTTTAGTTCCGGATCCATGGACCTTAACATAAAACCGGATCCGAATCAGGTCTGAAAAGTATAAAAACCGGACCATTATTTAGGCCATGATGCATGAAGAGAAAAACTGGATCCGGACTCAGACCATTTAAAAAATTCATTTTAGAAAAAAAATCTGCACAAAGGTTCAGCTGGAAATTTTATTATTAATTTGTTATTATGGTTTTTCTGAAATCAAAGAAGGCGCCCGATTATTTCTACTGAAGCTGTTATAGAGTTTCTGCATGTTTTGTTATTACTTTGTAGTAAATGATTTTACTAATCATAAAATGTCCCTCCCCCCCCTTTCCGCGAAATGTATGCAGTGCAACCTTAAATCCATGCAATTCCCCCTTTGCACATTCCAGAGGTCGTTGCACTTGTGCAGACTGCACAATTATGCACCCCTCCCACTCTAGCTGGTAGAAACCCACCTCGAAAATGTCCCCCCNTATTGACAGTCAGAAATGGACAGTCAGCGTGCTTTTAAGTTTTTATACAATGGTAACCTTTATAGCGAGGAGGGATATTGCTTTCTTAAACCTTGTTGAAATCTGACAAACTAAAATTAAAATTGAGAAATTTGAAAAATTAAAATTTAGTCTTAATGAGACAAAGGACTACAAGGTACCGTTGTGAATTGGACTACCCACATATGAAGGGTCACTTGAAATTACTTCCACTGTTCCTTTGTTAATGATTTTTGATTTAAGTATTCTATTCATTAAAATAATGTCAATTTTATGTTCATTTGAAATCTGCTTTTTTCATACCATGGAACCAAACAAACTCATTTAAATTGTTCAAAATTGTTCAAAAATTATTTCAGATTTTTGAAGAAAAATGTTGCATTTTTTAGCCTTTTGTTACTTCCCGGGCACCATTGGGTTCCCTCTAAAAAATTTAGCCCATTCGGTCCTGTCGTTTGGCAAGCTAACATATATATATACATATGAGCGAAGAGATTTATTATATAGAGATTATTTGTTAAGGAATCCTTTTTTTCCAGAATCTAAAATTTAACCCTTGTCTCATAATGTTTTTTTATTTTTTATTAAAGTCTCATTTATTTTGTTTTTTTTGTAACAATTTGCAATAATTAGACTTAATTGAGCTTTGACTTTTCATAACGGCCCTAAAATATTATACTTATAAAGTTTTCTAAAACTAGCCCTGGAGATTTTTTTAAGGAGAGTATGAAAGACTGAACTAGGAAATCTTTATTATTTAAGAAGTACGTTGTTTTCGATCTTCGTGATGTATTCATGTTTTATAAAGTTTAAAACAAATGTTCAAGTAAATTTAAGTTTCAGCTTATGGTAATAAGACGGCGTAAGGCTGAAAGAAAACAGGCAAAATATCTCCGTTAAGCTTAGTTTGACAGTTGGCCGCTTTAAAACTGCCTTAAGTACCCTCTGTGTGTATTAAAGTCTTCCCACAAAATTTCCCCCCACCCCACCCACCCACTCGCAAGAATTGTACATTTTTAAATCAATTATAATCTTTGGTATTAAATGGGTTTTAACGCTGATACATTAAAAAATCGCAAGGGATATGAGATTCATGCTTTTAAACATAAGGCCACTTGCCCCCTCCCCCCCCACCCCCGCATCATACAACTTCGACATCCTTCACAAATACCTCACATACCCATCCAACGTCCAGACTTTTGCAACGAATTATCGATTTATAATTTATATGCTTTTTATTGTGTTATTTTTCTTTTTTTACAGGCTTTCTAAATATTTAGAATAAGTGCAATCATAAAAATAAAAACCGTTAAACGCGCGAAAAATATTACATATAAATTGTGTATGTATATAAATATATTTCTTCAAAGAATATGTTTAGTATAATTCTTCTTTAATAAAATGTCAATTTTAAAAATATATTATATTTATAATATATAATATAATATATATATATTTTCTACATAAAGATTCTGCCTGCAAATTTATCATGCAATTTCAACCCTGCGAAAACAGGGATGAATTTATTTATTTTGTAAAATTTAGTTCTATTAACCTTATTAAAATATAATTCAAAAAGATAAAATTGAATTGAAATCTATTTTACTGTAAAAAAAATTATCCCTGTGTTTGTGGTCGGTTAGTCAGCATTTTTCAGTTGGGAAGAGAGTAGGCCCGTAGGGGAGGTATGTTTAAGGGGGGGAGGTATGTTTAAGGTGGNCAATAACAAAGACAGCCGATCAAATGTAAACAAACATGAGATGCGCCAGATGTCTGTTTATCATTTGTGTTATTGTTTACAATCTTTATTATTGTTGTTACGCAAAAACTAGTTCTTCAGCAGTCCAAAAACGTCACAGCAAAGTGTACGGAAACCCTATCACCCCCTCCTTCTATTCAATATCTCCTTGGTTCTTGCTAAGCCTGGATTCTTGTATTCTTTTTGGTTTTTCAGTAGTTAGCATTATTTTTCGAAATGTTGCGCATACTTGGTTTTAAGTTTAGAGGCAATGTGTATGGGATTGGTCCAAAAAATATATATTAAAAAAGGAATTTGGTGCAATTTTCTCCTCGACTTCTCTTGCTTGACCAAATGATGAAACTTATGAAAAAATTGGTTTTTTTTTATATTATAAAGATGCCCTTTGATGTCTTTTTAACGTTCCAAAAACAAAACTCCAATATCATTAAAGAACATGGAGTTATTAACCTTTTAGTGAATTATTTTAGTTTGTAACTTAAATAGCCGAACAGCAATGTCACTAATCCGAGATTTTACGCGTTGAAGATATTCAACATTTGTTTTTTTACTGTGCAATCTTAACATGAATGGGCATATTTTTATGAAAAACTATTTTTTAAAGATTGCATCATTTGGCAAAGCAAGAGGAGTTCAGGAGACAATTGCATTCCAGATACATTTTCTTAATGGATTTTCTGGCCAATCCCTTACACAGTATTCCCTAAACTTGTAAAAAAAACGCGATTTTTCACCTTTAAATAAATATTTGACTATCAAAAAAACAAAAATCGAAAAAGTGTCAAATATCGTTTTAGCCAAGTTAAAGGATTTCCCAAAATCCCTTGAACATTGACAGAGTTAACCCTATTTAGATGAGAATTGTTAGAAAAGGTTATTAAAGGCTAAACATGACGGGAAACCCAGTAAAATGACTGGGCTATCTAGGAAAATTATTTTAAAATTCAAAATTTCGTATTTGAGCTAGGTTAACCCTAATGCTTCCTAAAAAAGGTGTCGCACATCTGGGAATTTTTTTCTGGGGCACCCTTGGCCTCCCCTGCCCCACCCGCCCTCGAGCAACTTGTTTTTAAAGCGTTGGAGCCACAAGTAATTGTTGCCATGCAAAAATTTTGCGATTCACCGCGTCTTGTTATTTTGCAAGTATTAAGATATTTATCAAGCCCATTAAAATTATCCAACTACACTTTTATAGTTTTAAATGTGTTAAATTGAGGGGAAACTATCTTATTATGATTTTTATGAAATGATATAAGTTAATGAAACAAAATATGTTTTTTTTAAGGACAATTTTCATCCCTGTATATCTATATATACTTCGCTTGTCTGTCTGTTTGTATCCAATAAACGTCCAAAAAACTGGCCCAATCCGAAGAAAATAGTCCCATGACCCCAGAGAAGAATATGTCTGGTCGAAATTGTTAATGTTGCTCGGGAAAAAATGTCAACATTTTAAAATCCGCAAAATTACGAGTTTTACAATTACGAAGAAGAAATTTCAGCTTGAAAAGAAACAGTTTTTCAATATCTGTCCAGGCCTAGTTCAGTTAAATTTCTAATTTTGAATATTCCGATTAAAAAATGTTTGATTATGTTTGAACTGATACCATGAAGTTTATCTTGAAGCCCGGGCATTGACCTCTCAGCTTACATTGATAAAATATATATCCTGGGACTTTATTTTTAAACCTAAGACAGGGTTGGATATTTCAAACAATTTGAAAATGAATAATTTTATATTAACCCGCAAGTTCACCCCTCCCCCTTTTTAATAATTTGATACTCTCTCAAAAATAATTATTTTCAAATTAAGTGATAAAACCCTTAAAAATTCCTAACAGGTTTTTTGGGAGGTGTATGAACAAAAATAAAATACTTACTTGAAGTCTAACAAAAGGATATAAAATCATCTAATAAAAACATTTAAACTTGTGTTCTGAATAAAACTTTAAAATCAATTTTTTTTTCAGCTGAAAATCCGGACTAAGATGAATCTAGAGAAGAAGAAATTGAAGAAGTGACGATTTGACGATTTGAAAAAAAATGCAGTTTTTAGGTAAATTTTGGTCTATTTTGCAAGGTTTTAGTTTCTTCATTAAAAATATTGAAATAAATCTTTGCTCGCCCTCTTATATAGCAATTATACATTTTATAAATTATTTCTTAAGATCAGTAGTTCTCAAAATTGAGAGAGATTAGTTGTTGACTTCAGATCGTTTTTAGACAAATCCCAACCCTACTCTCTACCACTAGAATTATATCTTGTTCATTAATCTGTTCGGCTGATCATGTGATCATCTGATGATCTATCTAGTCATTTATCCATCTAATCATCCTATCATCTATTCACCTATTCACCTTTTCATCTATTCATCTATTCATCCTACCATCTGATCATCTTTTCATCTGTTCATCTATTTATATATGATCATCTGATCATCTGTACATATATTCGATCATGTGATCATCTGTTCATATATTCGATCATGTGATCATCTGTTCGTCTGTTCATCTGATCATTTGTTCGGCTGTTCATCTGATCATCTAATCTTCCGATCATCTGATAAACTGTTCGGCTATTTTATCTTATCCTCTGTTCGGCTATTTATCTGTTCATCTTTCAACTATTCACCTGTTAATTTTTCGATTTGTTCATCTGTTATTCGATTACTTTATTTTATGTTAATCTGTTCATCCTTTTCTCTATTTATCTGTTCATTTTTCACCCAATGATAAGATTTGTATTCGTTTTTATTCTCAGTTCCTTGTACGTTTTGTTTATTTGTTTATTTTCTCTTTCTCTCGGGTCAATGCCCCCTGTAGTGCAGGCCTCGAATCCATTTAACCTTCTTCTAATACATCTACATTAAACAACCCCTCCTCTCCCTTCTCATTATTCATTACTCATTTTTAAACCTTTATAAAGTTGCTCTAAATCTTTTTTAAAGGTAGATTTAAACTTTATCTAGGTTGTACTGTAGCAATTCCACCCGTTTCCCCCCCTTGCTAAATATTTTTGCACAACAGACAGACGGACAGACAGGAGAGTGGGTTTGCAAACTTGAGAATCAGCAAACAGACTAGACGTCTAGAGGGCTGTACTTACTTAGCAAGGGGAGGGGTGGGTAAATGTTCCCTTGAGGGTTCGGTTAAATAAGGGGGATAAATATTCTCTGATCAGTTCTGTACTTTTTGTTCCCTGGAACTGGAACATGGTGATCTTCGGGGCTAGAGTTCATGGTTCCCGATGGCGTCTAAGAATTATAAAAAAAATCGCTGTAAAGCTGTAATATTGTTCCCATTGGCGATTTAAAATTCTATGCTTTGGTAATCTTTGGGGTTAGAACATGGTTCCCATTGGCGTCTAAGAATTTAAAAAGACTTCCACTTGAAGCTGTAAAAATGTTCCCATTGGCGTTTGGAGTTAAAAATCATTTGTTGTCTAAGAAAAACTTCCCTTTAAAGACCTAGCATTGTTTCCATTGGCGTCCGAAGTTAAAATTATGTGCTTTGGTAATCTGGGGCTAGAACATGGCGACAAAGAATTTTAAAAAACCTTCCTGTTAAAGCTGTAATGTTCCTTTTTGGCGTCTGGAGTTAAAAAGTGTTTGTTCTGGTAATCTTTAGGATTGTAACGTGGTTCCCAATGGCGTCTTAAGCATTTTTAAAAAAACTTCCCTTTGTAGCTGTAATATTGGCGTCTGGAGAAAAAAGGTTGTTTTAGTAATCTTTAGGGCCAGAACATACTTCCAAATGGTGTCTAAAAATTTAAATTTTGTTTCTTTTAGAACTGGAAAATAGTTCCAACTATATTTATAGAAGAAAAAATATTGCCAATCTTTTCATTGCATTACTGGTTCATGCTTTAGCCCTTTTCAATTTTTGCTAACATCCCCTTTTAAGATAAATTTCTCTTATTTTGTTTTTTCTTTAATTTTTTTAAACAGGAAGGAGAAATATGCCAAATATTCTGTTATTCTGTTCTAGCTATTTTGCAAATTCAGAAACCTGACGTTCCAATCCGAATTACATAACTGTTAATTCTCCATTTCCTAAAAATGCTGGGCTAGAGACTTTTGAATTGAAGCACTGAGCTGAACTAATTCTCTCCTATAAAGAGAATTAACCTGACTACTGATCTAATTTAGTCAAAAAATTCCACTTGTGGATCCGCCCCAATTAAACTACTATCTTTGATACTTATACTTGTATAATTTGGTAACTTAAAATGTTTTAAATTATATTAATTTCAGATTTGTAGTCTACAGAACGAACGCCTGATCGTTTTCCAGTGATCCTAATTTTCTCGTTCTCTGGAAGATTCCATGTCGGCCATTTTGATTCTGGATAATGCGCGAAACCGGATTTAATTCAAAATCCGCCATTTTGGACTCTACCCTAACCCGTAGATCCGAACTTGTGTTTATTCACAGGCTCGTGTCACCGGGGCTTGGTCGTCTTCCAACTGTCAATCAATTAATCAATTCATCTATTTTATCCTCACTTCAACTGAACCTGTCCAGTCGTCTCAACCTACGATCCTGATCCTTTGACGATAAAACCTGTATTTTTATCCTTGGATTCAAAGAAATTTAAGGGATACATATTTCATATTTTTATTCAGTTCACTAAGAAGAAGAAACACAGAGCAAATTTAAAATATTTCAATTAAAAAATTAGTAAATTTCTCTCTTCCCTCAAGAGAACTTAACAAGATAAGTCCGCAGATTATTTCAAAGAACAGTTTTAATTTCGAAATTATCACCTGAAAAGTTTTATAATCAGTGAAAAAAAGTCCTAAGTACACTCGGTAATTGTGACAGGAAGGAATGATGAATAATGTAGTTTTCGTTCTGACATTTTATCTCTCAACTCCACATACCCAAATGGTGATTTTGTGACAATAAGAGAAGACAACTGGTTGCTGTGACTGTTACGGTTTTGTAGTGGCTGCACTGTACATGTGGTTGTAGTGTACATGAGGTAGTAGGTTGTATAGTTGTTAGTGTACAAACTGTACAGCAGATTACCTTATTTACACTCAACTTGTATCTTCACAAAAGAGAGAAGTAAGAAGAAAAAAATCCGAAATATCGAGAAAGAAAAATTTTCTTTAATTATTCAAAATTATGCATTTGTAGGTTAAATGCTCGAATCAAATATTTTGTTTGTGTTTCTAATTTCTAGTCAATTTTCTTAGTTTTTTTTCTTTTTACAGTACAGTTAAAATCTTTTTTGATTAAGCCTAAATATATTTAAAACTTGCAGGGGTTTCATTTTGTTGAACAATCTTTCCAACTGACATCTTAATAATATAAATGGAGAAGGGGGTAAAACTTGCATTTCAAAATTTTTCTGTTTTTTTTTCTCCGAAACCATTCATAGAATTCTTAAAATATTTAAAAAAAATTAAATCCTGCTTCTTTAAAAATGAGAAGTTATATGATCTGTTCATAATTTTGGGAAATTGAAATAAATAATATCCAGTAAATTTTTATTTTCACTGTTGGATGAGAAATATTTTACACGTTTTTTAGAATAAACTTAACAGAAAGAAGATTTTTGTGAACACCTGTCTGTTATCACGCACGGATAGTTAGTTATTTTTCGAGTGTCTTTCTTGTCTATGTACTTAAAGTCTATCTGTCCATTGGATCTATAATTACATTTATCTGTGTTATAATGTCATATCCGTTCACTCGTTTAATTGTTACTGACCGGTTTACCGCCGTTAACCTTTCTTTATCATGTATTTATAATTCGATCTCCATTATTCTAAATGTTCAAATCTTTTAGTGTTTTAAGTGCAACGGTCTATTTTTATATTTGTAGGTATATTCTATTTAGTGTCAGTCAACGTGTTTATTTTGTGATTCCCTCCTATAATGTGTCATTATCCGTCAGCAACAATCAATCCACGTTTTACGTTCGTTTTTATGTCTATTTGTCTATATTTCATCATGTTTTCTGTTCGCCTATATGTCTACAGGTCCATCTAAATGACTGAATGTCTATCTATTTATCTGTGTATCTGTCTACATGCATATCCATGTTCTATGTCTGGCTTCTTATGCAATTGTTATCATCTTAATCAGTCTGAGGGATACTATTGGTTAGAGACAATATAGAGACTTAAGTATTTAGAGTACCGGTCAGAGGAGTCGGAGACAATATAGACTAAATATTGATAGCACTGGTCAGAGACAATATCGAGATTAATTATTGATAGCACTGGTCAGAGACAATATCGAGATTAATCATTGATAGCACTGGTCAGAGACAATATCGAGATTAATCATTGATAGCACTGGTTAGAGATAATATCGAGATTAATTATTGATAGCACTGGTCAGAGACCAAGTACTGATAGATCAGAGCTGAAAACTTTAGAACGTGATATCCTTAATCCCGATTTGTAAATTAATCTGGAGATTGAATTCATGAGGAAAACAAGCAATATTTAATCTGGAGATTAAGAAAAAGAGTGGATCAAGCATTAATCCCGATATCCACCATTCTAAAGTTCCCAGCTTTGGTCAGAGAATATAGAGACTAAGATTGTTAGAACTGGCCAGAGACAATACAGAGAGGAAGTATTGACAGTTCTGATAAAAGCCATTATAGAGTCTTAATATAAGACTATTAAGTATTAAAGGGACTGTAAGGGTAATTTTAAGAGACTAGCTGCATGCAAAGATATTAAATGTGAATTTATTTCTCCAATATTTCTTAAAAGCAAGAATTGAATAAGTCACTTCGCTAAAATAAACAAACATGCTTTTGTAATTTATACTTGATCAGACGAGGCACTAAAGGGACTAAATGGTACAGTCGTATCGTAAATATAGGGCATTGACATCTCTGGATGGTGGACTGGGTCACATGAAATTACGCTTACAGTCCCTTTAATAATGGTCAGAGAAAAAAACTTAAGTTTTTCAAATCTTTATCTTCGTTTTGAGACCATCAACATGTTTTTCTTATTCTGTCGTCAAACTAAAATGAAGAAAATGTCCACGGTTAGAAATTCTTGATAAGTGCGAACCTAGAAAGTGTAATCTTAATTTTGCTGGTGGGTATACATATATTACGAGGTATACAAACTACTGTTTTTAAGATCAAATTTTTAGACTAGTATATATAAAGGTGACTATGTCATAAATGTCCTTTTTTAGCTGACAATATTTATTATTATTCTCTGATGGAGTTTGAGGACGCACTTATACTGACATATAAAAGTGAGGACGCACAAAAAAGCTTTTCACGGCCGACAGTTGTTGATTTAATAAAGTTGTAAATGGACGGATTTATAATGATGATCCTACCTCCGTAGGTTATCTGCATTGCACACAAGCTAAATATAAAAGTCGTGAACATATAATTTAAATCTAAAATATGCGCTCAAGTATTTCAAGATAAATACGCAACAATTTATAAGTTTCCAAAAGCGATTTCTGGAACTATTTTGAAATCAAACTAATATTTCTATATCATTTTGTAAATATTTTGCTCAAGCTTTTCAATGTTTAGAATCTACGAACCACATAGTTAAAACCTATCATATTGTTCGTAAAATCGAACCAGCGCGCGAGAGTATTTGAAATTACGAAGATGCTGACCGACATTATGAACTGATTGCTGGGGATATCTCACTTAATTTAATAACAATATCCCTAACATCCTGTTCCTTGGTTAGATTTTCGATATTTGGATTTCTTCTTTAACAGTGCCGCTGTCAGGGCAATCTTAATCAAACAAACTAACGAAAATTACAGGAATTGAATTTAGTTTTCAAGGCGAATCAGAATAATTAAGGGGGGGAGGGTGCTGGCTTGTGTATAGAGTGTACCCTCTAGCATCTTGCCCAGACGAAAGATTTGCAAGGCCTTGCCTCTGTTGCAAAGTGTTTGCAATTTTAAATTTGCCAGTCTAAATCATTTTCAAGGCACCCAGACGAGACATAAAAACTGGGTAAATTCTGTCTGTAATACTTAATCATCTGTAAAATACGCAATTTGGATAATGCAGAATATGTACTTAAAATTATCAAGCTTTTTGTGCTTGAGAAATACCTGGCGCGTCGTGCCCCTTTCTAGAATTAATCTCGCAGACCAATCTTGGCACACAAGAAAGAAATAAACAAGCACAATTTAATGCAAGTTCTCCTAAGTTTGCTTATATCCCCGTGAGTCTGCAATATTCATGATTGACCCAACTAAGTAGGAAATAGATACAGGGTGTCCCACGAAACATGACAGTTGCAAGACGATATGAAGGTCAACTTTGATCTTTAAAATAATTCGCGGCAGTTTTTTAAATTTTAATTTTAGAATTAAAATTCTTATATTAACAATCACAAAACAATCCTAGTCCTTGTATTCAAGAAATGTGGCCTTTAATTACCGGAGATAAGAAGATTTTTCTTCAGATTTTGAAGATTAATGGTTTTATTAAATAAATAGAAATATGAATAAAATTTTCCTGTAATGTTGACAGCACAAAAAATTTGAAAATGCCAGGACAAGGAGAATATTGTTATTATATTTTAAGAACCATAAATGTAAAAGTTGGCATGACGGGGAGTGAATATCGCAAATAGTTTAAAATATCTTAGAGGAACTTCGAGTTGTCTTTCAACTGTCAAGGTTCGTGGGACACCCTGTAGGTTGAATTTATTCAGATTCAGCTCGATTAATAATATCCACTTATTGTTTCCTTTGCCTCCCTATTTCTCAAAACTGTCTCTAATCTCTAATTACAATTGTTTGCACGTAAGTTTCGTAAATCAAAACAATGTTCATAATCTCATCTGATTTTGATTTTCCAAAAAAAAATTTTGCGTTAGAGTTGGGTTAGTTTGGGTTGGAATTCAGTTAGTTTAGGTTGGGAGTGGGTTAGTTTGGGTTAGAATTTGGTTAGGATTGGATTAGTTTGGGTTGAGATTTGGGTTTTTTTTGGGGTTGGGATTGTGTTTACTTGGGTCGGAATTGGGTTAGTTTTGGGTTGGGATTGGTATGTGTTAGTGTTGGTCTGATGGACATAGGTTTGGGTTGGTTTGGTTGTTGTCTGTATTCTGGTTGATTTGAGGCGAGTGTTGGGTTACTTTTTAATTGGCATAGAGATAAATTTTATATTGAAATTCACTTCGGCATTTGCTTTAAACCTGCTTTAACTTTAGACATTTAATAATCAGTTTAGTTTTTACAATCAGCCGAAATCCCAATATAAGTTCTTGTGTTTTAATTATATTGAAGTTTTGATTGTATGGAAGTTTTGAATTTATTGGAGTCTTGATTTCATTTAAGTTTTGATTGCGTTGGAGTTTTGATTGTATTAAAGTTTTGATTACAGTGGAGTCTTGATTATTTTGGAGTTTCGAATTTATTGGAGTTTTAATTCCATTGAAGTTTAATTACATTGGAGTTTGATTGTATTAAAGTTTTGATTTCATTGGAGTTTTGATTGTATTGAAGTTTTGATTCCATTGAAGTTTCGATTGCATTGGAGTTTTGATTATTTTGAATTTTTGTTTTCATTGAAGTTTTGATTTAATTGGAGTTTTGATTTCATCGGAGTTTCAATTACATCGGAGTTTCAATTACATCGGAGTTTTGATTGTATTGAAGTTTTAATTTCATCGATGTTTTGATTACATTGGTTTTTTGATTTCGTTGCAGTATTGATTGCATTGGAGACTTGATTGTTGGAGATCGTAGTTTCGATTGTATTGAAGTTTTGATTTCATAGGAGTTTTGAGTTGGCGATGCATGTAAAACCAAAGGCGAACACTTTGATGACTACTTTTCGGTGTTGTCTTTATCTCATTGGACATAGACCTTTGATATTTCAATAATATGCATTCAACTCATTTGAAATATCAAAGTTTAACACCACACAAAGATTAATGCATCTAAAAAAACTATGCATCAATTTAATTTTCAATTTCTAACTTCTGCTTTATTAATTTTTGTTCCTTAATTTGAAGATTTTGTAACTAAAAGTAACCAATTATAATTTATAATTTTTTAATAATTCTTCAGTTGTTGGATTCTGTGCTGAAACTTTCAATTTTGGTCAATTTGCAGTAACATGTTTTGAATAAAAATTTAAGGTTTGCGAAATACTTTCGGTTTTGCGCAAATTACGCAAAAACAAGTTTCGCAAAAACAAAAAAACTTATTGCGCTTCATGCGCAAAATAATATGCGCAAAGTTCAAAAAAAATATTTCTGCAAAAATTATGCAAATATTGCGCAAAAAAATGGTCATTTCGAGGAAACCCTAATTGGATTTTTTATTGTTTTGAAGTTTTGATAACATTGGAGTTTTAATTACATTGGAGTTTTGATTGTATTAAAGTTTTGATTCCATTGGAGTTTTTGTATTGAAGTTTTGATTGCATTATAGAGTTTTGATCTTGTATTAAAGTTTTGACTACATTGGAGTTTTGTATACATTGAAGTTTTAATTGCAGTTGAATTTTGATTCCATTAAAGTTTTGATTACATTCTATTTGAGATTATATTGGAGGTTTAATTAACATTGAATTAATTGAATGCTTTTGATTTAAACTTTTTTTAGAAATGGTGTCTAAACGTTAAGTAGTTTTGATTGGACTAATTCTTATTGCAATCGATTTCAGCAGAAACGATATAACTTGTTTTGTAACTTCAAAAGGTTAGAAAAATTTGATAGCAATTCATAACGGCAAAAAAATTGCCCAATTCAAAAAATTGAATCCATTTGCAGGGACGTAATACAGGAATGGAATGTTACGCCCCCCCCCCCNCCTCCAATAAACCTGCCACACGCCCCTGTGTGTATTGTATAACCTCCAATAAACCTGCCACACGCCCCTGTGTGTATTGTATAACCTCCAATAAACCTGCCACACGCCCCTGTGTGTATTGTATAACCTCCAATAAACCTGCCACACGCCCCTGTGTGTATTGTATAACCTCCAATAAACCTGCCACACGCCCCTGTGTGTATTGTATAACCTTTCAGAATAATTTAGGCCAACGACTTATGTTAAATGATTTACCTCTATATAAGAATAAGAAACAATTGAACATGTGCTTTTCTTAATTTTACATCATTTTAATAATTACTATGAATTTTATTTGAATTTCTATATCAAACCTTGTCCAAGACTTGATAGACTTCATAAACCACAAATCATAATTCAAAATAACAAAAACCTTAGTTTTCATCAAATACGGTTTTTCCCCAGAAAGTGATAATTAAAATAAAAATCCTCTCTGCCCTGCTCCCTGGAATTTAATAAAAGTAATTTGATCATTTTTAGAAAAAACGTGTGCTGCCTCATTTTAGCTTTTTCTTTTAGAAGAAAAGAGAAATTATGATTTTAAAAAACTTCTTTAAGGGGGGTTGTATAAGGTGCCCCCTCTTAAAAATTTTTTTGAGGAAGGGGCTACTGTAAATATTCAGAGAGAAGGACCTACCCTTTCATTTTCCAAGAGGGGCGTATGCCGCCGTAGGCGTACACCCACTCAACCCTTAAGCCGGCACTAAATTTTGTGAATACAAATTTCAAATTTTTCTTATTATTTTTTTCCTGCTAAACATTCATAAAACACACAGTACACAAAAACACTTGTAAATATATTACTCTAATTATTTCCATATTTTGGAATTCAGAAAAGATGTCCGAGAAATTGAACAGTTTAACAAGACCCAAAACATTGGTTACACAGTGTACACGGATTTTAAAAAGAGGATTGGCGAATCTCAAATTTTGTAATCATGAAAAAATTTAAAAAATTAAGAAGCCAGAACTTGGTTCTAGATTTAAACAATAAATAAAAGAAGAATTTATCGTCATGTTAAAATTAAATTCAAGTATTTATCCTTGTATAAACATTATCGAAATTAATTACAATAATTAAATTAATTTTTCCGATCTAAATCTAGATATTTTTATTGCATGAAATTCCATTTTGTTTTATTCAATTAAAATCAATCGATCAATCAAGCATGATGGGCAAAGACAGCTCATGCAATATATCTAGCAAATTACGGTTAAAATCGTTGTTGTATTTTCGCAACCTTTGCCGCATTTCCCCCCCCCCCCCTCCTCATTTCCGGTCGCGCACAGCGACTCGTTGAGTTTAAAGATCACAGTTCGGATATTTGGCGTTCAAACATTTTTGTCGCTTGTTTGTTTGTTTGCTTGTGTCCAATAAACTTCAAAACGGCTGAACCGATCGGGTCCAAATTTGTGGTATCTCGCATGACCCCAAGACCGGAAAGGTTTTTGACTGGTTTAAAATGAACCAAGGAGATAATGAATAGAAGGAGGGGGCGATAGGGTTTCCGTACACTTTGCTGTGAGGTTTTTGGACTGCTGAAGAACTAGTTTTTGCGTAACAACAATAACAAAGGAAGCCGATCTAATGTAAACAAACATGAGTTTGTAAACTGTGAAAGAAAAGAATGTAACTTATACTTTATACACAGATCCATGAAAACCAAGCACCAGCTAAACTTCAAAAATAAAAAAATATTTAAAATATTGTTTTTGATTTACTAATTCTTACTTTTCAGAATAGTTTATAGTTTAATAGTTAAAAGATTCAAAGTCCAAAAAATAATTTTAAAATCCGTGTAAATATGAGATGTAAAAGCTTTTTTAAAAATGTTTTTTGTTTTCAAATTTTGCTCTTTCTTAAAACCTTTTTATACTCTTTCTCATTACTTTTTATCTATGTTATACAGTGAGAACCAGAAAACCGTTGAATAGAAAGACGACATATAAACTCAATATTTAAGTTTAATTGTTTTCAACGTGAAATAGTCTATTTACACTGCTGTTCATGGACTATTTTAAATCATAACTTAAGTCTAAAAGTCGTCTTCGTATTTTTCTGGTTCTCACTGTAGTTTCTTTTCACTTTTCTCTTCTGGTCTTTTCAGCAGTTATTCCTCTCATTACTGATTTTGATTTTGCTTTTATTTTATGATTAAATAAACACAGATTTCTATACTAATCCTAATTTATATTGTTTCAATCCCAGCTTATCCTTTCTTTAAATTCTACTCCCCCCTCCCCCCTCACCCCCTTTATCTCCGATTATCTCCTTTTTCTTAATTTTCTTCTTTTCTGCATGCACTCCTCTCTCCCAATTACCAAAATCCCATTGGAAAATCTCTTTTCGCTGTTTCATAAACCCCTAACACGTGTTAAAGGTTTGGGTATTATCCCCTTTACCATTATCCGCTTTGACCTATAACTGGGTTACCCACAAAGAATGAGA